CGCCGGAGAAGTTATAAATAAATCGAGTTTTTGAACGCACACACATAAAGTGACATTTGGTTGACGATTTAGGTTATCAACCATTCATTTCAATAAATGAAAAAAAAACAACTAATAATAATTATCAACATTTGTTATTGTTTGTTTAAAAATGTTTGGTTTTATTCTAAAATCAGCCGAGTGCTATAAAAGTGTACCGAGATTTTTTTGCAAACCGTACTTTTCAAGCGACATTTGACAGATGGAGGTCATTAGCTTTCCTATTCTTATTTGAATCGCATTATAAGGACAGAGCTGGCCCTCGTTTCCATAACTGCAGTGTCCCCCCCTCAAAACACGCCAAAGTTTAGGAGTGCGAGGGGCTCATGACGTCACTTCTAAGTAAAAATAGTACTGGACGTTACGATGATTTATAAACATAGACAATAAATTTGTCTAAATCTTTGATTGATATTATAGAGTTATGAAAATTTTGGCACATTCTGCCTTATAAAATGATTATACTTACTGTAACAATAGAAATTAAAGGACAATGTTGGCCTAAGAACCGACACCAATTTGGCATTTATGATAATTCTTAGTATATTTTTTGCGATAATTATCAGTATTTAGATTGTGACGGACACTTCCAGTTAAGTAAGCTAAATTAAAAAGTCAAAAAATAATCTGAGACTACCATTTTATGTGCATAATCTATGACAGCGCTGCAAACAAAACCCTTTCTTCCTAATGCCGGCACATCACTTGGCTATTCGTGTTTGCTTTTTGAAAACTTGACATCTGTCTGTCCTTTTTATTCTATATTAAGCACGACAAGGACAGACTGTTGTCAAGTGAAGGGCCGGCATAAAACTCGATACTCTGTGGTTGTGGTGTAGGCAGTTTGCATTCGTAGTAATCTGTGGCATTCGTGCATTCTCGTTTCGGATTACCTGTTGTGTGTGTTTATTTGCGATTGTTTTTCCTTTAATTTAACTATTTCGGCTATCTAATATGCCACCGATGTTACCAAATAGCAGAGGACCTTATTACCAAGTGCTAGTAAACCTGTGCCACAACATCCTGAGAGGATCATACTGCCAAATTATTCAAGAGCAGCTGATACACATTCACGCTGCATATTTACACAATATACATGTGATATACTAATAAATACAAATATACATTATGATACAATTATGTGAAAAATAGTCAAAAAAAGAAGTAAGAGTAGCGGGGTCCTCGGTGGTCAGCCACTGGGGGGTACGTAAGACTTGCGGGAGCCAGGTGTGAGGTCCGTTCGGCGTTGTGCCTCTTAAAGGCGCCGTCGTCTGTAAAAAGATTTTTTACCTGCGTCATAAAAAAAAAGAAAAAAGTTCTCTTAGTATGCCCTAAAATCTCTAATTTTAGAACCCATCTGGGGAAGTTACCTCCCCTTACAGAAGATCACAGTATAATAACACTACCTTTTGGCGATGTTCTATTTCTGCCGGTGAGTAAGGTTCCAGGGCTAAACGGGGGAGGGGATTGGGTCTGGGTAGGCAACGTTGCGAGCCTCCTCAGGTTCGAGTGGTCTAGAGGCTCCAGACGGAGAGGAGACTCCCCCCGTGTGGAGATGCCATCCGCCTGGAATACCTCTAGAACTCGCCAATTCTCGACTTGAGGTCCCTTAAGGATCTCGCCGTCCCTAAACCCGGTGACGCTGTAAAGGTCATCTGCGACTAGGGTTGCCACCCGTACTGTATTATAAAGTATTGTACGTTATTTTGGGGAATTGTACTCTATACTTTATGCCAACAATAAAGTACGCGAAAATACTTTATTTAATGTGAATCGATTACTTGGGGATTAATTTTACATAAAACATACAAGAGGATAGGAAGAATTTTTGCCTAAAACGGAACAACAGTATGTATAATGTCACCCTTAGCTTATTCCTGCAACATTGTCGCGGCTGTATGGCTTTGTACAATGGCCTTTCCCATTGCGGATAAGAACTACAGATTTTTAGTGCCAAAAATTATTCATTAAAATTTGCTATACGCAACGTAAAATATATTTTTAAGCATACCAATAAAGTGGAATAAAAAGTACTTTATTTGGGACACAATGTACTTTTTTTCTACCTTTTATCTCCATTGACTATTACTATTATACTATTTGGACATAAAAAGGTGGCAATCCTATCTGCGACCAACAGCTAACCACTAAAAAAACGTTGCGAGCATGTGCGAATGATAATTTTGGCATTGCAAGCGTCTATAGGCTATGGTGCCCGCGCACGTGTTCCCTCCTTCCTACAATCTGGGCTCCTTTAAGAAATGCGTGAAGAAGCATTTTAGCAGGCCGGCAAGATGAGGATGGTTGGTGTGGCAGTTTATAACTGCTGTACCAGCTATGTTCGCGTTTGGACTTTATCACCACTTAACATCAGGTGGGGTAGAGTCATTTGCCTACCTGGCTATTTAGAAAATAATAAAAATAAACAAGTGTTTATTGTTTACACTATCAATCCATAAAAAAATATTGAACTCCAGTATCATAGATTCGTAATTATAATCGTAGGCGATAAAGCTGTCGGTAGACTTTCACAAAATTTCAAAACTCATTATTGTTATGATTATTATTTAAAAAAGTGAGCATTGATGATAGCTTATAGGCATAAAGGTTTAATATTATGACATACCGATTTCAAACGCTTTAAGACGTTTCGAATAATACTAAAGAAATGATTATATTTTTTCTACAAATAAGAAATGAGATCGAGAAAGTAAATCTTATTTCGCTTTTGAACTAATACCTATAAATAAACAAACTCGAGACGCAATTTCTTGTTACGTTGTAGCTCTTAAGTAAACCGTCGTAAAGAAATAAACATTAAACATCCATGGGTAGACTGGAATACAAATGCTCGTATTCATCACACAAAGATCTGCCCCCACCGGTATTCGAACCCAGGACTTCTCGAGTCGGCGACAGCCATTAAACCACGCGCGCGAGCCTACGTTGTCACCGTCTAACTGTGGCCACAATTCCAACGCGTACAAAGAAATTTGGTGACTCATTTCTTTGTCGCACTATCCGTAAATGGAATGCCCTGCCCGCTCACGTGTTCCCTCCCTCTTACAACCTGGGATCCTTTAAAAGAGGCGTGAAGAAGCAACATGCAGGCCGGCAAGGTGAGGATGGCTGGTGTGGCAGGTAGAACTGCTGTATCAGCAATCTTCGCGTCTGGACTTCACCTTCACTTAACATCAGGTGGGGTGGAGTCATTTGCAAAAACCCGGCGTCCAAACCACTCGGCCACGCAGGTCGTCAAATGTCGAAAAGAATGTATTCAAAAAGCACGTGGTGGTTAGTACTACGAGTAAACATTCTTTTTCATTACGTTTTATAGTTATTACTTCTGTTACATGCGTTCTTGATAACAGAATAGTCACGTGTGGGCTTAGATTAAAACAAAAAGGGTACATACGGTACGCTCAAACTAGCATCAAATAAAATATGATACGACTCAACTACATATGCAACTCTCGCCATGCACACGTCTGTAAATAAACATCGATCGAGCGAGCGAGACAGAACTATACGCTGCGTTCACCGCAGTTGTCCTTTTCTTGCTTACAAAATGGCGATTACGTAAATAATATTCACGACAAACCGTAATTTTTGAGAAAAAAATGTTTTCACAGTTTTACGAATGAAATGTGTTGCCGGGGCACTTGATTTTGGAACTATTTGTGTTCTATATAAAAGCATCGAAGGCATTGTTATATCTTTATAACACAGAATATACGCAATATTGTTATATTGAATGTACATGCAGCGTGCTTGAATGTCAAATTGTGACTAAAGAGAATTATGGTCGTGGACCACAATTTAAGCGGATCACTTTTGAGCCGCGAATGCCATATCTTCCCTTTTTGTTTGAATCTAAGCGTGTGGGTTCATAATAAAAAAATACCAATCATTTTTACAGATTTTTTTATTTTATCTAGTTTAATAAATAAGAATTTAATAACCGGTGTGTGCTTCACACCACAATCCTCCCTGTCTCATTTTCATCCCCATTCCCAAATACAAAACGTACATACGAAAATGACATGTCATCTACACAATTAACAAACTACGAATATACGGTTACTAAAAAAAATATTTTTATTTATTTATTTACCTTTTTGAATATATAAGTTGACAAGGTAGGTTTATAAGTAAATATATGTCGTGGACATATCGTAGAAACCACTACTTCATGAAATGGTCAAGATTATTTAAGTATATCGTAAAATAATAGTTTCTGGTCAAATTAAGTTGCTCACATCATTCTCGAGCAGTTCCGTTACGCTATACCAGGTACAAGTACGTACCGGGGAAAACCCCGCCCCCCCATTTCTATAACATATACTTATACCTATATGTATCACTATATGTATTCTATCCGTTACCCTAATATCCATAACACAAGCCTATAGTGCTTACTTTGGAGCTAGCTAGGCTAATTGGTGTGTGTTGGGTATATTTATTTATTATTATGCTTATCAATGAATAAAATATTGAAATTAGAAATTGAACAAAAATATTGCCAATTTAAAATAATAAAAAAACAACATAAGTGATATTTAAAAAAATATATCTCTAGAAACTTTTTAATAGAGATTATTTTTATCGTTAAATTTTTATATTTGATCGTCTTACTATTATAAAAATAACACGATATTCACGCTACCTTTGACGTTTCCGGGCATCGCAATACAGAAAGACTAACTCTGTTATTATTTTACTTATTGCACTCCCTAGAATGCTGCCATCTAGCAGTATCACTAAATGTAACAGTTTTGCAATAAAGAATTATTCTATTCCATTCTATTCCATTCCATTCCATTCCATTCCATTCCATTCTATTCCATTCCATTCTATTCCATTCCATTCTATTCCATTCCATTCTATTCCATTCCATTCTATTTTGTATTTTCAGTTGTACTTATTTGCCTGTGTAATAATTTCCTCTTTCTTTGTTTCAGAAATTATGCTCCGTGCCGCAAGCAGTTAACTGAAAGTTTTCATTAAGAACATAATAATCATGGTTTCGAAAGAAACAATTAAAAATAAGGTAAGTGAGCCAGGTGTGATTTTATAGGTTTTATTTTTACATTTTTAGTAAAAATACGAATGATCAGTAAAGAACTTTGGGACATTTGCTATTTCGTACAATCGAAGATGAAACTATACAATATAATTAGATATAATTATGTTTTAGATAATTTACTTCGATTCAGGCAGGCATGCTTCGCTCCCAAAGTAGCCTGGGTTAATAAGAGATAAATGAAGGTAATTTCCCTTAGATTAAAACAAAAAGGATAGATACGGTACGCTCATACCTGCATCAAACAAAAACTGATCCCACGGCAGCGTGAACGGGACGGCGAGATCCGCGTCACTGCATTACCGACCCGAACGAAACAGCACGTTAAGTTACAACGGCAGCGCGAATGAGACAGCGAGATCCGCGTCACTGCACTACCAACCAATCACGCGACCATTATTCGACGTCACTACCGAATGAGATTCAAAACAAACAGCTATTTTTATGAAAAAATATATTTGATAGTACTTACGAATGAAAAGTGATGCCATGGGGTTTATTTTTAGTTTTTGAGCAATTTGAGCACTTTTTAAAAACACACTTAGGCATTGTTTTATCATATAAACACAAAATATTAGCAATATTTCTTTTTGGCATTCACATGTACGTCATTTGCATGTCAAGTTGTGACTAAAGCGATTAGGGTCGTGGACCACAATTTGTGCGGATCACTTTTGTGAGGCTAGTGCCGTATCTACCCTTTTTGTTTTAATCTAAGTAATTTCCAGTCGGAAAGAATACAAATTGTCATTCTCTTACCCTCAGCTAAAAAAATGTAATATGTATAACAAGTGATAGGGAAAATATTTTGGACGAATCAAAGAGTTATACTAAGCATCCGATTTGAATAAGCAAAGAGCTCGATGGCGCAAGTAGATACCGTGTTCAACTTGCAATCGCGGAAGTTAAGCAACTTTCGCAATGGTCGGTCAGTGGATGGGTGACCAAAAACTTATTATCTCGAGCTCCTCTGTGCTATGGAGAGCACGTTGAGCCGCTGTTTGGGCTGCATCAGCAGCTGTTACCACCCACCCATCCACACACTCCGTCTCATACAGAAACATATTGAAGGCCTATGCCCTAGCATTTAAAAGTCTTTTCTTAAGTCTTTTCGAATCGGAAATAAAGAAGACAGCTGCGCAGCAAGGATAACTACATATTTGCATTTTTTCTTCGCAGTTAAAAATACATGTCTAAAACCAGTGGTAGGGAAGAAATTTTCAGCGTTTCAATTGTCATCACAGCCGTACGACACCCACTGCTAAGCATAGCCCATACATGATGGCTGTCGTACGGCTGTGTTTTATACTGAAATTTTGTACCTCCATTTGATTTAACATAAGGGGCAAAAAGCCGTCTAAGAACTTCTTTCCCTCTTTTCTCAAAATCATCTTCTTGTAAATACGTTCTGTTGCCTTTTCACGATAGTAGGTCTCCCCAAGGATTTCCACTAACTGGTCCTGCACCACTCGCTTCCATCAGCTTCCTGCGACCAATTCAAAAGAGTCTACTTTGCATAAAGATTGACTTTGACCTTTAACAGATGGGCGAGCAAGCCGAGGGCCAGTTCAACCTGGAGGGGATTCTCAGCGAGCTGGGTAGCTTCGGCAAGTACCAGCTGCTGCTGCTACTACTGTTGGCCTTCCGGGATTCCTTTCTCGCCATGTGTAACTACAACTTCGTCTTCACCGCCGCTGAAGTCGACTTCAGGTATGAATCCATGCTAATCTAATATTGGTCTATCCTCTCCAATAGTTAGAATGTGTAATGAGCACAACATGTTAAATGGTATTTCGGGCGACCTGGACATTATGCACGACTCCTTACGCTCTCTTAGATCTGGAGTGTTGAAATCACTTGCCAAATGAATTAATTTTAATTGTACCCAATGTTTATTTTGGCAAAATTTGCTTTTGCTTGACTGATTTCATGGTTTTGTTTCACTGTATTCTTTTAATTTTAATTTGGATTTTAATTTTGATTTTAATTATATTTATTTTTCTTTTACTTTAAGATTGTAATTGTTGACGTTGATTAAGACAGTTATAAATGTTGTACATGCCTTTAATAAGTGTGCACATCAGGTACTATTTTTGTGAATTTTGTATTTGTTTTTTTGTATGTGTTTCCTGTTGGCGTAGCTAATAAATAAATAAATACATCTATATCCTTATGAGGATTTAGTGTGGACTTAGTATTATAAATTCGATAGTGCGTTTGTTTATCTTTTTGTCAGTCTGTCTGTTCACCACATCACGCTTCAAACGCTGCAGCGATTTAGATGAAATTTGGTAAGGAGATAATTTGAGTCCCGGGGAAGGACATATGATAGCATTGATTGTGATATTTAGTTGAAGATGTTTTGAAGATACTAAAATAATAATTTTGTTGGGGTCGCCCCATTTATCGTCATCATCATCAGCCTATTAATGTCCCCACTGCTGGGGCACAGGCATTCCCTATGGATGGAATACGGAGATTGGGCCATGACCCACCACACGGGCCCAGTGCGGATTCGTGGGTGCTAACGACTGCAGATGCAGCCGGGACCAACGGCTTAACGTGCCTTCCGAAGCAGGGAGGAGCTCGAGATAGTTAATTTTTGGTCACCCATCAAATGACCGACCACTGCGAAAGTTGCTTAACTTCAACGATCGCAGCCGAACGCGATGACCACTTGCGCCATCGAGCTCCTCGAGATTATATTCGCGGATAATCTGAGGACACCAAAAGTGGCGTATAAGACCCAGGTAATCATAGTGGAATAGACCAAGCAGACGAAGTTGCAGGGTACTAGATATTAATAATTATCCAAAAAATCCAAACATTTCGTTTGCTGATTGGTTTTTTGAAAATTTTCCCTGGTGAGAGTTCTCTAGAGATTCTTGGACTGTTTCGCCCATGCTGACGAAGTCGTAATATAAATCAAATGGTTATATAAATAAATTTCATGTACCGATTGAAGAATATTAAAATTATGGTTAGCAGTGAAATACAGATGTTTCTTGAGAGTGTAACATTCCCTGGGGCATCTTTAACATTGGACTTAACAGTTACCCTTAACATCAGGTTAGGGGTTTAGAGCGCTGCACTGTTTATATGGATAACCAAAGTGAAAAGAGTAGTAATAATAATAAATTAACAGTCATCATCATCATCAGCCTATTAATGTCCCTACTGCTGGTGCACAGGCCTTCCCTTTGGATGGAATAGGGAGATGGGGCCATGACCCTTCACGCGAGCCCAGTGGTAAGTGGCGGGTGCTAACGACTGCAGATGCAGCCGGGACCAATGGCTTGACGCGCCTTCCGAAGCACGGAGGAACTAGAGAATGAAGATTTTTGGTCACCCATCCAATGATCGACCACCGCAAAAGCTGCTAATTAAACAATATGTGAAATTTACATTGAATTGAAAGTTAAAGTCCATAAACTATCTTTAAATGCTCAATTAACCATAACAAAATTACTAAGGTGGACAAATCAGTAAAAGCATTAGAATGATTTATTGTTTTACAGAATGTGAAAACAATAGTTTAGTTGCCGATAAACAGTGAAAAGTAATGTGTGCGATTAAATGTAGCACTTGATTATTTGCACGAGTAAACGATTCGATTGTTATCTGGTTTGTTATTTACAAGCTGGCAGTTAATATAATGAAGTGTTTATTTACTTACTTACTGTTAGACAGTTATTTATTTATAATTCTATCCTTCAGCATCATAAAACGATCGATTCATCCCAACTTCCTAAACATAAGAGGCGATATCGTACGAAAGTCCCGAATTATAATTCAACTAGCAAACCAGTGAACCAAATGTTCACCAAAAAAAAATGGTTGCCTGTAAAGTCGGTTTTACGGGCGAAGATTTTACGTGACAACGTCTTTTTCTCGGTAGAATATTTATTGATATGAATATAATTAAATTGCACAATAGGAACAAGGAATTGAATGAAAATAAGAATTGCACAAATTTTAACTATAGAAATATATTTTGTTTACTAAAACATTGTACATGTAAACTTAAACTCATCGTAACGTTACCGAGCGTTACACTTTTTCATAAGTGACTCCCAGCCGCAACCTAATTTAAGACGTTGTCACGTCAAAAAAAAATGTATTTAATTAATTGAGAACTTCGGAGATTTTGTGTGGTTTCGTTTGAAATAGAAATCACGTTAAATCTCGAAAACCGGAAGTGCTACGTTACTCAAATCCGGTTTGTAGTCTTATCAGACTATTCTTAACTTATAACTTAAATATTCTCTTTATCTATCTCTTACGGTTTGGCCGCTGAACGCCGCCGCCACAGACAGACGGACGGACTTGTCTAATAGATAAGAGATAGCTTTCCGCGTCTGTCTATATACCCGCTAACTCCTAAACCAGGCAACGCTTTTTGATAAGGTTATTATCATCAGTTAAATAATTTTTCACGAAAGATTTGTAGGTATAATTGAAGCCAGAAAACTAACTTCAACTATAGGCTACAACAAACCAAAGCGAAAACGGGTTACTTGTCTCTTTTAATGAAAAGTAATTTTATCAAACTTTTATACTTCAAATTGTTTTAGTTTTTTCCATTGTCATGTCAGCTATCTACACAACAAAACTGAAATTCACTCTCGCAAAGTATCATTTAGGTGGAGTAATTTCCCCATATTCCATCCATGGGGAAGGCCTGTGCCCCAGCAGTGGGGACATCAAAAGGCTGATGATGATGATCATGAGGTGGAATAATTTACTATGCCTTGTTTGTAAAAATATTTGAATATCTTACTTACCATCGGAAAGACAGCACCACTAAAAAGAAACATTATTTCACTGTGTTTCTTCTGCATGGTCAAGGTTGCCATACGGTTAGTCAGTGGAAGTAAGGGGGTTCAAATATTCCAGAAGGTTTAGGCAAGAAATAGGATATTTGTCGAGAAAGGTAAATTTAGAAAGGGTTTCTTTCAATATTGTTGTATTGTTTCAAAGAAACATACAAATGTATAGGGTAAAATTTTTTGTATGAGTGAAAAATGTGAAACTCGCGTCAGGTTAAACACGTGGGCTGATCGCATCATGACACACAATATTAATATACAAATTGGAAAGGTTGTTGACTTTCAATATATTGGAAGAAACATAGTAATATTTTATTTTACCTTATTATAATAATAAGTCTCTATCTAGGACGTCCACGTGGCAGCTTTATTGCGAAAAAAATGCATTTTTTTACAATATATGTCGCTAGGTGCGCTTAAATGTGATTCATGAAAGTTGATTTCTTTACAATAGATCTCACTAAGTGTGCTTACACGTGATTCATGTAGGTTGATTTTTCTGAGAGATAAACTTTTTTGATGTAATATAAATTGTCATGTTTGTGTACGATAGCGCAATAAATAAATATTGTATTCTACCACATACATGATAGTACTTTTATACTGATAATTAAAGCAATTCGTGCAAAATTATTCCCTAACCATTCCAAAATATCAAAAATGCACAACGTTAATATTCAAGTTTTCACTTCTGCAGGCACACCCGGAGTGCAACCCGTCGTTCCTTTTTTCTAAGTTCTACATCTCTTTAAATTCAAAATAATTTCTCTTATCAGATGCCACGTCCCCGAGTGTGAGTCGTCCACAGACGTCAGTTTCAACGCGTCGTTCGTGTCGTTTGCTCTGACGAACCACAGCGGCACATGCGCCAGAGTGGCGCCTGTCAACGACAGTTGGTTGAACTCGAGCGGGACGTGCTCTCCCGAGAGATTCCTCGGAGGAGAGACGGTGCCATGCCACCATGTCGTCTACGCGAACAACGACAGTATCGTCGCTGAGGTGACTATCAATCTAGTATACATTTTTAGAAGTCAATGTCAGCACGGTGTTCGCTCTGAGGAACCACAGCTGTACCTATGCCTGAGTGGCGCCTGTCAACGGCAGTTGGTTGAACTCGAGTGGGATGTGCTCTCCCGAGAAATTCCTCGAAGGAAAGACGGTGCCATGCCAGCGTGTTATCTACGAGAACAACGACAGTATCGTCGCTGAGGTGACAATCAATATACTCGTAGCATACATTTTTAGAAGTCAATGTCAACGTGGCGTTTCTGAGGAACCACAGCTGTACCTGCGCCTGAGTAGCGCCTGTCAACGGCAGTTGGTTGAACTCGAGCGGGACATGGTCTCCAGAGAGATTCCTCGGAGGAGAGACGGTGCCATGCCAGCATGTCGTCTACGAGAACAACGACAGTATCGTCGCTGAGGTGACTATCGATCTAGCATATATTTTTAGAAGTCAATGTCAGCGCGGTGTTCGCTCTTAGGAACCACAGCGGCACCTGCGCCTGAGTAGCGCCTGTCAACGGCAGTTGGTTGAACTCGAGCGGGACGTGCTCTCCCGAGAGATTCCTCGGAGGAGAGACGGTGCCATGCCAGCATGTCGTCTACGAGAACAACGACAGTATCGTCGCTGAGGTGACTATCGATCTAGCATATATTTTTAGAAGTCAATGTCAGCGCGGTGTTCGCTTTGAGGAACCACAGCTGTACCTGCGCCGGAGTGGCGCTTGTCAACGGTAGTTGGTTGAACTCTAGTGGGGCATGCTCTCCCGAGAAATTCCTCGGAGGAGAGTCGGTGCCATACCAGCGTGTTATCTACTAAAACAACGACAGTATCATCGCTGAGGTGACTATCAATATTGCATACATTTTTAGAAGTCAATGTCAGCGCGGTGTTCGCTCTTAGGAACCACAGCGGCACCTGCGCCTGAGTAGCGCCTGTCAACGGCAGTTGGTTGAACTCGAGCGGGACGTGCTCTCCCGAGAGATTCCTCGGAGGAGAGACGGTGCCATGCCAGCATGTCGTCTACGAGAACAACGACAGTATCGTCGCTGAGGTGACTATCGATCTAGCATATATTTTTAGAAGTCAATGTCAGCTCGATGTTCGCTCTTAGGAACCACAGCGGCACCTGTGCCAGAGTGGCGCTTGTCAACGGTAGTCGGTTAAACTCTAGCGGAGCGTGCTTACTCGAGAGGTTCCACGGCTGGAAGACGGTGCCGCGCCAGCGTGTCTTCTACGAGAACAACAACAGCATCATCGCTGAGGCGACTATCAACATGAAAGGGCCACGCTATTAAATAAATCCAAACTTTTAAGTTTTACTAAACCCATATGACGAATGGTGCACCATATGTAACGGCAACTTAACCTTCTTCTTAATATTATGTTCTGAGTTAAATTCAGGTAGTGATATTTATTTGTAAAGGACACCCGGCATTATGTGCCAAAGTTGTATACTTTTTTTTTTTTTTTTTATCTGTGTTTCATAATTGGGTAACGTAGTCTGGCAATATTTGTCATCAGCAGCTAGCTGTCAATGTCTAATACGTAGGTTTGTCAATATAACCTCTATATGTAGCCTGGTCGTCAAGAGAAATAACGGATAAAAAGGCAATCACAGCAGAGAACATTCACAATCACAGTACGCGGGAGCGGATGCGAAATGCGAATGATTTTTTTGTTTGTATTTTAGGATTGCCAAATTGACATTTGGTTTTTTATTTAGAAAAGCAAAGGAATCATGGTTTTTACTGTCACTTGAGTAATATTTTGAAGTAAAATTCTGTCCCTTGAAGATTTAGGGTTTCCATATCAAAAAATATTAATCATTATATAACTTCTTTTCATGATTCACTAAAAATAAGGCGAAAGTAGTTTTATGTAGCAAATAATTTTGGCTTTATTTTGAGACCAAATTCAACTGTATACAAGTTTAGCATTTTTTCTATGAAAAGTGCCGGGTCTCCTTTATTGAGCACATATATTGTTACCCTGAGCAACAAAATTTCAATACCTTGTAAAGTCGATACTGTCTAGCATTAACTTTAATATTGAGGTCTCTGAGTACTACCGTTGATAATTTGATAAACAATGAATTAAACACGGTGTTTAGGTTACCATAGGAACTCGATAGCGCAAGTGGTGGGCGCGTTCGGTCTGATTATGGTAGTAAAGAGCCTTTTCATATTTTTTGTAACAAAAACGTAATATTTGAGCGCCTCGTTTACCCCCTTAGAAAAGATTTTGACTATTTCCAATAGAAGTAAACAGTAGATTTATTCTTCTTATTGTAAGTTAATGTAGAATAATTGCAAATACCGTTTTCCTTTTTTGTACTGATCGTTCTACTGCAGCTAGTTTACGGAAAAACGATAATATGCACAACTTCAAACGCCTCAGTCTCTCAATAATGTACAATAAATTAGATGATAATTACTACGACATCAGAAATATGTTTTTGTTGTAACATAATGTAAATTTTGATTTTCCATCTCATTAATTATCAAAAAAAAACATCTAACCTCCGTGAGTTTTACCAAAAAATAATGCAGGTTTACTTCGTATTTTGATATTGAATTAAATAGAATTACTATCAAAAACTTTCATAAAACTAATCTACCATCATTGAACTACTGAAATATGTATATATTTTTATAATTAGTTCATTAATAATTATTTTATAAGACATGAAACATCACCCGTAAAATGCAATATATACTAGTGCAAATCTACCTACGCGCCGATCAGTACGGCAGGGGCGCAATTTCGTAAAAGGGCTCTTAAGCAACTTTCGTAATAGCCGGAGGATGTGTAACCAAAAATTTATTGCCTCGGAAGACTCTAAAATCTTTAGTGCCGGCTCTGCAATCGTTAGCACGCACCAATCATCAGTATGTCCCCGGGTTGTGGTTTATGGCCCAAACTTTATATTCCATCCATAGAAGACTGCGCTCTAGCAATGGGTACATAAAAAATAGGCTGATGATAAGTTTACTATGACCAAGCGATCCCATAAGCGTTCCTATAAGCATAGAAACTGCTCTCATGTAATAGTTACAAACACGAGAGTAGCCACGTGAGCAAACAATCACATTCACAAAGCCTACGGTCATTGTCACGGTCGTCGGTTCAAGGCGCGCGCTAAACGGATAGTTTGAACCACAGTTCATTGCAGTCTCCAGTAAGTTCACACAGTAAAGCTGAAAAAAAACATTTGCGTTTCGTATTACAGGAAAATATTTACAACTAGTGGCCCGCCCTCGTTTCGCTTCGGTGTAGAGCTGTAGTGTAAACTATAGTTTTTGTTCTCAGGCTTGTGCTATAAAGAATGACTTTATTTATATAATTACACGTGTTATTGTGAGTCAACCATAAAAGATAGACATATGCTGTTGCTGGATATTTTTTAGATAATTTTATGTAGAATATTTCCGTCATACATGATTTCTATGTAACTTTAACCATTAAGGCTGCACCCGCAACGGAAGCTTAAAAAATGGAGTAACTTCTCCCGTTTTCCCAACATTTCCCTTCACTACTCTGCTGCTATTGATTGTAGCGTAATGAAAAGTATACTATAACCTGCCCAGGAGTATGAAGAATAATTGTACCAAGTTTCGTTAAAATCCGTTGAGTAGTTTTTGTTTCTATAAGGAACATACACACAGACAGACAGACAGACAGACAGACAGACAGACAGACAGACAGACAGACAGACAGACAGACAAAATTTTTACTGATTGCATTTTTGGCATCAGTATCGATCACTAATCACCCCCTGATAGTTATTTTAAAAATATATTTCATGTACAGAATTGACATCTGTCCAGATTTATTATAAGTATATAGATAGGGTATTTGACAAGTTCTAGAAAACGATCTCACGTTATTTACAAATGTTTATTGAGTCCATAAAAAGTGGATATTCATCATTATGTTGTTTATTTCGGTAAAAAAACCAAATGAAAAACACTATTTTCAAGTTGCCGCGAAAAACGTATCTCTGGACAATATGGCGTCTCACTGGTGTGTGACGTCGCACGACTGTCATTAAAACGTCAAACTATACAATCAAATGTCACTTTAACCGGAAGTTTACTTGCGTGTGACGGCATTTTAGGCTTCACCAATCCCAAGCGTTTTGGGTCACGTGACAATAGACACGAAAACTATTATCTTTATCGTAGGTTTTTAGTAAACGTATGAATATTTTTTCTGTGAAAAGAGTAAAAACTCCTGCTAATATACATTCTAAATACAGATGCTAACAATTGGTACTTTATTTTTAATACTGTCAAATACCCTATTATGTCGAAATCAGTTACAACATCAGTGTTTCTTTGTTTTGAAATGATTTGGACAATGTGATTTTCCTATTTACTTTTTGAGGGAGGCAATACAAGAGATTATAGTAACTTTGTAACGACTGTAGGCCCGCATCCTGCAAAAAACCATGAAGCAGCATTGCCGCAGGTGTGTGCGTAGTTTTATCGCCAAATTTTGACAACAAAGCATTTAATTCACTCGCAAAAAAAGAGATACTGTACTGATTTTTTTTTAAATTCCGTGTGTAAATTGTCTATTATTACTGATGTTATTATGCTGTAACTATTTCATTAAAGCAACGGATGTGCTGTATTTCAATAAACCAACGGTTAGCGTGAATTATTCCGTAGAATATTTTTTGTAGAGTCTAAACACTTTGCTAACTCAAATGACGTATAATATAAAGACAGGTTATACGCCAACATTATTGCATTTTAAAATGACACAAGTAGTCCCCGTCCCAACTTTCCTTGACAACAGCAACCAATAAAGCGCAATAAAGTAGTCTCTGGGTCTATTCCGAAATATACATCAGTATACTGGCCAGTGGTAATGGCGTCACGAATCCGACGCCATATCGTACTGGTATGCTACCAAATTTTTACCGGGAAAACGAATATGACGTATGACCGAGCGTGCGTGAGATGCATTCGAATTTTATTTCTTTTTTATCTAAAGAACAACAATGGCATCCGAACAAAAAGAATTCCTTTTAATTGATGAGGTGAATAAAAAATCTTATTTATTCGCATTATTTTTAATATTTCGTACTTACACGATGTAGCGAAGTGCGGCCGCGGCGAGAGAGAGCGCCTGACTGAATGCAAGTCGGGCAATTACCCGGCTTTCGTATTGCCAAATTTGAAGCCTGTATGACGTATCTATAACTATAAAACATCATAGACTAACTCAGTTTCTTTGCATCAACACAGCTTACTTATTACGCTAAGACAAAATGGTGCAGTAAAAAGAAAAAAAAACTACAACTTAGCTGCACAATAAAGTACGATTTAACTACCACGACTAAATTTTACGTCTACTACGGAAACATGATGGAAATTCCTCCGCAGGTCGTCTTATGAATTCATAAATTCTCAAAGTGCATTAAGATCTAAATATAAACATCAGAATGACAAGATTTAAACATCTAGCAGTGGTGGTAATTTAATAATTTAACTAAAGAACAAATAGTAAGATATTTATAACTAAAAAAATATCTCTCAGAAAAATCAACTTACTTGAATCACGTTTAAGCGCGTGTACAATAGCGCAATAAATAAATATTGTATTCTACCATATACATGATAGTACTTTTATACTGATAAATTAAAGCATTTCGTGCAAAATTATTCCCTAACCATTCCAAAATATCAAAAATGCACGTTAATATTAAAGTCTTCACTTCTGCCGGCACTCCTGCAGTGCAACCCGTCGTTTTTTTCATAGTAAGCTCAAGTGCTGAAACTACCAAAACTGTTAGAAAAAGTGAACTTAATTGATTCACTTTTTCAAACACTTTTGATGTAGTAAAGTAATTTGACCAAAAAGTGCCTTAGCAGTACAGATTAACAAAGATCGCAATGAGGTACTGTTGCGTCCCAGATGTATTGTGTATTAAGTCTTTGTAATGTCTGCTGACCCGTCCCGAGTAACCACAGATAGGACTATTGTAATGCAAGTACAGTCTCCAGTTTCTATAATTTACAATCAATTGTGTCTTCTGTTTCTTGAGACTAACCGAATGAAATGGTTAACGGTTGTCACCGCAGACGTTGGGCTTACAGTCTTAAATATATAGGTGTATATAGATAATTCTTTTATGTCGATTTCACAGCCCAGAATTTAGTGGAGTATGTCGACCGAGTAACAGATATACTTTTGTGTTTTATCTCGGGTTTTACTTAAGATAACGCGGCTATAGCTTCTGAATAGGCTTACAAAGATTTTTGTATTAACGCAATTATTTCGTTTGTTTAATAAAACTTATTTAGGTTTTAGGACGATGCGCACTGACTCTTATTATAGTGACACAATGGTGTAGATGCTGGCGTGATTCTCTAAACTAAAAACTAAATTTAACATCAGTCCCTCCTTTTCACTCTGTATAGAGAATGACAGGGATGCACTGTTGTCAAATTTGAGTTTAGCTTTAGAGGCCAGAATCGACATCACTGACTCTAAAATTATAGTTCCACAAATCAAGGTTAGATGGCGTTGTACTTGTCTGCATTGCGCTATGGCTTTGAGCACCGAGGATATCTATACTATCAAATATGTTTCCATGAATGATCAATAGATGGCGCTGTAATTTTTCCAATTCAATCGTAGTAGCCTAGGCACGTCAAAACTATGTAGTAACTTTAATAAGTAGAATAATCCGAGAAAGTTTTGTAGCAGTCAAATAGAGTTTTATTTACACACATCGAATGAGTGACGTGAACACATTGTAATGGATAATTAATTTAATGAATCAGTTTCCAGAAGGATCATTTTCGGTATTTAAGTGTCGCCGCACACGGCCCACACGCCATAGAAACAAACGCCGCCACGAGAAGCTAGAAGCGGCTACTAAAGTGGCTGAAGCGCGCGACAGCGGCCGACTAAGGTAAGGGAGAGACGGTTGGGGAATCGCGCGAGTGACGTGTGGCGGCGTTTTATATCGGCGCATTAAGTGGCCGGTGCGGGCCACAAGAAGCGAGCAACGACGATTTGTAGCGTGTGGCGGCCACCGGCGTACCGTGTGTGGCGAGTCCATATAAAATGTATGAAAACTACAAGAAATATGCCGGTGGCGGCGTTTTGTGGTTGTGGCCGGTGGCCTATGTGCGGCGACACTAACGTGTATATTAGATTTTTTACAATATTAACAATAGGTAGTTGCTAACCTTTACTTAATGTTTCATTATGCCGTTTCTAGTTCGACCTGGGCTGTCAGCCGTGGAAACGAACCCTGGTCGGCACCGTGCACAACCTGGGCCTAGTGTTCTCCTTCCTGCTCTCCGGCTTCATATCAGACAGGTACCAAGATTCATCATCATCAGCCTCTTTATGTCCCCACTGCTGGGGCACAGGCCTTCCCTATGGATGGAATAGGGAGATTGGGCCATGACCCACCACGCGGGCCCTAACGTGCTAACGACTGCAGATGCAACCGGGACCAACGGCTTAACGTGCCTTCCGTAGCACAGAGGAACTCGAGATAGAAATTTTTGGTCACCCATCCAATGACCGACCACTGCGAAAGTTGCTTAACTACAACGATCGCAGCCGAACGCGCTAACCACCTGCGCCATCGAGCTCCTCTTCATCGGTCTGCGCCATCGGTACCAAGATTAAATGTATATTAAAAAAAATACATCTCAAGCGGTTAATATTTTTCTGTTTGTGAAATAGGCACTTTTTTTTCAAACTATAAATTACTATTGGAAAAACCCTAAACCACATTCTTTGACTCTTGTAATCACACTAATATTATAAAGGTGAAAGTTTGTGAGTGTGTATGTTTGTTACTTCTTCACGTCTAAACGGCTGGAACGATTTTAATAAAATTTGGTACGGAGTTGAAATTAGGTAATCAGACAGAGAACCAGAGTCATCGATATAGCCTACCGGATTAGCAAGTTGTTAAATTTAGTTTTAAGTTTAGAGAATCACGCCAGAATCGGCACCATTATTTACCTACTTCTATATTTACTAATTATTTATGAAGGCAGTTAACAACATCTTGAGGTAACAATAATTGGCAAAGACACACGACAACACAATAAATAATAGGTAAAAAAATTGGAAATAACAAGATTGTCATGCCAAGATCCATAGATATTTATATATCGAAGGCTCTTTACCAGTCGATGTATGTCTACTGATCATCCGTAGATAAATATCTATTGTGACATGGTGAGAATAGGGCAAAAAGGTTTTCCTTCGATAAAAGCCATATCATTCGATATATATCGAAGGTGATATAATGTCTATGCCGTGAGAATTGGGCCCCTGGCCCTTTCCATAGCGCGCTGAGCGACTTTGAACCTGTGGACCAGCCGTACCGTCAGTGTCCACGTCTCGGCTCCGTATGTCATCACAGGCTATGCTCGGCGTTTCTCTGAAGGATCGCATCAGAAATGAGGTAATCCGACAGAGAACCAGAGTCATCGACATAGCCCACCGGATTAGCAAGTTGAAATGGCAGTGGGCTGGCCATATTTGCCGAAGAACCGATAACCGTTGGGGTAGACGAGTTCTGGAGTGGAGACCGCGTCTAGGCAAACGTAGTGTAGAACGTCCTCAGGCGCGATGGAGTGACGATTTGCGCAAGATGGCTGGCAGGAGCTGGATGCGAGTAGCCCAAGATCGATCTGAGTGGCGTGCATTTGGAGAGGCCTATGTCCAGCAGTGGACTAGGATAGGCTGTTGATGATAATGATGATGATGATGGAGTTAGTTGACACCCTGGATTAACACATAGGCGACGTTTACTGCGGGAAAATATTCCTAATAAACCACGGGTAACACCGCGGGGTATAGCTAGTTTCTCGATAATTACAGAACTATTGGCAAACATAACGCATAATAACAAATAATTTGACAATCTATTCGCTGCGTAATAATAATTTAGCTAAAATAAACGTTATAGATATTAACGGGATTGTTACCATGTACCTTGTTTTTTATGAGTCTCCGATATTTCATTATATTGTGTGCCGGGAACAAATGCGAGTGAATAGTGAGAATGTGACCAGTGGTAGTGGTAGTATCGAACGCAGTAAAAGACGTCAGAGGGTAAACCGATATGTCTGCCAATAACATCTACCCGCAATTACTTCAGTTACTCCGTGATCATGGCGCTTGCAACAGTACCGAAATATCGGAGACTCATAAAAAACAAGGTACATGGTGACAATCCCGTTAATATATATAATGTTAGTGACCATGAAAGTTTAAAACAATATAAAATAAACGTTTCTAATAATTAATCTCTTTGTAATGGTATACACAGAAAATACTTTCAATCAATTGTTATCCTAAACACCTGATTTAATAATATGTATAAAAATGTACTTAAAGTATAACGACGCGATAATGTCGTTATTTTTATCTAAAGACGTCGTTATCAAAAATACCTTGGAGCTAATTAATATCACCTGACCTTACCTTATGTTGAGTGCACAGGCGAGTGGACTTAGCGATAAATTGACAAGGAATTCTTAGTCTCGCTTGAGTACTTATTTGAGTGAAATTCCAGCCTCGAAGAAATAACTGAAACTGTGATGTGACACTCCAACCATCCTTATGACTGAGCCTCACGGAGCCCTGTACCCTTAGTACGTGCACTGTCGGATTTAGGGGAGGGCAACCGGGGCGAAAGCCCCGGGGCCTCCACAAACGGGGGCCCCCACAATAGAGACTTCGGAAAAAAAATCTTTCAAATTCCAACTAGTAAACACTAGTAAACATCTTTTCTTTTGATATTTTTGAAGTTATACTTCTTTAGGCGCGTTATGAAAAAATGATGAGAGTGAAATTTTAAGATGCGCGCGCATCACTGTAACACAAAAAATTAACAGCATGAAGTTGGTCGCTTTAGCGCACATTAAGAAAATCTACCAACAAAATAGAAATTGAATCTCTATTTTGTGGGTGTTAACGACTGCATTGTGAAGGCCTATCAAAAGTATTTATTAATCTGGAACAACGGAACCAAAGCGCGATTCAGGAGACTACAGCGCCATCTCTTGACCATTGGTGTAGTAGAACCAAAAACCACATCTTTATTTTTTGTAATAAAGTAACAAAAAGTATTTATTAATCTGGAACAACAGAACCAAAGCGCGATTCAGGAGACTACAGCGCCATCTCTTGACCATTGGTGTAGTAGAACCAAAAACCACATCTTTATTTTTTGTAATAAAGTAACAGTTATAGGTATTCATATTTATAATATTTATCCACATGTTTCTAGTTTGTATATTCGGAATACGTGTTTGAGTTTCATACAAGTGCAAATCACATATGTTCTAATAAATTATATTCAGTAGCGATTTTAATTGAATATTTTGATTATTTATTTATTTTTTCAAATTAAAACTGAACTTTATTGACTGTGTCCTTTTCCAGACTTTTTATTAATTTATTGTAATTAATTATTTGCATGCAATTAAAAACTAATTTTAAACGATGCCAAAGAAGGATAACTTCTCACGCGCCTACATAGGTACACGCACCCATTTTTTTTTTACTCCGAGAACTCGATTTCAACGAAATCATCAACGATTTTTCGACGAAGAAAGCTCGAATTGGTTCCGTTCGTTAACTCTAAGATTTAATTTCAGATAATTCTTGTTTCCGTTTATATTTATATGTGTTTGTTCAATACTAAGGGAATCTACTTGGTTCACAATAAATTGTTTATTGAAAAACTCGACTGAAAAAAATTGTCTACTTTATTTGGAAAATAATTTGGGGTGAGGGGGCCTCCGCTCCTCTGTTGCCCCGAGGCCTCTGGACCTCTAAATCCGGCCCTGAGTACGAGTTTTACAATATAATTACGAAAACTATGATAGTTTTCGTGAGATCGCATTCTTACTAAGGGTACTGATTTTATTGTTTTCGTTTCAATACAAGTAAACAATGTTTAAATTGTATCATTAAATCATTTTGTCTTCTTAAATTTTAAGTATATTTGGTTACTTTTCACCAAAATGGACATAGAAACATAATTTACAATTACGAAAACTATGATAGTTTTCGTGAGCTCAAACTCATACTAAGGGTACTAGATGAGCTGGGATGATCCTTTCTCATCAAAAGAGATCACTTGCCAATACGAGCGCTCCAATTCGAGTGACATGCATTGCTGATGATGACCGTTTATAATTAAATAAATAAATAAATATTTCCAACACTCACACCAATTAGCCTAGCCCCAAAGTAAGCACTGTAAGGCTTGTGTTATGGGATACTAGGGTAACGGAGAGAATACATATATAATTATATTTATATAGAAATACATATGAAACATCCATAACTGGAGTACAAATGCTCGTATTCATCACACAAACATTTGCCCCACCGGGCACTTTGAACCCGGGACCTCTCGAGTCGGCGACACCATGAAACCCGGCGTAAAAAATACTCGGCCACGGAGGTCGTCAAATTAATTAGCTTTAGAAAAATCCAGTCATCAAACGAGATGCTAACCTGCCCGTTCCCCTATCTGGGTGGAACATGTTTTCTAGCATTATGGGATGCATAGCGGGTTTTCGGCTGGAACTGGAGCGCCTAACTTTAGACAGTACATAAATAGCGCGTTTTCTGATCGAATTGGCGCGCCCGTCTAGGGCATTACTTTACACCGGCTAGGGGGCGGGAGGCTGCTGGGTGCGGAGACGCGAAAGAACCCCTAAACGGGGACGGGTGGTTTGTACGCCGGGTTTCATGGTGTCGCCGACTCGAGAGGTCCCGAGTTCGAGTCCCGGTGGGGGCAGATGTTTGTGTGATGAATACGAGCATTTGTACTCCAGTCATGGATGTTTAATATATTTTTCTTTATAAATATTCTTATAAATATGTACAGTATATGTATTCTATCCGTTACCCTAGCATCCCATAACACAAGCCTTACAGTGCTTACTTTGGGGCTAGGCTAATTGGTGTGAGTGTTGGAAATATTATTATTATTATTATTCGCAGGGTTTTTAGCGGATATTATGCCGTAAAGCGCCCGTAAGAGTTACGGAGTCCTCAGTGGGCAGTCACTGCGGGGCTCGTAAGGCTTGTGGGAGCCAGGTGTGAGGTCCGTTCGGCGGTGTGCCTCTCAAAGGCGCCGTCGTCTGTAAACAGAGTATTTAACTGCGTCACAAAAATAGGGTACATTACTTTACAGAGAAGAGGAGCTCGATGGCGCAGGTGGTTAGCGCGTTCGGCAGTGATCGTTGAATTTAAGCAACTTTCGCAGTGGTTGGTCATTGGATGGGTGACCAAAAAATCTTCTATCTCGAGCTCCTCCGTGCTTCGGAAGGCACGTTAAGCCGTTGGTCCCGGCTGCATCTGCAGTCGTTAGCACCCACCAATCCGCACTGGGCCCGCGTGGTGGGTCATGGCCCAATCTCCCTATCCCATCCATAGGGAAGGCCTGTGCCCCAGCAGTGGGCACATTAATAGGCTGATGATGATGATGATGACTTTACAGAAGACCATAGGTAAATAACACTGTCTTTTGGGGGTGCTGTGTTTCTGTCAGTGGGTAAGGTTCCAGGGCTCCACGTGGTAGGGCATTGGGCAAGACAACGGCACGAGTGATAGCTATGGTGTCGCAATCGTCTATAGGCTATGGTGGCTGCTTACCGTCAGCCAGGCCATTAGCTTATTTGCCACACTTTTAACATAAAAAAACTATATGCTTTATTAATACTTGGTCAGTGCATTCGCCCGGATTGCGAAAGGTGCGGGTTCGAGTCCCCTCCGCTGCCTGGTCCTTGTGGATTTTTTTCTAGTAAAACTTTTCTTTAGATTTAAACATCTAGCAGTTAAACGCTTAAAAAATAAAAACTTAACTATAATTGCTATTTCTTCTTTCAAATGTTTAATACTTGAAAAAGTATTCATTTGACATTGTGGGTTACCTACAATGCGAAGAGATGGCGCTTTCTTGCAGCTTAAGGCTAGGAAAATTTCGACGCGGCCATCAGTGCCGTGGTAGCATAATTGGTCAGTGCATTCGCCCGGATTGCGAAGGGTGCGGGTTCGAGTCCCGTCCGCTGACTGGTCCGCGTAGATGTTTTTCTAGTAAAACTTTTCTTTAGATTTAAACATCTAGCAGTTAAATTGGTTTGTACGCCGGGTTTCATGGTGTCGCCGACTCGAGAGGTCCCGGGTTCGAATCCCGGTGGGGGCAGATGTTTGTGTGATGAATACAAGCATTTGTACTCCAGTCATGGATGTTTATATGTATTTCTATATAAATATACTTATATATGTACAGTATATGTATTCTATCCGTTAACCTAGCATCCCATAACACAAGCCTTATAGTGCTTACTTTGGGGCTAGGCTAATTGGTGTGTATTGGAAATATTTATTTATTATTTATTATTGTTAAATGCTTAAAAAATAAAAAAAATAACTATATGCTTTATTCCAGATATGGCCGCAAAGTGGTGATAGTGGCCACGCCACTGGTGGTAGGCACCGTGGGGCTGATTAAGTCCTTCTCCGTCAACTACTGGATGCTGCTACTCCTGGAATTCCTGGAGACCGCTCTGGGATACGGGAACGCTTCCATGGTGCTATGTAAGTGACCTGTCTTTACTAATTCAGACTTAGACCTATATAACTTTTTAATTGGGCCTTTCGAGGCATAGTGGAATTTTAAGCAGTTTAATGTTAAACAAATAAAAAATTGTTAAGAGACTTTTCAAATCAATATATCTCTGCAATGTTTATATTATGTGAAAAAAGAAAAAATACGTGTCCAATACTTTTTGATAATCTACCTGATAAACGAAGAAAAAAAATTAGTCATCATCCCTATTAGTAGCCGTTATTCGAATAATGACATTAGTGTACTACTTATTTGCCTTTTGTATAGCCAAATTAGTAGTTACAAATTAGTCGAAAGGTAAAATCATTCGTAGTCGCGCATCGCTAACGAATAACACGATATTTTTGGTACCTATTGTGTGTCTGTTGGTTAGTAAGACTCCAGGCCTCCATGTGACTGATGCCCTGGAATATTACTCACTATAATGTATTGAGGTCTGCAAGGTGAGGATGACTAGAATAGCACATATTTGTTTCTTAGGTTTTCACGCACATAACTCATTAAATAAAACTAGTTTTAACGGCTTCATGCACGAAAGCATCGTCAGTATTTCTGACGATCAACTCAGTATTCTGACGATGCAGACCTGAAAAGGCTGCGAAACGTCAATAAATAAATAAAGTTTCATGCTTTAACCCATTAAAACTAGTTTTATTTAGAAAAGCACATTTCTCTAATCAACAGCTAACTTCGCAACTGCATTTCATTAACGCGCTAAATATCACCAAAAAGCAGAGTTGTGACATATTTGAAATACTTGTATTTAAAATACAAATACAAAATCCAAAATACATATTTTGGATTTTGTACTTAAGTACTTTTTTTAAAAAGTATTTTGTATTTTATTTGAAATACTATTCGAGACGTATTTTGTATTTGTAAAATGGTTTTTAAAATACAAAATACTTTTTTAATTCTTAGCTTCATTTTTCTAAAGCATTCTGCGATTCAGTAAAAACAAAAAATGGCCACTAGTGGCGCAGCAGCTTTGAAAGTCTATGCGCAAAATGACAGATGAAACAAAACGCATATAAAACCTGACCAATAATATATAAGGGACCCCTCTTGACAATCCTCAAAGTCACTGTTACGTTTTGCAGTGTTGGCAGCTATTTCATTATTTCTGTGTTGTTTGCTCGAAATGTCTTTAGAAAAATGCCAAAACAAATTGTATTTAAAAAAATATGCCGTGTAGGCAATAGTACGTTATTTTAACGATTCGTATTTTAAGTGATTATGAATGTATAAATGACAAATAAAAATACAGAAATAGAAAAATATAATTATAAAAAACCGGTACGTAAACAGCACTACAAAAAAGATGCCATTGTGGGCATTGTGGCAAGTATGTAATATAAATATAAGCTTCGATCATATCATTAAGTTAATTTGGTCGTTTTGTGTGCTAATTGACATAACACACGTCCATACAGGCGCAACATGTCAGATGCTCTTTTTGAAGAGCTTGTGATTTTAAAATCTTTAATAAATAACGAAAACCAGTAATTTTACCATAAAGTATTTTATTTCAATAAAGTATTTTGAAAATATATATTTTGTATTTAGTATTTAAATACAAAAGGCAAAAGTATTTTGTATTTTGCATTTGAAATACTATATTAAAAAAGTATTTGCATTTTGTATTTAAATACTTTTCGAAAAGTATTTTGTACATCTCTGCCAAAAAGTCGATTATTTCACAGTGATCTTCTGTAAGGTAGAGATTACTTCTTCAGAAGGAGGTAGGTACCAATCCATGCGGAAAATCGTATCAATACCTATCTCTGTCGACGGAGAAAAAAAGGTTACTTTTCTTTGTAGATAAAACACGCACAACATTTTAATGCATGATTTAACATAAGAAGGAGATAGAAAGCCTCTCTGAGTATGTTTCACCGGTTCTTCTTAGAAAGGCCTCCCAATTTTGGAAGCGGTGGTAGTTTACGGTAGTTCTAAATTAACTAATAAATTCATACATAGACAATAAAATTTCAAAAATCTTCCAATGAAATATCCGAACGCTCAATAAAAGTCTTTCGAAGGTAGCTCGACAAAGTAAATAAAAAATCATTATTCTGACGATGCAGACCTGAAAATACTGTGAAACGTCAATAAATAAATAAAGTTTGTGCATTAATCCGTTAAAACTAGTTTTATTTAAAATACTTTTTCATGGATATTAGAGCACATAATAATACACATATGAAAAATATGATTGTGTAATGTTATTTGTCTTTTAATGCATTCTATGTTGAATGCCGTGATTCTATGATTAAATGATTTGCATACGTTTCAAAAATCTGTAAAAAATCTTGATAATAGTACTTTTCATGAACTTTTAAGGAAAATTATAACGGTTAAGATAGATCAGTTAGTTAAGGAGTAATACTCGTTCAACTTAGTATATATTAACTTAAACGCCCATAATAACGACACGCACTTGTTTCGTTTTACATATAATCAAAACATTACATAGATATAATGATTTGAAATGTTGTATAACGTCACGCCTTCATAAAATTTTCACTTAGATGTGACGTCAACAACTGCCACTTCCAAACTTTGACCCGCTTTATCTTTGTAAATTTTTGGTTAATTCGCAAAAGAAAAAATAATTCACCCTAATTTTTGATGATCTAACTGAGCCACTACATATAAATTCTTTTACTCTACCCCTTCGTTATCCCTAACAAATATGAATAATATATAGAAGCACGATGTTATAATAATAATAATAATAAGATTTATTGACCAAAATAATCAGTACAGTAAGATTACGTAACAAACTTAGCACTAGTTATACAGAAAATATATTTTATTAGCCTCTGCTGCTGAACTAGGCAATGCCTGTATTTCAGCATTCAGCGCCATAAACCCCCACAGACATGAGAATACTAAACTAGACTAAATACATATCTCATGAAAAGATCAATAGGTAGCAATTCATTTTAAAAGCAAGGCATCTATGAGTATAATATTTAAATTAATATGTAATGTATGAAATGATTTGTGTCTGTATGTGTATGTGTGTTGCATTGCTTATCGCGTTTATTCTGCAATTGCAAATATTTAAGCTATTTTCGCCAATGGTTCAATCGGATGGTTCCCCAAAAAATATTTTCTCGTGCTTTTGGTGGCAAACTAAGCCATTGTAACGGTTTTCCGACAACCTAAGACAGGTTTAACATGCGTTTTTATAATTTTCAAGAAAAAAATCGTGTCTTTGATAGTTGTGAGAGTACCTATCCAGAAACAAACTTTAGATATAAAAATCAGAAAGTTGAATCTATACTGTCTATACTAATATTATAAAGCTGCAGAGTTTGTTTGTTTGAACGCGCTAATCTCTGGAACTACTGGTCCGATTTGAATGATTTTTTCAGTGTTAGGTAGTCCATTTATCGAGGAAGGCTATAGGCTATTTTTTTTTTCAATATTAGGGATCCGTAATAAAATTCCTATTTTGTAACACATGGTGTAAAATCGAAAACCTATTTTTGCGTGCGCTGCAAAAACTATTGACAATAGAACAAAATGATGTACTACGGGTTTGTAGATCCCATTGAGACCTACAAAAAAGTCCGCGAAAATATATATCTAGCTATCATGGTTTAATCACAATAACCGATTTTGTGTTCAAAATAATTATTAAATCGTCTGAAGAAAAAAAAACTACGTTAAGTATGTATCGTAATATTAGTCTTTATCGCAATTAAGCATTATGTTATCAAGAGTATTTATGTAGAAGTAAAATACTTTTTGTTTCATCTCAATCGGATATTTCGTTTAAAAGTTATCACGTGTGTAAGATGTTAAGAGTTGGTACCTATTAATGAGTTATGGGCCATAGAGTTTTTTATCAACATAAAATCCTGTAATAATCTTTTTCGAAATATATTTGTTGATGATTGTAAGTATAAGATCTTTGAAGAGTATAATAAATACATTTTTCTTAATATTATAAAGCTGAAAAGTTTGGTTGTTTGTTATGAACGCGGTAATCTCGGAAAATACTGATCTGATATGAAAACTGTTTAAATATTCAATAGTGCATTTATTGAGGGAGGCTATAATATAGGCAATATTTTATCTCAGTATTTCCACGGAAACGAGAAAAACGCGGGTGAAACCGCGGGGCACGGCTAGTACTGAAATAAAAATAAACTGAAAAGCACATTTATCTTGTTTTAGCTCTCGAGATGGTGACCCAGAAAAGGCGAGTTATATTCTCGTGCGTGTCAGACATCTTATCGACCTGCGGCTTCGCGTTTTTCGGCCTGATAGCTTGGAAGATCCCCTACTGGAGGCACATGATGAGAGCGATCTACGCACCCCTCCTCGTCGTGGTCTTCTACATCTTCTTGGTGGACGAAGGAGTGCGCTGGCTGTTAGCACATAACAAGAAGGACGAAGCAGTCAGAGTCCTAAACAAGGTCGCAAAGTTTAACAATATCACGCTCTCGACGAAAGCAAAGGACATGCTCACGAACATCACGCAAGAGGCCAGGAAAGCTGAACAAGTCAGTGTTATATATATATATATATATATATTTATTATTATTTTAAAGCATGTAACTGCTTGATGTTTAAATCTAAAGAAAATGTAACTAGAAAAAAATCCACGCGGACCAGGCAGCAGACGGGACTCGAACCCTTCGCAATCCGGGCCAATGCACTGACCAATTATGCTACCGCGGCCCTCACGGACCGCATCGAAATTCTTTTAGCTATTCTTTAGCTGCAAGGCAGCGCTATCTCTTCGCATTATAGGTGACCCACAATGTCAATTGCCTTGCAGCTTAAGAATGGCTAGAAGAATTTCGACACGGTCCGTGAGGGCCGCGGTAGCATAATTGGTCAGTGCATTCGCCCGGATTGCGAAGGGTGCGGATTGGAGTCCCGTCTGCTGCCTGGTCCGCGTGGAATTTTTTCTAGTTACATTTTCTTCAGGTCAGTGTTGTTTTAATAACTGTTTTACTCCTCACCTTAAAAGATTTACACCGAATTGACATTATAAAATCACTCATCACATTCTTTAGCTCAAGGAACAACAATCGGGAATCTTGTCTAGGATCCTGAAAATAGCAAATTACTTAAAAGTGTATACCTTATACCAATATAAAGATAACATTGCGAAATAACAATGCTATTTTTTTTCACTTTTTCCATTTTTTTCTATCTTATCATATTGCGATATATTATTATTTGGACAGTAATTTCACTTAAGTATATTGTTTCTATACAACTTCTTGTCAAAAATTGCTTACCTACTTAAATTTTTTGATAACGCTTGACTCACATTTCTTACTTAATCTATAAGCTCTACGTGTGATAATTCAATTAGCTCCTTTAATAATATTTTAACTATGTTCTTTTGCAGTAGGTATAGTTTCACACTTTCTTCAAAATGATCCAATTTCACAGAGACACACATAAAGATCAACAAGAAAAATATTTAATTTCTTTTTTTGTCTGTTATGACTTTAATGATTTTTATTCTTTTCAGCTCGGTAAGGGATCGCAGTCATCACACGTCAGCCTAATAGTTGTACTGAGATCAAGGAAGATCCTTCTGCGGGTGTTCCTGATTGCCGCTATTTTCTTCTGCTGCATCTTCGTGCTCAACGGCTCCATCATCAACTCCACTGGCATCATCGGAAACAAGTACATCAACTTTTCGGCGCTGCTCCTCGTGTCCATCCCCACCAGGGTCATCACTGCCATCACCCTCACCAAGTTTGGCAGAAAAACTCCTATATGTATCGCTTACATTCTGTGCTGTGTGTTCTTCATTGCATCCGCTTTTGTGGCAAAGTGTAAGTATTGTGCTATTTTCTTGATGTAGTGTCGATTTGTTTTGTATGCATCGTGCTTCCTCGTATCATCTAGCTTGCAGCAGTACTGTTAACAACAGTTGGATATTTTCATAACACATTTGAACCAATAGTGTATTTTTATAAATTCAGTTAATCGTCGACCTAAAAGCTACATTGCTTAAAAGCAAAATACTCCGTCTTTATTTAAGTACATTGTTTAGACCTTGTGATTCCTAAAATAGATGTACCCAAATTTATCGTTCACTTAAAATTATCATATTATTTGTTCCTCAATTCAAAATTATACTTACAGCGATCTGGTGGGCGTCTGTGCTTTTCTACATTTTTGGCAAGATGTGCAGCAGCTACGGCATGTTCTCCATGATGGTGGTAGCCATGGAAGTGTTCCCCACAACATCGAGGAATTCCCTGACAAACGCGGCCAATACTATCGGCAGGCTCGGAGCGGTGTTGGCTCCGCAGGCTCCATTATTGGTTAGTCATTAACATGGTCAACTTATAATATCCCCAGTGTTGAGACAAAAATTTTTAATGGAAAAAAGGATGCTAACGATAATATCAATCACATGCGAATCATGAAGAAACCCATGATCAAAATTTTAATCACCTTTAGGGAATTCTTCATTGCCCTATCAATCCAAAGGAAGCCAGAGCTTTATAAAATCGAGGGTTTTGGAAAGGCTCGCGGTATTTCTAGTTTCTACATGCTATAGTGGCCGCTTATTATTAGGCAGGACCATGAGAAAATTCCCATATTATCACAAAAACTTGGTGAGTCAATGATCAGCTTTATTCCAATTTCAAGGCTAGAATTTGTATCATCATCTTGGTACTTCCTTAATTTCTTAACAAAAATCGACTTAGACGTAGAAAAAATTTATAAGTAGTTTCCGTCTTCAGATGTCTTTGTTTCATGCGTAGACATAGTGTCAAATAGAATGAGCGACACTGTGACGGATGGTGACAAGTCTCTAGAAAAAGTCAGAAATCTGCCAATACATAGATAAAATATGGGCCGCCATTGCTTCGTCTCTCTAACACACACCTCACTGCCCGGTTTTTCTTCATAGTTGGTACAGGCATGTGTAGTCCATTTTCTCTGGCAAAGGATTCATGATTGTGAGCTTTAAAATTAAACACCATCCGTCTTATTCCAAAAATAACTTTAATTCGTAAATTGAAAAATAACAGCATTAGGTCTGACTGTCTGTCTGACAGACAGACAGCATTAGGTCTGACAGTCACACATAATGCTGTAAACTTTTAGTAAACAAAAGTAACAGCATCTGTTTTGATCAGGTTTAACTTTAGTCAACGGTTTAAACGGGTTAAGCGGTTCGTAATTTGTAAAGGTATTTCGTTTGATATTGAGGGTTATCTACAATGCGAAGAGATGCCTAAGAAATACTAAAAGACATTCGACACAGTCAATAAGGTCGCGGTAGCATAATTGGTCTGCACATCTGCTCGGATAGCAGAACCCTGCGCTATCCAAGCGTTCTCCGTGATGGGTTCGAGTCCCGCCCGCTGATTTTTTCTAATGAAATTTGTTCTCGTTTTTAGGAAAAATACATGTCTGGGTTGCCGAGCATAGTGTTCGGGCTGGTGGCGCTCGGACCCGTGCTGCTCGCGCTGCTGCTGCCCGACACCAGCCGCGCCGCGCTGCCCGACCACATCCACGACGCCGAGCGCATCGGCGACCACAACGATGACCGCAACGACGACTGCAGCGGCGACCACAACCACAACCATGACGTTGAGTGCAGCGGAGACGCAACAACAGAACAATCATCAAAAACAAAACAAGACTTGGACGTTGAAAATCGAGCTAGTTAGGCAGATAAGCTAGTAATTTAATAGGAATCTCATTCTAGAACATGAATTAGTCAATTTCTTTCTTCTCCACACAATGATGACTGTTACGGTGATCACATGCAAAGACCACCTTGCAGAAACAGCCAGACTTGACTGCTGAACACCAAGCTAGCTAATAAGCAAGTATTTTAATAGAAATCTCATTGTTGAATACCATTGTGTACATTTACGGCTTTAATGAAACTCCGGTAAAAGATAAGCAATCCGGTAAAATATTTGAGCTCTGTTGCTTAAATATTTATGTGTATATTAATTAGAATAAAATAGCCTGTTTTCAGAAACAGAAACAGATTATCCTTACTTTTTACTGGAGGCTGATAACTGAAACTGGCCGTTAAATAATTTGTTACTTCTCCACGAGGTAGGTGAATTGTCATCGTAATGCTGACTTGTGCCACATGAACTTCTCCGCATGACTGTGCATTCGTTTCGAGGATACATCCTAGATGATCTATAGGTGTGTATGAATATTAAAACTGACGGTTAGTTTACAAAGCTAGCGGAATTTATGTTAACGCTTTTTTATGTTGTGCCTATCAAGGGAAGGGACGACTTAACATCGATGTCTGACGTACAGAAAACCGTAAACATTATTATGCTGTGTTCTGTTTTTGCAGGGGATAAATGGCCAGAGTCCCTTGGGGTAAACAATGTGCCAATAACAAATACCTACATAAATTCCTATATGAGGCGCAGCTTTTCAACATTCATAACTGTAAAATCTGTACTGGTTAACTGCATTTTTGATTTTTAATTTAATTGGCGTCCTTGGCTATGTTGCTCATTTACAATAGGCAAGCCATAGGCTTAGATTAAAACAAGAAGGGTAGATACGGTACGCTCATACTTGCATCAAACAAAAACTGATCCCACTTTACTACATATGTAACACTCACACATCCACCTGTTTGTAAAGATACAATCGAACGAACGAAACAGCAATTTAAGTTTCAACGGCAGCGCGAACGGGACGGCGAGATTCGCGTCACTGCATTACCGACCAGAACGAAACAGCACGTTAAGTTTCAACGGTAGCGCGAACGAGACGGCGAGATCCGCGTCACTGCACTACCGACCAATCACGCGACCAGTACTCGACGCCACTACCGAATTAGATTCAAAACAAACAACAATTTTTATGAAAAAATATATTTTATAGTACTTATTTTGGTGGGTCATGGCCCAATCTCCCTATTCCATCCATAGGGAAGGCCTGTGCCCCAGCAGTGGGGACATTAATAGGCTGATGATGATGATGATAGTACTTACGAATGAAAAGTGATGCCGTGGGTTTTATTTTTAGTTCTTGAGCAATTTGAGCACTTTTTACAAACACACTTAGGCATTGTTTTATCATATAAACAAAATATTAGCAATATTTCTTTTTGGCGTTCACATGTACGTCGTTTGCATGTCAAGTTGTGACTAAAGCGATTGTGGTCTTGGGCCACAATTTATGCGGATCACTTTTGTGACGCTAGTGCCGTATCTACCCTTTTTGTTTTAATCTAAGGCCATAGGTAGCAATTTTGCCACCTTGCCACTGTTGCAGAATTCTTTTTATCTTCTTACTCTCACTTTGTCAGAATGTATGAAGATAATGAATAGAATTTTTAGCTTTCACTTTGTATATAATTTAGTAAACTAGTGCCCGTAGTATGAAAGTTGACTTTTGAAATATCGTGTGATATTCGTCGATTCTATTCTTACTTACATATTGTTTAATGTCGTAGAGTAGGACACAACACCACTATACATCGATGAATCGACTTTGATAGTACAGCCCCGTTTTGTATTTTATAGTAAGTTGCCGAATGCAGAAATTAAACGTTGTCGTTATGTAAAACCAAGAATGCCATCTTAATAATATTGTGTGAAAAATTGTAATTTGTAAAATCCATATCTAATAAATTTTGATGAACTCTTACGACTGCCCGACAACACGTTACTTAAATTGAATGGTTGTTAAAGTGACGTGTTGTCTTCAAGCGGGTTCACACGAGACGATTTAAATTGAACATTTTATCGTTCAACTGCTTTTCTTCACTTTGATTGCTTCAATTCGATTGAAAGCCTCTTCAGAAGGTTCAAACCCCATGCGATTTAGCAGTTGATGAACTATAATCGCCTCGTGTAAACCCGGTATAATGCCATTCCAAAAAAATACAGAATTAAAATTTATATTTCTCCGTCCGGCTGTTCGACAACCTATGTCAGATACTATAAAATTTAAGATTAGTAAGTGTTTACAACAATGTGTTGAAATGAATCGTTAAGACGGAACTCCTGTAATTTATTTATTTATTACATATATTATATCAAGAAATAAATACCTAACGCAGTTATTGTGATTATGTACAATTTAGAGTTTTAAGAACAATTTGACTTATAAAACGAAAGATAGGTAGGGTGGAGTGGGGACAGTGTAACAGGGGGCACAATTTAACATAAGGAATATCTCTACCCTTTTTTATTATATATCTTTTTTTATTCGTTTTATATGCTTACGTTTTACATCTTAAGCAGCTATTATCAGACGCCAAATAGCCGGGTATAATACCCCGTCAACTGTCTGTGTCAAATGGGGGGCTACCCATTTTGTTTTTCACGGCCAAATTTTTTATTTCATTTTCAGAATTTCTTTATATTTTTCGAGTTCTACTGTAGTCATCCAGGCTTCATCAAGTCTTAATTCAATCTAGAATAGTTTCTCTACAAACTTATGACTTATTGCATATTTTTGGTTTGTGTACATGACACAAATAGTCAACATTGTTCAAATCTCATATCAAAGTATACGAGATTACTATTTACCTCGTATCATGTATAGAGACTGATAAATCTCAAACGTCAGAGTTCTTACACGTTTGGCAACTCCCGCTATAACGCAGGCCGTCGTACAGCACCTTTAAGCAGCTGTCATCAGACGTCAAATGGCCGGGTATAATACAGAGATATTCCACATAATACACTATGCCACTTGTTACACTGTTCCCCACTTGACCCTAGAGTTTTTTTTTTATTTAGTACGTGTTTGAAGAGTTTGGGCAATGTGATTAACGAAATAATAACTTTGGTTAGATAACACTTAGTAAATACATGCATAAGGCAATTCTGTGCCGACTCATGTTACCTTGTTTAAGAGAATAGAAATGTTTATCATTTACTTCTCAGTCGCTTATGTAAAAAAACCTAACCTATGACCTATTGAAGGCCCTGGCCATATTAGGATAATGGGGCCCCTATGACTTCCGTTTGGTAATTTAACAGGAAATAGGGACTTTGTATTTGATCTGAGGGGGCCCCCTATCGATCGCGGGGCCCTGGGCACTTGCCCAAAGTGCCCACTGGGAAAGACGGTTCTGCCTACTCGTTTGTAATAAGTTACTGCACTAATATCATAAATAACTATTACTCTAAATCTATTATATATAGACTAGCTGACCCAGCGAACTTCGTACCGCCCTAAAAAAATAGGGGTTGTCCAGCGGACAAAATTGTGAATCTAAACCATTCTCAGATCCCCTTGAACACACACAAAAAATTTCATCAAAATCGGTCCAGTCGTTTAAGAGAAGTTCAGTGACATACACACTCACAGAAGAATTATATATATAAAGATAGGTAAATAAAACACCCAGCCCAGCAACATGCAAGCTATTAAAGTGTAAAAGTTAATGATAAATAAGAATGGTAAAATGTCTAATGTGTTATTTACTATTAATTAATATTAACTAAGATAATGATAAACAATTGTAAAATAAATAGATAAATATCATTCGTTACTTTTGTACATTAATAGTTTTATGATAATCACCAAGAAATAGAGGTGAAATTTATTGTGTCATGAGAATGCCAGCATCAATTGATTTATGAAAATTTTATAAATAAAAATATTGTTATTTTTTCCATATTTTATTTCGCGTCAAGTTTCACGAAGTATAAATATTAAATAAATATAATTACAAATGAAACGTTTATCCTTAAATATATGTTTTGGAATTGTAATTACCAATTACAATTGGTCACAACCTAATTGGTTAAAATCCATTGTGGAAACGGGATCTTAACATCGAATCACTGTATTGTACACAGTTTTATTTTTCTGAAAATATCTTCTTTTAGAATAAAAGTACAATAAATATCATTATTCTTTAAAAAAAATATGTCTACATATTTCGTACACATAATTTAGGTGCCCATATTGAACACCATAAGTTTGTTACCGTCGTATTCGTCTATTAACGTATCATAATTATATTGTTACATCTTCTAAACAGGGAACATACACACGTACAATACAATAAATGAAATAAATGAAGTATCTATTTATCATTCATTAATATCAATAAAGTTAGAATATTTCACAATACTAACTTTTGTGTACAATGTTATATCTTGTCCGCATAAGACGTCAATAAACTTTGACTTGAGTACGACGGCTCCTTGTACAAAATGTAGGTACTTTTTAAAACTTAAAACAAAGTTTATACCTCCATAAATATAATATATAGTGTCTCGACGTTTTTTTGGTATATTTCGCAACTGCGCGTAGAACGAAAGACGTATCATTTCAGTATTATCCTCTTCTGAAAAAATATACTTTACAACCCATATTATAAAAGTAATAAATAAGCAGCGTTCACACCAAACCTATTTTTCGCCGCTGCTTATCGGTAAAATGAGAAAACATAGAAAAATGCATTATATAAACATATTTTAAAAGGTGATTAGCAATTCCACCTAAACCTATACATATTTGAGAAAGAGATCGACCTATGCATAGAATAAAGTTACATTTGGAATTGTTATCAAATTACTTTTATTGACGTGACAACGTCTTAAATTAGGTTGCGGCTGGGAGTCACTTATGAAAAAGTGTAACGCTCGGTAACGTTACGATGAGTCTCTCGTGTTAAGTTTAAGTTTACATGTACAATGTTTTAGTAAACAAAATATATTTCTATAGTTAAAATTTGTGCAATTCTTATTTTCATTCAATTCCTTGTTCCTATTGTGCAATTTAATTATATTCATATCAATAAATATTCTACCGAGAAAAAGACGTTGTCACGTAAAATCTTCGCCCGTAAAACCGACTTTACAGGCAACCATTTTTTATACTTTTAGGCGAAACGGACGCATATATTTTACTGGTAAAAACATATATTCTAAAACTTATATAACTTCGAAGATGGCAATTGAATAAAGGTACATGTGATTTTTGTTTCCGAAGAATATAGAGTCAAGTACCTTTTGGATAGGAAAGAATCAAATGAAAGCCTGCACGGCTTCAATTTTGTTACAAACTGAGACTTTTTACTAAATGTTTGATTCTATTTTTCTTATTTGTCATATTATCATAATGTGACGCGACAGGACATATAAATTTTGTAAAACAAAGTTATATCTTCACATAATATTGACACCTTTCCCAAGCATAAGGTCTGATATGCATATATAACATAAAGATGTCCGTAGTAAATTGTCACATAATCACTTAAGATACTATTAAATAACAAAATATGAGCCGTAAATGTAGTTTTTTTTTAAACACTAAATGCGTCATAATTTGCTTCTCAATGCTTTATATGATTAGAAAAATACCAATGCAAGTTAAAGCAAATTTTACATCTTACAAACTTCAAATCGTTCTACTGTAAAGTAGAGATTATGCAGAACTAGCTTTATCCTATGGACAGGTCGAATATATGATATAGCACATTGATACGTTTTCTTAAACTTTAAACGCGAAAGAGATATAACTAAACCCTCCTTTCTGCTCAAAGTCAGTGTCGGACAGAACGTTTAGTGGGAACTCTGCCTTACAACTTAAGCAATTATCTACCTAAGTTTAGAATTAGTATAATTTGAATCTGGAATCAATCCTTTCCGAGTTAATTATTTCTTTCTACCGAGTGCTTCTGCCTCCGCTAGGGTGTCCGGCATCTTGGTGCCCAGGGTCTCCGGCTGCGTCAGCACCAGCACTGCAGAAATCATACCCATGGTGCCAAACAACATTGAGGGTATGCCTTCCCAATACTCCGTCTGTAAAAAAAAATAGGTTGTTTGGTTTTTTTTTCTAAACGGCTTCGCACGTCTTGTGCATTTAGCCAATGTCAAGTGTTAAAATGTTTACAAATAATATAGCACTCGTGGTCAAAGTAATAAATCAAGTCTAAGTAAGTGGCAGTCAAGTCAATCCCCCTTTCCCTATATTTCAGTAAAAGTGTGGGGATTTACTGGAACCTCACCGTGGACTTCTTGAGGAAACGTCGAAAGACACTTTCCGCTATTTTGTTTCACTTGCCAACATTTGTGCATGTTCCCGAACATTTAGTGGTTAATAATCCACCATTATTAGACACTAAAATCCGCCACAACACAATTTCCAACAAGAAAAACAAAACTGCTAAAGTTACGCTTCCCGATCCCGCCAAAAAGTCCGTAGGTTGGTTTAGTATTCCGCCATCTTCCACAATTGACATCTTGCGCCACGCATGCGCACAGCTTATCATCCGACTGCGCAATGCAAGAGCGCGAAGCGCGACGCTCAGACAGTGTATAGTGTTTAACAGTCTATTTAAGTATGTTTGTTCCTTTGTGGCACACTAGCGACCAAACGCGTGGACCGATTTTGATGATTCATACATCAATCGATTCGTCTTAATCATGGGAGTGCTACTAAAGATATGATAGAACTCTAAATTCAACATGTGGACAACTAGGCGCCACATTGTGACGAAGTAAAAAAAATAACTTGACGAAATATGTCGAGTGTGGTATCATTGTCTAGATAATCGAAAATCACGTTTAGGCTCCCTACACCATTTTTCATTTTATATGACTGTTTAGGATCTACAACGATTTAAAGTTGTGTATTAACCACGCACTTTTAATTTCAGTCTTAGTTTTTTTGTACTGCATATCAGTCGTTGCTACGAACCATATTAAAAATCTATTTAATATTTTATATCTATTTACTCAATAATCAACTCTCCCCCTTATTAATAAACAATGAATTAGCTTAGATTAGACTAGTTACGCCGTTTTGTTCGTGTCACTCAACGCGGACCGCGTGTTGAACTTTAATTAACCTTTTACTTTAGGCTTGTTGAAAATATATCGATGGATCGATATATCGATATTTTTTGTTATATATATCGATATTTTTTGCCGATATATTTTGATTCGATATATCGATACATCGATACAAAATAACCAATATCGAAATTCGTATCAAAAACGATATTTTTTTAATTATTAGCGGCATATTACGATTTAACTAAATTCGTATCTGGAAAAACCGTAACTGGATCTCAGATTAATGATATTCAACATATCTATGATCTGTGCTGTATTTAGTATTGTCTATGTCATCATTCGAAAATAGGGTCTATTTTTAGGGCGATAATTTTCGTTCCATTATTATTCCGCGTGTCATATTTCGTGAGCTACTGTACGATATTTTTGGAAAAATTGGTACGATATATCGATATATCGATGTGTTTTTCGCGATATATCGAAGCCGATATTGATATTTTTTAAAAGATCGATGTATCGATATATCGATATTTTTTTCAACTTTCGACATCCCTATTTTACTTCTTGCGTGTCGCCTCACTTTCTGTGCTAAAATAAAGTTAGTAGGTGGTATTGATGCGACGGCTTCTTTGTTTTCATACGTATTTTATAAGACAAAATCTCATCTAACATCGAAAAAAGATCTATTGTGACTAGTGTCAATACATGGCTTAATGTTGATATGACACTATTCGGCAGTATTCCCTTTTATGACAATTTAAAAAAAGAGAGAAAATTTGCTATTTACCGTGATTTTTTTTTAGCGGTTATCCCCAATTTGTATCAGGTCTTTTTCTTTCTTTTGTTTTTTGTTTGTTACTATTATATTGTTTTTATTCATGCCTGCTCTTTTGCTTGTTTTGTTGCGCTTTTTCTTTTGCACATCTTTCTTTTTCTTTCATCTTTTACAATTATCTTGATTCCTATTACATTTCTTATAATTTCTATTTTCTCTATTTACATTTTACATTTCCTTATATTTACACACACTTGTTTCCTTACTATCTATATTTCTTATTTACTACCATTTCTCATTTACCGTGATTTCGTGCTATCCCTATCGTGAGATTTCTTGAAAACCCTGTTCATACGAAACATTTTGTAAATTACATATTATTCATAAGTATGTTAAAGTAATTTGTATTTAAATTTTATACATTAGATAGTTTTTAAGTTGTTATTTTTTTTCTATGTATTGGTTTTCATCATCATCAGCCTATTAATGTCCCCACTGCTGGGGCACAGGCCTTCCCTATGGATGGAATAGGGAGATTGGGCCATGACCCACCACGCGGGCCCAGTGTGGATTGGTGGGTGCTAACGACTGCTGATGCAGCCGGGACCAACTGCTTAACGTGCCTTCCGAAGCACGGAGGAGCTCGAGATAGTAAATTTTTGGTCACCCATCCAATGACCGACCACTGCGAAAGTTGCTTAACTTCAACGATCGCAGCCGAACGCGCTAAACACTTGCGCCATCGAGCTCCTCAATATTGGTTTTATATTAAAAAAATGATACCTAAATAACAATTTAACTTAAACATTATCTTTGTTAAAAATAAGTATTTTCCCAATTTGGTAAAATCCAAATCCTTGAAAAATAACGATTAATCAGATAAAATAATACGTTGTCGTTGGATTAATTAATGTCGAAACCTCTTGACAGATTCGCGGCGATAAAGCTTAACTCATCCATGAATATCAAAATAATTCGTTAAACCTGCTGTTAAGATATGTATTTGTGAAAAAAACCACTTTCATATTGGATATTAATTAAATAATAAATAAACAAATAAATATTTCCAACACTTACACCAATTAGCCTAGCCCCAAAGTAAGCACTGTAAGGCTTGTGTTATGGGATACTAGGGTAACGGATACAATACATATACTGTACATATATAAGTATATTTTTATAGAAATATATATTAAACATCCATGACTACAGTACAAATGCTCGTATTCATCACACTAACATCTGCCCCCACCGGGATTTGAACTCGGGACCTCTCGAGTCGGCGACACCATGATACCCGGCGTACAAACCACTCGGCCACGGAGGTCGTCAAATCAAATTCATCAGAATATTATAATACTTTTAACATGTACCACTAAATAGCACCTGGAATCCTAATAAGGTGTTAAATTTTATAAAAGTGAACTTTTAACTAAAGGCCGGACGTAGCTAATTCCTTAATTTAAAAAAAATCTTGTAGTTACTTGTACGTAACTTAATGAGAACTAGTAACCTCTGAGATTCAACCAAACAAACACTCAAACATACAAACAAACCCTTCAGCTTTATAATATTAGTATAGACTAGTGGTCCGCCCTCGCTTCGCTTCGGTGTAGAGCTGCAGTGTAAACTATAGTTTTTGTTCTCAGGCTTGTGCTTTATAGCACAAGCCTAACTTCTCCCGTTTCCCCAACATTTCCCTTCACTACTCTGCTGCTATTGATTGTAGCGTGATGAAAAGTATACTATAACCTGCCCAGGAGTATGAAGAATAATTGTACCAAGTTTCGTTAAAATCCGTCGAGTAGTTTTTGTTTCTATAAGGAACATACACACAGACAGACAGACAGACAAAAATTTTACTGATTGCATTTTTGGCATCAGTATCGATCACTAATCACCCCCTGATAGTTATTTTGAAAATATATTGAAAATATAGATTTATTATAAGTATAGATTTAAAAACATATCATTGGAAAAAAATATCTTTCTGAAGTTGTTGCACAAGCAGACCTTCCCTTATCACACGGAAAACTAGGCTTTGCTGTTACCTAATACATAATTCAAGTAAATTATACTTAAACTTACCAATACTGGAGTGAGTGGCGCAGTGATGGATCCTATCCTGCCGATCATGGATGAGAAGCCGAGCAAGCTGTGCCGATACTGGGTAGGGTACAGCTCTGAAGTGTAAAGGTACATTGACGTCATCACCACCGAGATGCCAAACTTGCCCAGCAGGAATATCACCAACCGAACCACTGTCAGCTCTGCAGATAGAAATTATAATAATAAATATTAACCACACTCACTACTACATACTAGCGGCCCGCCCTCGCTTCGCTTCGGTGTAGAGCTGAAGTGTAGACTACAGTTTTTGTTCTCAGGCTTGTATTATACACAATGACATTCATCTATGATTCTTCTTATACCTGCATGCAAAGTCTCAGCCCGATCAGTTTAAAATTGACAAAGTTTCATACAAAGTTTCATTCCCTATTTTATCCCCTTTGGGGGTAGAATTGATCAAAATCCTTTCTTAGCGGATGCCTACGTCATAACATCTACCTGCATGCCAAATTTCAGCCCGTTCCGTCCAGTGGTTTGGGCTGTGCGTTGATAGATCACTATGTCAGTCAGTCAGTCACCTTTGAGTTTTATACACATATATATTATAAACGTTTATTTATTTATTTTTACAATGCACTAGCTCGCTGTTTCTACTATTCTTATGGTATGGTTTCATTTAGCCAAAGGTTGCCTGGTAGAGATTGCTACCTTAGCAATAAGGCCGTCTTTTGTGTTTTTGTTCCTGTGTTTTATGTTCTCTGTATTGTGTGTAATAGTGCAATAAAGAATATTCATTCATTCATAGAAATACATATAAACATCCATTATACTAACATTTGCCCCCTCTCGGATTCGAACGAGCAGGCGACACCTTGAAACCCAGCGTATATACCACTTGGCCACGGAGATTGTCAAATGGAAAGAAGATTGATAAAATTGGCAATAGTTTTGCTGAACTAGGATCGAATAGAAAGCCCAGAGTGCGAAATCTTCTCCTTCGTGCTAGTATACCTCTACCTATAGTAAATCTAAGAGTTACATCGAAAATAAATTACCTTCTTCTATAGAATTTTTAGTAATTCTTTGGATGCCTTTTCTGTCCTTTCTGTTATAGTAAATTTAATATAACGAACATTATCTTAGGTTTTCATTACTGTGATTTACGTTTGACTTACCATTCGGGATAAATGCGAACGCTATGTTGCAGGCAGCGCTCAAGAAGTAACCACCACAAAGAGTTAGTCTTCTCCCGATCCTATCAAGGATGAGCACGGCGCTGTAGAAGCCCGGGATTTCGATGCCCACAGTGAGAATGTAGTTCAGATGCCTCTCCTCGGAGAGTCCGGTCGAGTTGATGGACAGTCCATAGTACACCAGGATGGTCGTGATCCACCATATTGGAGTCGTTAACACTCGCCGCAGTAAAATAGGTGACTTGACTATCGCTTTCAAAACCGAATCTTGTTTCTGAAAAGTTTTAATAGGTTATATAAACATCATCAGCAAATTAATGATTTTTTTGAATCGATCAATCCAGATTAGAATTGATTAAAAACAAATTTATGTAATTAAGTTTGTTTGTACAATGATATCACCTGTTCAGTAACATTATACAACAATCAAGATTCAGGTCCACCTGCATCAACATTCTTAATTCAAATAAACGATTTATCCTGTTCAACACATCATTAATCTTTATCAATTGTTTATAGTCAACTCTATTTGACTTTAAATCTCTATTATACACTCCATTTTATTTTAACTAGCTCTTTAAATAAGAAAAAAGTTGTTTAAACAAGAAAAGCTTTTAAACTTGATTTAAGAACAGTTGGTGCAAGTTGAAAGGACATTGCTCGTTCCCCATACATTGAATGCCCTAGAACGCACAGCAATGAGAAAATGCTAGTTGTGTTCGGAATCATTCATAAACTCTAAATAAGCATTTGTTGAGATACGGACAACTTGAGGAACCGTGGCCTACTACAGAATGTATTAGATTTTGAGGTTATAATTATTATACTTAATCATAAAAGATGTACACTTTATATGTTCTGAATAGATTTAGTGTTTACCCCTATGTAAGCACTTAAATAATATGCATTAAATGAACATAAAATGCAATTTATAATAAAAATAATAAATGCTAATATTCATATTGATTTTACCTGTAGTAAGTAATGATAGATTTCTTTTCAAATGAAATGTTCAGTCTTTCCATTTACCTGTTTCTATATTTTAGAACGGTAATTAGGTATGTACCTGGTTATCATTATGATTTTCATAAAAATAAACAGATATTACATGGGATGGGAGTATAAACTATCTTTAGATAATTTCAGAAATAATTTTTTTATAAATATAATATAAATACTAGTAATAAGTATTATTAACTAAGGTACCTAGTTCTATTTTTATGTTGATAAATACCTATGGTCGCCTATATTGCATAACTAAGGTAAACAATCTTGGCACAACTTTTTAACAGAATCACCCATTTAATAATAAAATATTAATGAAGAAAATAAACTATTAAAATAAATCGTTATTATAGACTGAAACCTATTGAATCCAGTTATCAGTTGATTTTTAATGCTGTATTTTCAATAAAAAGGAGTGCCAAGTTGGATGAACAGACTGTAGTATCTAGTAACAACTTTTATTTTTTAAACAGATTGTCCGTTTACTATGATTAATTGCTAATAAGTTAAAAAAATAATAGAAAAATAATAGTGAAGGACATTCTTTTGGGCATGCTAGGGCCGAATTCGTCGATGTCCTTTCTTAGCTTTCATTACCTGGATGGAGTCTTCTGGTGCGGAAGGAGCCGGGGTCAATAAAGCTTGCATAGATTTTTCGCTGATTTCCTTTTTGTTCACCCTCGCCACTTTCTCTAACACCACTCTTGCCTCATCAAATTTCTCCTTAGATAGTAGCCACCTGACACTTTCCGACAGGATCCAGTAGTACGCAATGATTAAGAAACACGGTATATTAAGCGCAAGCAGAAGATAACGCCACGATGGGATTAACCATGCTGTACCTCCTAAGATCACTTGGCCAAGAGCAAACATTGACGTAGAAGTAGCACTGGCGACCACACGATATTTCGGTCCCACAAGTTCCGCAGCTAAAACAAAGCACTAACTAACATTACGACAAAATGAAGAGTAAAAGTGTAAATAACTTTAATAATATTAGACGATATATTGTTTTAAACTTTCATGGTCACTAACAGTGAGTGTAACAATCCCGTTAATAGCTATAATAATATTAAACGCTTATATTCGCTATGAAGTGGTCTATCAATGTTTTATTGATCTCATAATTAAAAGAATATATAAATTACCAAAGATGTATGCCGAACTGAAGGTCCCTGCTCCCAAGGTAGTTTGTAAGATCTGCATCGCCAAGTACATGGGATAGTTGACGGAGAAGGATCTGATGATGCCGATGACGGCCATGTTGAAGACGCTGATGATGAGGGCCACTCGTCGCCCGAAACGATCCGACACGTACCCAGTGATAGGCAACACCAGTAATGTCCCCACGCTATTCAATGTACCAGCTAATGCTCTCATCCATTCTTGACAACCTAAGTCGAACTGCGAACAAATTTAGTTTATTTTAAAATTAATTTGTTACTAGGGTGTGTCTGTGACTAAATATGCGTGGAAATATTGATTTCCTACAATCGATCCCCCTAAAGAAGTAAACCTTTAGGGGGTGAGTTTTGCAAAATCATTTCTTAGCGCAAGCTTAAATCATAAAAGCTTTAAGTGAGCCAAACAGAGCAATCCGGTCAGTGGTTTGAGCTGTGCGTTGATAGATCTGTCATTCAGTAACGGCTGCCATTTATATACATAATATATACACAAGATTTCGTACAAAGATTATTGGAGAATTAACAATGCCAAATGTAACATATCGTACTGCAGTGGCGAAAAAGAAGTTAATGATATATGGGCTCGGTTTCTTTGCAGAGGTGATTATTATAGGTAATCATAAAAAAATCATTGTAAAACTTCAGTAAATAGCATATGTAAATCCGTATTCCGTACGATTCATATTTGCTGTGTATACAACTAGTTAAGACATTAAATAGTTCTATAAGTTTTTTTTAAATAATTATTAAATATTATTAATTTCTGTTATATTACGATTTTTAAATTAAATTCTGAAACTTACATCGTAGACTACAGAGTCTGTCCTGGCGTACACAAAGCCATCACAGTCGGTAGTGGAACCTCTATCAAAAAGGTTTGCAGGGCATTCATTTAATGTCCCATTCGCTAGAGATGGAAACCGCTGACAGCTGGCGAGGTTGTTGTCCGTCTCAGGTATCGCATTGGCGATCCAGTCTGGACGGAAAGGGACGGTCTTGAAGTTCTCTCCACATTCTGCGATACGACATCTGCAAACGAGTTGTAAGGGTTATTAAAATTCTTAAATAAATCTTGTATTTAAATCCTGATGTTAAGTATGAGTGAGGTCCAAACGTGAAGATAGTTGGTACAACAGATTCAGGTAGCATATCCCACAAAATCGCGGAATTAACCCGCGGAACTTTGGATATTTTGCTCTCAGTGTAAGATAAGACAGAATAAAATGTTATTCAATTAAAGTATTCCAATTAGATTATAAAATCCAGTAAACCCAATTTTTCTCTTTCTGACTTTTCAGCCTTTATATTTAAGTATTATGCACCTGTGAGGGATTGCGGCAGCACCGAAGATGAATTCGCTCATAAACGCTGACATGATGAGAGGGACAGATACCAGCAGAGTATTGATCAGCTGGAACCTTCCAAATTGGCCCAACTCATGCACCAACACATAGTCCAGGTCAATGCGCTTAGCGCCGGTTCTCCCATTCGGCTGACCATCCTCGGGTATACTATCTTTTCTCGTCTCAGACATTTAATCTTCTTCTTCCTTTCCTATTTCTGACTATTATTCCGTATTTTTCAACCAGGGTCCTGCCGCAGACGATACACAGAAACAAGTGATTCTAATGAAGCTCGCTTTTTCCATCCGATGTAATCGCATTGATAAAATTGATTAAAACGTGTCCTTTAAATAATGATTGATTACTGATTAGCTAAATAAAAAAACATTTTCTGTGATTTTCTTTTTTAAATCTAATAGATGAGGATTAATATAGCTATTGATAACAAATGACAAGACAGATTGAGGTAACGACACTAATTCTTTTCGGTGTGGTAACGCTTTTAATGCCAACGAGGATCAGTCATGTTTTTTTAGGGGTATACAGAATTACTGTGTGGAGTAATTAAGTAATAATCCACACAGTACGGCAGATTATACAGAAGACTGAAAAGTACAATCAGCCTCTGTGCCTAGCATTTGTGGACTATGAGAAGGCCTTTGACTCGATTGAAATCTGGTCTGTCCTGGAGTCCCTGCAGCGTTGCCAAGTCGACTGGCGATACATCCAAGTGATTATATGTCTCTACGAAGCCGCCACCATGTCTGTCCAAGTACAGAATCAGCAAACAAGTCCCATACCATTGCATCGTGGAGTGAGACAAGGGGACGTTATTTCCCCGAAATTGTTCACTAATGCAACGGAGGATATGTTCAAGACGCTCAACTGGAAAGGACGTGGCATCAACATAAATGGCGAACGCATCTCTTACTTGCGATTTGCAGACGACATCGTCATCATGGCAGAAACCCTGCAGTACCTACAAAAATGCTGAATGACCTGGCTGACTCTTCTATACGCATCGGCCTACGGATGAACTTGGATAAAACCAAGGTCATGTTCAATGAACATGTTCTACCGGAACCGATTGCAATACACGGTGCCGTTCTCGAAGTTGTTCAAAAACATGTATACCTCGGGCAGACATTGCAGTTAGGTAGAAACAACTTTGAAGACGAGGTGAATAGAAGAATTGGGCAGCGTTTGGGAAGCTACGTCAAGTCCTGTCATCGTCGAACCCACAGTGCCTAAAGACGAAAGTTTTCAATCAGTGCGTCCTACCTGTAATGACATACGGAGCCGTCACGTGGACACTGACGGTACGGCTGGTCCACAAGTTCAAAGTCGCTCAGCGCGCTATGGTAAGGGCTATGCTCGGTGTTTCTCTGAAGGATCGCATCAGAAATGAGGTAATCCGACAGAGAACCTGAGTTATCGACAGAGCCCACCGAATTAGTAAGCTGAAGTGACAGTGGGCTGGCCATATTTGCCGAAGACCCGATAACCGTTGGGGTAGATGAGTTCTGGAGTGGAGACCGCGTCTAGGCAAACGTAGTGTAGGACTTCCTCAGTCACGGTGGAGTGACGATTTACGCAAGGTGGCTGGCAGGAGCTGGATGCGAGTAGCCCAAAATCGATCTCAGTGCCTTGCAATTGGAGAGGCCTATGTCCAGCAGTGGACTAGGATAGGCTGTTGATGATACAGAATTATAGTGACAAAATGTACAGTAAATACTGTGAACAAATTATCTAAATCGGACTAAAATGTCGGAGATACAGCAACTTTAGTGCATTAGTTTCAGAAACGCCCCCGAGAATGAAGCGACTCGCTGTGACGTCTTCTGTTATGATCTGTGCCCCTAGCACGAACCATTATCGAATTCGTATAGTTTGCAAACCGAAATTTCAATGTCAAATTTTGTATGGAAACTTGAACAGCAGCGGCACAAAGTACGTAACGAGAACTAAAAATCAGTACACATTTGACAATCCGTTGTGGTGCTGCTGTTCACGTTTCCATACAGACAATGACATTTCGGACTCGCAAACTATTCTAATTGGATATTGGTTCGTGCTAGGGGCACAGTACCCCAAGCACGAACCAATATAGAATTCGGACAGTTTGAAAGAAAGAAAGAAAGAAAGAAATAATTTTATTTGAGACAACAAAAAAACATAATAATATAAAAAATAAAATAAAACAATTAAATTTAGTCTCAAAACGGCCCCAACTCAGCATAGTGCTAATGTTGCCATTAGCGCTGGTCTTCCGTTGGAACCGGTTTTTTGTCGCACGAATCAATAACATCATCATAGTTTCATATTCATCATAGTTTGCGAGTGCAAATTGTCACTACGAAGTCCACTTGCGAATAGTACGACAAAGAAATGAGTCACAAAATTTCTTTGATCGTGCAGGAATAGTGGCCACAGTACGTCGGTGACAACGTAGGCCAGCGCGCGAGGTCCTCTGAAGATAAGGTGATGGAAGGATAAGGGAGAATAACTCCTCAGAACACTCGCCGTGGTATAGTCCGTAGAATGCGCTTAATGATGCCACATCTCGGCGTAATTGTATAGACTCGAGATTATCAGTTACCTCTTCATCGCCAATGATGCGGGCAGCGTGCCGCTGTAACCTATCCAAGGCATCGAGTAAGTACTTAACGGAGCCATCCCAGAAGTGCGAGCAATATTCCACACATGACCGCACTTGCGTTTTGTACAACAATCACAGTAGGCGTGAAAAATCACCTAGGAAATTATTATTGTTGAGGACTAGTTCATTTGCTAGCTAGTGAGTAAATTAATTAAAAACTTTACTTTTTTCTCTTTGGGTTGTCATGTTTCGGAGTTGAAGATCAAAATTTTAAATTACATGACAGATATGTATTTACTATGTAGTTTATTTGACTACGACAGATGAGGATTTTCGTACAACTTTTGCCGGCAATTTTGCCGGAGATTGACAGAATGATGCTTATAAATAAATAAATGAATGAATGAATAAATAAATAAATATAAGCATGTTTTGAAAAAGAATATAACTCTTGCCGTCGCGTGACTTACGGAATCTTTTGTTTCTGGCCAACGAATAAACTCGAAATCTACTGGACCGATTTCAAAAATCTCTCACCATTAGAAAACTGCATTAGTCAAAAGTGACTAAGGCTATATTATTTGTTTGTTTTCTAAAATAAAATTAATATACAGTTTACTAAAGCAAAACCGGGAAGGATCGCTAGTTTTGTACCTTATATTAAATTGATTTTGTACTGATACCGCATGAGTGCATCTTTTCGATGAATTTAGTTTGTGGCAATGAAGTCAAACTAAATTCAACGCGAGCCCCGACGCGGGTAGAGCTGGTTACTTTTGATATATCCACATTGTATCAATTATGCAACACATCAAAATTGTCTCCCACATCTCCCGATGGTGTTAAATACAATAGAGAATCAAGGATTGAGCTACTAAGGTCGTCCACTTTCATTAACCAAGCCTTTAGCCATATCATCACATAGCTATCTTATTTATCAATTAAGAATAGTTAAATCCCGAATTTGTTCGGGAAGCTACGTAGCATCTTCTCGGAACATCTACCGCAGTGCCTCAAGACGAAAGTCTTCAATTCGTGCGTGTTGCCAGTGATGACATACGGAACCGAGACGTGGCCGCTTACAATGGGTCTTGTAAGAAGGCTCAAAGTTACCCAAAGGGCAATGGAGAGGGCTATGCTCGGAGTTTCTCTGCGTGATCGAATCAGAAATGAGGAGATACGCAAGAGAACTAAAGTCACCGACATAGCCCACAGAATTGCAAACCTTAAGTGGCAATGGGCAGGGCACATTGCTCGCAGGACCGATGGCCGCTGGGGCGGAAAGGTCCTCGAGTGGCGACCGCGTACCGGGAAACGCAGTGTTGGCAGGCCCCCCACAAGGTGGACCGACGATCTGGTAAAGGTCGCGGGAAGCCGCTGGATGCGGGCAGCATGGGACCGATCGCTGTGGAAATCCATGGGGGAGGCCTATGTCCAGCAGTGGACGTCTTTCGGCTGATGATGATGATGATGATGATGATGAATAGTTAAATATCAAAACATTTGTCAAGAGCCTGTCTTATATGAAAAATGGCGACAATCGACGCAGAAAATTATCGATTACTTTCAAACAAATTCAAATACTTAATCCGTGATCTTCTTTATCACTTCCCCTGCGTTAAGTTATAAAACTAAATTACGTGTGTAAAACAATATGTGAACTAGTAGCACTGAGGTGGCGCCTAAAGGCAGACTTATTTCTTTATAACAATTCCTTTTTATTGCAAAATATATTTGTTAGATGAAATTTAAGTAATGTAAATTTTTAAATTTACTTAAATTACACACGCGATTTATTTTATCATATTAAATGTAAAAGATTGAAGATTTTGAAAATTTGTAGTAATGTCTGAGATGAGAAAGGATAGTGTACCTGGACAGCAAATAGTGGACGATAAAGCTGGCGTGAAGCACATAGACCTGGACCATGTACTGGTGAACGAGCTAGGACAGTGCGGCCGGTTCCAGCTGATCAACATACTGCTGGTCGGGATTCCTCTCCTCACGTCCGCTTTCATGAACGAATTCGTCTTTGGAGCCGCAGCTATTCCTCACAGGTTTGTCAGATTTGTGATAACCTTTGTCATAATATACTTCCGGACACATCTGGCGGCCCGCTTAGTTTCAACGGTTTCTACCAAAAATATATGTTTATGGATGAGCAATAATTTTAAAAACACACGAAAAGATGGTTAATATGTCAGCTTCAAAACTGCGTAGGTAATAACTTTTTGCTCAATGTAACATTTATTTTTACCAAGACAGGGACCGTCAAAATTGAAAATACTAAGTTGACCAGTATAAGTGTCCTGAAGTATATTATAACTTACGACTTACGTGACACATATATGAAAACACGGACTTAAGTTTTCAAAAAGTTGAAAAATTCTAATTGATCCGTTGCACACATATATATTTTTGCACGCACCAATTCTCACCTGCGTGGTGAGACATGGCAGCAATGGGAATATTTATCTTTCAGATCTTTTTCAGATAGTAGACTGTGTCTTTTGATCGTGAAGTCAAATTCTAGTCTATTATCTAAAACCAGAGGTTTTCCTGACTATTGCGAGTACCTACTATCACTTTAAATGTACTATTTAGCAAAATAAACGGATACCAATTTTTTCCATTGCGCACTTTGTAGGTACGATAATTTTAGTTTCAGCATTTTATGAATCCTATAATGTATGTCAATATCAAAGAAATACTCAGTCACCTCACACCTTGAAACCCAGCGTATATACCACTTGGCCACGGAGATTGTCAAATGGAAAGAAGATTGATAAAATTGGCAATAGTTTTGCTGAACTAGGATCGAATAGAAAGCCCAGAGTGCGAAATCTTCTCCTTCGTGCTAGTATACCTCTACCTATAGTAAATCTAAGAGTTACATCGAAAATAAATTACCTTCTTCTATAGAATTTTTAGTAATTCTTTGGATGCCTTTTCTGTCCTTTCTGTTATAGTAAATTTAATATAACGAACATTATCTTAGGTTTTCATTACTGTGATTTACGTTTGACTTACCATTCGGGATAAATGCGAACGCTATGTTGCAGGCAGCGCTCAAGAAGTAACCACCACAAAGAGTTAGTCTTCTCCCGATCCTATCAAGGATGAGCACGGCGCTGTAGAAGCCCGGGATTTCGATGCCCACAGTGAGAATGTAGTTCAGATGCCTCTCCTCGGAGAGTCCGGTCGAGTTGATGGACAGTCCATAGTACACCAGGATGGTCGTGATCCACCATATTGGAGTCGTTAACACTCGCCGCAGTAAAATAGGTGACTTGACTATCGCTTTCAAAACCGAATCTTGTTTCTGAAAAGTTTTAATAGGTTATATAAACATCATCAGCAAATTAATGATTTTTTTGAATCGATCAATCCAGATTAGAATTGATTAAAAACAAATTTATGTAATTAAGTTTGTTTGTACAATGATATCACCTGTTCAGTAACATTATACAACAATCAAGATTCAGGTCCACCTGCATCAACATTCTTAATTCAAATAAACGATTTATCCTGTTCAACACATCATTAATCTTTATCAATTGTTTATAGTCAACTCTATTTGACTTTAAATCTCTATTATACACTCCATTTTATTTTAACTAGCTCTTTAAATAAGAAAAAAGTTGTTTAAACAAGAAAAGCTTTTAAACTTGATTTAAGAACAGTTGGTGCAAGTTGAAATTTCTTAGCTTTCATTACCTGGATGGAGTCTTCTGGTGCGGAAGGAGCCGGGGTCAATAAAGCTTGCATAGATTTTTCGCTGATTTCCTTTTTGTTCACCCTCGCCACTTTCTCTAACACCACTCTTGCCTCATCAAATTTCTCCTTAGATAGTAGCCACCTGACACTTTCCGACAGGATCCAGTAGTACGCAATGATTAAGAAACACGGTATATTAAGCGCAAGCAGAAGATAACGCCACGATGGGATTAACCATGCTGTACCTCCTAAGATCACTTGGCCAAGAGCAAACATTGACGTAGAAGTAGCACTGGCGACCACACGATATTTCGGTCCCACAAGTTCCGCAGCTAAAACAAAGCACTAACTAACATTACGACAAAATGAAGAGTAAAAGTGTAAATAACTTTAATAATATTAGACGATATATTGTTTTAAACTTTCATGGTCACTAACAGTGAGTGTAACAATCCCGTTAATAGCTATAATAATATTAAACGCTTATATTCGCTATGAAGTGGTCTATCAATGTTTTATTGATCTCATAATTAAAAGAATATATAAATTACCAAAGATGTATGCCGAACTGAAGGTCCCTGCTCCCAAGGTAGTTTGTAAGATCTGCATCGCCAAGTACATGGGATAGTTGACGGAGAAGGATCTGATGATGCCGATGACGGCCATGTTGAAGACGCTGATGATGAGGGCCACTCGTCGCCCGAAACGATCCGACACGTACCCAGTGATAGGCAACACCAGTAATGTCCCCACGCTATTCAATGTACCAGCTAATGCTCTCATCCATTCTTGACAACCTAAGTCGAACTGCGAACAAATTTAGTTTATTTTAAAATTAATTTGTTACTAGGGTGTGTCTGTGACTAAATATGCGTGGAAATATTGATTTCCTACAATCGATCCCCCTAAAGAAGTAAACCTTTAGGGGGTGAGTTTTGCAAAATCATTTCTTAGCGCAAGCTTAAATCATAAAAGCTTTAAGTGAGCCAAACAGAGCAATCCGGTCAGTGGTTTGAGCTGTGCGTTGATAGATCTGTCATTCAGTAACGGCTGCCATTTATATACATAATATATACACAAGATTTCGTACAAAGATTATTGGAGAATTAACAATGCCAAATGTAACATATCGTACTGCAGTGGCGAAAAAGAAGTTAATGATATATGGGCTCGGTTTCTTTGCAGAGGTGATTATTATAGGTAATCATAAAAAAATCATTGTAAAACTTCAGTAAATAGCATATGTAAATCCGTATTCCGTACGATTCATATTTGCTGTGTATACAACTAGTTAAGACATTAAATAGTTCTATAAGTTTTTTTTAAATAATTATTAAATATTATTAATTTCTGTTATATTACGATTTTTAAATTAAATTCTGAAACTTACATCGTAGACTACAGAGTCTGTCCTGGCGTACACAAAGCCATCACAGTCGGTAGTGGAACCTCTATCAAAAAGGTTTGCAGGGCATTCATTTAATGTCCCATTCGCTAGAGATGGAAACCGCTGACAGCTGGCGAGGTTGTTGTCCGTCTCAGGTATCGCATTGGCGATCCAGTCTGGACGGAAAGGGACGGTCTTGAAGTTCTCTCCACATTCTGCGATACGACATCTGCAAACGAGTTGTAAGGGTTATTAAAATTCTTAAATAAATCTTGTATTTAAATCCTGATGTTAAGTATGAGTGAGGTCCAAACGTGAAGATAGTTGGTACAACAGATTCAGGTAGCATATCCCACAAAATCGCGGAATTAACCCGCGGAACTTTGGATATTTTGCTCTCAGTGTAAGATAAGACAGAATAAAATGTTATTCAATTAAAGTATTCCAATTAGATTATAAAATCCAGTAAACCCAATTTTTCTCTTTCTGACTTTTCAGCCTTTATATTTAAGTATTATGCACCTGTGAGGGATTGCGGCAGCACCGAAGATGAATTCGCTCATAAACGCTGACATGATGAGAGGGACAGATACCAGCAGAGTATTGATCAGCTGGAACCTTCCAAATTGGCCCAACTCATGCACCAACACATAGTCCAGGTCAATGCGCTTAGCGCCGGTTCTCCCATTCGGCTGACCATCCTCGGGTATACTATCTTTTCTCGTCTCAGACATTTAATCTTCTTCTTCCTTTCCTATTTCTGACTATTATTCCGTATTTTTCAACCAGGGTCCTGCCGCAGACGATACACAGAAACAAGTGATTCTAATGAAGCTCGCTTTTTCCATCCGATGTAATCGCATTGATAAAATTGATTAAAACGTGTCCTTTAAATAATGATTGATTACTGATTAGCTAAATAAAAAAACATTTTCTGTGATTTTCTTTTTTAAATCTAATAGATGAGGATTAATATAGCTATTGATAACAAATGACAAGACAGATTGAGGTAACGACACTAATTCTTTTCGGTGTGGTAACGCTTTTAATGCCAACGAGGATCAGTCATGTTTTTTTAGGGGTATACAGAATTACTGTGTGGAGTAATTAAGTAATAATCCACACAGTACGGCAGATTATACAGAAGACTGAAAAGTACAATCAGCCTCTGTGCCTAGCATTTGTGGACTATGAGAAGGCCTTTGACTCGATTGAAATCTGGTCTGTCCTGGAGTCCCTGCAGCGTTGCCAAGTCGACTGGCGATACATCCAAGTGATTATATGTCTCTACGAAGCCGCCACCATGTCTGTCCAAGTACAGAATCAGCAAACAAGTCCCATACCATTGCATCGTGGAGTGAGACAAGGGGACGTTATTTCCCCGAAATTGTTCACTAATGCAACGGAGGATATGTTCAAGACGCTCAACTGGAAAGGACGTGGCATCAACATAAATGGCGAACGCATCTCTTACTTGCGATTTGCAGACGACATCGTCATCATGGCAGAAACCCTGCAGTACCTACAAAAATGCTGAATGACCTGGCTGACTCTTCTATACGCATCGGCCTACGGATGAACTTGGATAAAACCAAGGTCATGTTCAATGAACATGTTCTACCGGAACCGATTGCAATACACGGTGCCGTTCTCGAAGTTGTTCAAAAACATGTATACCTCGGGCAGACATTGCAGTTAGGTAGAAACAACTTTGAAGACGAGGTGAATAGAAGAATTGGGCAGCGTTTGGGAAGCTACGTCAAGTCCTGTCATCGTCGAACCCACAGTGCCTAAAGACGAAAGTTTTCAATCAGTGCGTCCTACCTGTAATGACATACGGAGCCGTCACGTGGACACTGACGGTACGGCTGGTCCACAAGTTCAAAGTCGCTCAGCGCGCTATGGTAAGGGCTATGCTCGGTGTTTCTCTGAAGGATCGCATCAGAAATGAGGTAATCCGACAGAGAACCTGAGTTATCGACAGAGCCCACCGAATTAGTAAGCTGAAGTGACAGTGGGCTGGCCATATTTGCCGAAGACCCGATAACCGTTGGGGTAGATGAGTTCTGGAGTGGAGACCGCGTCTAGGCAAACGTAGTGTAGGACTTCCTCAGTCACGGTGGAGTGACGATTTACGCAAGGTGGCTGGCAGGAGCTGGATGCGAGTAGCCCAAAATCGATCTCAGTGCCTTGCAATTGGAGAGGCCTATGTCCAGCAGTGGACTAGGATAGGCTGTTGATGATACAGAATTATAGTGACAAAATGTACAGTAAATACTGTGAACAAATTATCTAAATCGGACTAAAATGTCGGAGATACAGCAACTTTAGTGCATTAGTTTCAGAAACGCCCCCGAGAATGAAGCGACTCGCTGTGACGTCTTCTGTTATGATCTGTGCCCCTAGCACGAACCATTATCGAATTCGTATAGTTTGCAAACCGAAATTTCAATGTCAAATTTTGTATGGAAACTTGAACAGCAGCGGCACAAAGTACGTAACGAGAACTAAAAATCAGTACACATTTGACAATCCGTTGTGGTGCTGCTGTTCACGTTTCCATACAGACAATGACATTTCGGACTCGCAAACTATTCTAATTGGATATTGGTTCGTGCTAGGGGCACAGTACCCCAAGCACGAACCAATATAGAATTCGGACAGTTTGAAAGAAAGAAAGAAAGAAAGAAATAATTTTATTTGAGACAACAAAAAAACATAATAATATAAAAAATAAAATAAAACAATTAAATTTAGTCTCAAAACGGCCCCAACTCAGCATAGTGCTAATGTTGCCATTAGCGCTGGTCTTCCGTTGGAACCGGTTTTTTGTCGCACGAATCAATAACATCATCATAGTTTCATATTCATCATAGTTTGCGAGTGCAAATTGTCACTACGAAGTCCACTTGCGAATAGTACGACAAAGAAATGAGTCACAAAATTTCTTTGATCGTGCAGGAATAGTGGCCACAGTACGTCGGTGACAACGTAGGCCAGCGCGCGAGGTCCTCTGAAGATAAGGTGATGGAAGGATAAGGGAGAATAACTCCTCAGAACACTCGCCGTGGTATAGTCCGTAGAATGCGCTTAATGATGCCACATCTCGGCGTAATTGTATAGACTCGAGATTATCAGTTACCTCTTCATCGCCAATGATGCGGGCAGCGTGCCGCTGTAACCTATCCAAGGCATCGAGTAAGTACTTAACGGAGCCATCCCAGAAGTGCGAGCAATATTCCACGCATGACCGCACTTGCGTTTTGTACAACAATCACAGTAGGCGTGAAAAATCACCTAGGAAATTATTATTGTTGAGGACTAGTTCATTTGCTAGCTAGTGAGTAAATTAATTAAAAACTTTACTTTTTTCTCTTTGGGTTGTCATGTTTCGGAGTTGAAGATCAAAATTTTAAATTACATGACAGATATGTATTTACTATGTAGTTTATTTGACTACGACAGATGAGGATTTTCGTACAACTTTTGCCGGCAATTTTGCCGGAGATTGACAGAATGATGCTTATAAATAAATAAATGAATGAATGAATAAATAAATAAATATAAGCATGTTTTGAAAAAGAATATAACTCTTGCCGTCGCGTGACTTACGGAATCTTTTGTTTCTGGCCAACGAATAAACTCGAAATCTACTGGACCGATTTCAAAAATCTCTCACCATTAGAAAACTGCATTAGTCAAAAGTGACTAAGGCTATATTATTTGTTTGTTTTCTAAAATAAAATTAATATACAGTTTACTAAAGCAAAACCGGGAAGGATCGCTAGTTTTGTACCTTATATTAAATTGATTTTGTACTGATACCGCATGAGTGCATCTTTTCGATGAATTTAGTTTGTGGCAATGAAGTCAAACTAAATTCAACGCGAGCCCCGACGCGGGTAGAGCTGGTTACTTTTGATATATCCACATTGTATCAATTATGCAACACATCAAAATTGTCTCCCACATCTCCCGATGGTGTTAAATACAATAGAGAATCAAGGATTGAGCTACTAAGGTCGTCCACTTTCATTAACCAAGCCTTTAGCCATATCATCACATAGCTATCTTATTTATCAATTAAGAATAGTTAAATCCCGAATTTGTTCGGGAAGCTACGTAGCATCTTCTCGGAACATCTACCGCAGTGCCTCAAGACGAAAGTCTTCAATTCGTGCGTGTTGCCAGTGATGACATACGGAACCGAGACGTGGCCGCTTACAATGGGTCTTGTAAGAAGGCTCAAAGTTACCCAAAGGGCAATGGAGAGGGCTATGCTCGGAGTTTCTCTGCGTGATCGAATCAGAAATGAGGAGATACGCAAGAGAACTAAAGTCACCGACATAGCCCACAGAATTGCAAACCTTAAGTGGCAATGGGCAGGGCACATTGCTCGCAGGACCGATGGCCGCTGGGGCGGAAAGGTCCTCGAGTGGCGACCGCGTACCGGGAAACGCAGTGTTGGCAGGCCCCCCACAAGGTGGACCGACGATCTGGTAAAGGTCGCGGGAAGCCGCTGGATGCGGGCAGCATGGGACCGATCGCTGTGGAAATCCATGGGGGAGGCCTATGTCCAGCAGTGGACGTCTTTCGGCTGATGATGATGATGATGATGATGATGAATAGTTAAATATCAAAACATTTGTCAAGAGCCTGTCTTATATGAAAAATGGCGACAATCGACGCAGAAAATTATCGATTACTTTCAAACAAATTCAAATACTTAATCCGTGATCTTCTTTATCACTTCCCCTGCGTTAAGTTATAAAACTAAATTACGTGTGTAAAACAATATGTGAACTAGTAGCACTGAGGTGGCGCCTAAAGGCAGACTTATTTCTTTATAACAATTCCTTTTTATTGCAAAATATATTTGTTAGATGAAATTTAAGTAATGTAAATTTTTAAATTTACTTAAATTACACACGCGATTTATTTTATCATATTAAATGTAAAAGATTGAAGATTTTGAAAATTTGTAGTAATGTCTGAGATGAGAAAGGATAGTGTACCTGGACAGCAAATAGTGGACGATAAAGCTGGCGTGAAGCACATAGACCTGGACCATGTACTGGTGAACGAGCTAGGACAGTGCGGCCGGTTCCAGCTGATCAACATACTGCTGGTCGGGATTCCTCTCCTCACGTCCGCTTTCATGAACGAATTCGTCTTTGGAGCCGCAGCTATTCCTCACAGGTTTGTCAGATTTGTGATAACCTTTGTCATAATATACTTCCGGACACATCTGGCGGCCCGCTTAGTTTCAACGGTTTCTACCAAAAATATATGTTTATGGATGAGCAATAATTTTAAAAACACACGAAAAGATGGTTAATATGTCAGCTTCAAAACTGCGTAGGTAATAACTTTTTGCTCAATGTAACATTTATTTTTACCAAGACAGGGACCGTCAAAATTGAAAATACTAAGTTGACCAGTATAAGTGTCCTGAAGTATATTATAACTTACGACTTACGTGACACATATATGAAAACACGGACTTAAGTTTTCAAAAAGTTGAAAAATTCTAATTGATCCGTTGCACACATATATATTTTTGCACGCACCAATTCTCACCTGCGTGGTGAGACATGGCAGCAATGGGAATATTTATCTTTCAGATCTTTTTCAGATAGTAGACTGTGTCTTTTGATCGTGAAGTCAAATTCTAGTCTATTATCTAAAACCAGAGGTTTTCCTGACTATTGCGAGTACCTACTATCACTTTAAATGTACTATTTAGCAAAATAAACGGATACCAATTTTTTCCATTGCGCACTTTGTAGGTACGATAATTTTAGTTTCAGCATTTTATGAATCCTATAATGTATGTCAATATCAAAGAAATACTCAGTCATAAAGAAATTGGAATATTAATTTGCTTAATCTAAAGAGATCATATAAATCGGACCCCTCTTCTCTAACCAATCAAGAGATAATTTAGCAAAGCAGTTACATAATTCTTCATTAATGATTTGTCTCATGCCACTACTGAAGAGTACGTCTAAAATGATCAAAACATCAACAATAGAGGCCCCTAATCAATGATTACAATATAACGGTTTTCAAACATCCGTGTAGTGATTAGCGATACGACGACGTTAAATTTTAAACCAGTCAACTAGAGCTAATAGATCTGAGGTAGCGCCTCAAAGAAAAATATTAAAAATTATAGTTTTATTAAATATAAAATGAAAAGAAATGTTCATCGTATTAAAACTGATATTACTTTACTAAACATCTAGAAGTTCTGAGCAACTATTTCAAAACATACAAAATATTCAATGTCAAAAATTTCAAGAGTTTACACTATTAAAGAAAAATGACTAAGACAAGAAACGGTGGTGTAATTAATATTGGGCAGCAAGTAGTGGACGATAAAGCCGATGCAAATCATATAGATCTTGACTATGTACTGGTAAACGAATTGGGACAGTTCGGCCGGTTCCAGCTGATCAATATTCTGCTGGTGGGGATTCCTTTACTAAAGTCAGCTTTCATGAACGAATACGTCTTCGGTGCGGCCGCTGTTCCTCACAGGTTAGTATTTTTAGCCCCAGTTGTAAGCATTTTTGAGGAAGCTGACAGAGAATATTTAAAATATAATAACTAAATTTACATTTGATTTTTAATATATATCCACTTTTAGCTTATCATCAAACACTTTCTATGAACATTCTCATTTGAACAGTTTACGAGATATCGGATAGGAAGACATAGTGCCTAACGTTGGACAATCAAAATAGGACGATAATTCATAGGAAATAAAATCAATTACCACTTTATTATAAGTAATTAGATAAATTATAGATTACCTACTAAATCCAAACTGCTATATGTAATGACTCTATGGATCTACTTGGCAGGTATATTATGAATATTCAATTTATTTTCAATTGTGATGAAATTAACGAATTCCATTTTTTATCAAGTGCAGTGGCTCGAAATGTATCGTCTTATTCATGATAATGACAGAAAATACTACATAAGTACTTACATTATTTCTAGTCCCACCGGGCAGCAGTGTATTCGTATATCACAAGTAAACAATAGCACCCTTTTTTTATTTTCTACAGATGCCGTATCCCTGAGTGTGGAGAGGATAGCAAGTTGAATGTTTTTGACCCTATCTGGATTTCAAACGCCGTTCCTCAGTCAGGGAACACAATTGCAAGTTGTCAGCGGTTCCCATCGCTCGGAAATGGCACCCTGGGTGTTTGCCCGATCGAACTTTTTGATAGGAGCACAACGACTAGCTGCGATGGCTTCGTGTATGCTAGGACTGATTCTGTAGTATACGATGTAAGATATCATGCTTATTAAAACTTCAATTCGAACACTTAATTATGTCCAAAGTTATAATGATATCACAAATCATTTAAGAGTTTGCCCGCAATCAGCACAAATCTATCTTTTTATGCAGTTTAAATTAAAATTATAACACCTTGTTTTTACCTATATAATTCTATTATTTTCTTCTCACAATTAGGTTATTTAAGTATCGAAATTATTTTCGTTCATTGAAGTCCCAGAAACAAGAGAATGTATTTTGAACATTTTTTAAACTTAGTTTTCTTTCAGTTTGATTTAGGGTGTCAAGAATGGATGAGAGCATTAGCTGGTACATTGAACAGTGTGGGCGCGTTACTAGTGTTGCCTATGACTGGATTCGTGTCGGATCGCTTCGGGCGCAGAGTTGCCCTCATCATCAGCGTCTTCAACATGGCCGTCATCGGTATCATCAGATCCTTCTCCGTTAACTACCCCATGTACTTGGCTTTGCAGATCTTGCAAACTACCTTGGGTGCTGGAATTTACAGTGCGGCTTACATTTTTGGTAAGCACGTTTGTTTATTGTAAGTTCACAGTAAAAGATTATTTGTTGGTTTCTTTAATCTTATGTTATTTTTGTAATTCTATCTTAGAGGTCATTAAACGACATACCACTATTTTACTACCCCTTAATATCATATTGTGGTGTGGGATATTTTGTGAGATATATCAAAATCTCCGTACTTCGGAGTTTTATTTCTTACTATACTCCCTCCCCCACGTGCCATACGCTATAATATCTCCATTATATTTTAAATTTTATATAAAGGTCATGGTACTTGTTGATATGCATCTTATTATTAAAAATGATTTTAGCTGCCGAGATGGTTGGACCAAAATATCGTGTATTGACAAGTGCTACATCAAGTTCTATGTTCGCTGTTGGCCAAGTGATCTTAGGAGCGACATCATGGTTAATCCCATCGTGGCGCTATCTCTTACTGGCACTTAATATACCGTGTTTCCTTATGTTGTCGTACTACTGGATTCTTCCTGAGAGCGTTAGGTGGCTACTGTCTAAGGAAAAGTTTGAAGAAGCGAGAGTAGTATTAAAAAAAGTAGCAAAGGTAAACGGAAAACAGATAAGTGAAAAATCCATGGAAGCCTTATTGACGCCAGCACCACCACCGCCGGAATCTACGTTGCAGGTAAAATGAAATCGTTATAGGCTCTGATAAAAATTCTAGATCACGTATAATGTTTTACTAGGCATGTCATGTCATAAAATCAGTGTAAATAAAGTGTTCCTAATTTTTATTATTTTTAAAGCATGTAACTGCTTGATGTTAAAATCTAAAGAAAATATAACTAGAAAAAATTCCACGCGGACCAGGCAGCAGACGGGACTCGAACCCGCACCCTTCACAATCCGGGCGAATGCACTGACCATCTATGCTACCGCGGCCCTCACGGACCGCGTCGAAATTCTTTCTAGCTATTCTTAAGCTGCAGGGCAGCGCCATCTCTTCGCATTATAGGTAAACCCACAATGTCAAATGAATACTTTTACAAGTATTAAACATTTGAAAGAAGAAATAGCAATTATAGTTATAATTTTTATTATTTTTAAAGCATGTAACTGCTTGATGTTTAAATCTAAAGAATTTTTTCTAGTTATATTTTCTTTAGATTTAAAGTGTTCCTGTTATTACCCAGTCAATAAAACATCTGTTCTGATTTTACTTGATAGTTAAAATTTGAATCTGCAATTTTCTTCTAGTCTAATCTGATGATTAGACTAAAAATATCCATAATGAAATAGGAAACCTTCTTAATCACTATGATGAACAGAAATTAAAAAGATATGAAGTGTTGTTACATTGTTACCTTACTAAAACATTTTACTGTTCCAACAGATTTATTTCACGCACATATCTGTACAACAATGAAAATGTAAAAAAATTGTGTATTTAAAATATTTCAGACGAAGGATTCTCTGGTGAAATCAATAGTGAAGTCTCCCGTCTTACTCCAAAGGGTGTGCACTACCCCTATTTGGTGGATCACCACGATCCTAGTGTACTACGGGTTGTCCATCAACTCCACCAGTCTATCCGACGAGAGGCATTTGAACTACATCTTGACGGTGGCCGTGGAGATTCCTGGTTTCTACAGCGCCGTACTGGTTCTCGACAGGATCGGCCGGAAGATGACTTTATGTGGCGGCTTCTTTATGAGTGCCGCTTGTAACATCGCCTTCATCTTTATTCCTAATGGTAAGACTTATAAAGGAATAAAACAGGATAAGGAGATTGGCGTATCAGGCTTAGTCACCGAGATATTTGGATTTCGTACTTACACGATTACAAGTTTTTTCTTTCTTGTTTAGTGACTATCCAAACTGCCGATTTCACTAACTGAAATTGAGCTTTGTAATGCATGATATAAGATTTAGAATCTGTCGGAAAATTTGACGTATTGTAGTAACTTCATGGGTGGCGGTTTGAATATTAGGGTATATCTTTATATATATAATTCTTCTGTGAGTGTGTATGTCACTGAACTTCTCTTAAACGACTGGACCGATTTTGATGAAATTTTTTGTGTGTGTTCAAGGGGATCTGAGAATGGTTTAGATTCACAATTTTGTCCGCTGGACAACCCCTATTTTTTAGGGCGGTACGAAGTTCGCTGGGTCAGCTAGTATTGTATAAAAGACTACTCCTAGGTGACAAAGGCCTTGTTTCGAAATAGAAAATAAATAATAACCAAGATCAAGGACATCTAATCTGATAACAATAATATATTATTAAGGAAGTTCGGTAATAATAAACATCAATAATACAAGATTAATAGTCGGTAAATAAAGCTATCAAAAATACAGGTTGCGGTGGTAAAAACAAGAAAAATATTCAATTCAAATATTAATAATGTGCTTATAATATTGAAACCTTTTCTTAGCATTTTAACATTATAATAAACAATTTCACTGACGTACGTACATATCGTCTTTGACTTACATAACTTCCAAAGCGTGTTAGTAAGAATTTTTACAGACCTTAATTTGATTTACCTTAATAAGTTTTATTGGTTTGTTAATTTCTGCGCTGAACTTTGACAATATATTTGACTTGGTAATTCTTTAGGCGATAAAACCAATAGGGAAATCCAAAGGAGAAGTAAAGTAATCGACAACACTGAAAGTATTGCTCACCAAAAGTAGCAGTGGGTGGGACAATTAGCGAGAAGAATCGATGGCTGTTGGGGTCGAAAGGCAGTCCCCATACTCGATGTAGGGAGGTCAATTTTCAACAGTAGGCGTCGTATAGTTGAATGATGATGATAATTTTGACATTAGTGTTCTGAGGAGTTATTCTCCCTTATCCCTCCATCATCTTTTCTTCAAAGAATCACGCGCGCTGGCCTACATTGTCACCATTTTTACTATGGCCACTCTTCCTACACGAACAAATAAAGGACATGGCTAAGAAACTGCCCTTAACGTGTATAATTATTTTGCACTAGCCCATAATTATTTAATATTTTTTTATTAATTATTACGTATTTATAATTCTCATACAACTTTCGTGAAATAATCAAATATTTAAAAGTAAAAAATTGACTTCATGTCTGTTTCAAAAGGAAAATGTTCCGTTTTACTCAAATAAATGAACAATAAATGTATACTAAAAAATATTTCTGTCAGTATATCGAAATAAACAATATTAATTCAAAACTTCCGAAAACTATGACATATTTGGCCCTTATTTTTATTATAATAAATCACTGAAGGCCTAAAATAATAGATTTTATTTTTCTGATCAGGCTTAAGAGAAGGCTGTATGATAATTAATGCTTTGATATTTGCCAATGAACAAAATAAAACTTCACAGATTTCATGTCAGGCCGACAACAACAAATTATTTGTATTCATTTTTTGACGTGACAACGTCTTAAATTAGGTTGCGGCTGGGAGTCACTTATGAAAAAGTGTAACGCTCGGTAACGTTACGATGAGTCTCTCGTGTTAAGTTTAAGTTTACATGTACAATGTTTTAGTAAACAAAATATATTTCTATAGTTAAAATTTGTGCAATTCTTATTTTCATTCAATTCCTTGTTCCTATTGTGCAATTTAATTATATTCATATCAATAAATATTCTACCGAGAAAAAGACGTTGTCACGTAAAATCTTCGCCCGTAAAACCGACTTTACAGGCAACCATTTTTTTACTTTTAAAAATGCTTTTTGTGAAGTGTTAATCAGATAAATGTGAAGAAATAGGTAAAACTGTACTTCCAGGGCCCAAAAGGTGATACTTGTTTTTTTTTTTAGAAAAGGTCTTTTTAACAGTTTGTTTTTTCTGGCGCTTCGCCGGCCGCTGCCGCGGCACGCTCGCTTTGCTCGCTCGGCTCGCGCGTTATGGTCACAACACTAACCCAACCTAACCTAGTGTGAAGTATCACCACTTGATAAGAAAAGTAAAATTTTTCAATATTTTTTTCTAAAAAACTACCAGTGCATAAGTGTGACATTTTTTTTAATAATGTGGTTAACAGAAACCTTTTTAACAACAAAAATCGAAATTACAACCAACAAAACTGTGAAGTTTTTACTTTTGCGCCCTGGAAGTACAGTATATCCAAGAAATAATCTAAGAAAATGCGAATTTGATGGCTCTGTAAATAATTGGCAACATCTTTTATCAAATGTAGCAAGGTAATGACGTAGTAGGAGATCTCATAATTTTCAAGATTGTGACTTTATCAAAAGTTCCTGAGCCCTTTTTCATAGAAATTATAAATATTCAGCAATTCTGCATTATATATTACTAAGTACAATATTTATACATTGCTAGGGCAGTCGCTCATACAAAATTTTACCATGTCCTTTGATGACTGATTTCTTTGTCGTACTATCGTACCCTCAGGGGAAAAAAGGCATAAGACGGAAATGCTGATTTTTCAGTTCCAAACGTAGAAGAATTATTCATATATCAAAAAAAAGGAGAAAAAATGTTGCACTGCGTTTTGTATTTAAGTTAGTGCTAATGATTATAGTTTATTAGGAATTGTTAAAATAAATTATTATGCTACTTTTCAGAATGTAATAAAATAAAGGATTCTGAGTATCAAAATTTATGCCAGACTTTGCCAGAAAAGTAAAATGTATTTCAAAACGTATGTTGTATTAAAGCAGTAATGAACTTGTACATACGAACACTTATGCTAGTATAAGTAAGATTACTGCATTATTTCCTTTATTAAAATTATTTTTGAAATGTATGAGCAATACTTACCCCTTTTTTCAATTTAAGGGCTTGTTAAGATAACTTAAGTAAACAATAATAATAACTTATTCCATCATATGTTTTAGAATAGTCGTTTGCATATTAACACATTTTATTTAGGGATAAAAGGCAATGCATTTTTTGCATTGACTATTTTTAATTTCAGGCAAAATACTAATTGTAGTTTTGGTTACAATTAAAGTTCGTACTATAAACAATACAATTGCACAATAATAATTCAGAAATGTGGAGTTTGGGTGAAGATTACTACCACTTATGATTTTTTTTATAAATTCTTATATAAACAATAGATAATTTGTTAAGACTTGTAACAATTAACAAAATAAGTTTTTTCTCGGGTCCGTACAATAAAATATTATGTTCTCTCAATTAAAAACTAAAGTAACAAGCAAAAGGACATTGGGCAAAAATGTATGGACGCATCACCCACGTCCGCCACGGCTTAAACTACATTTGTTTGAAAGGTATTAAAGTCGTGATCATCTGTCCCAAAGCGCATCAAATTCCAAGTTAAATAGGTACAAGTACTATAACGAGCGAACATTAATGAAACAAGGGAATTAATTTAGTTAGTTCAACCCTACATAGAGGGCTCAGGTAGGCCTATATTATTCCTTATGTTATTCTGCCGTGTTAGAGTAAACCCAAAAATCCCCGCATGGGTTGGCTTTTTTCAACCAGTCTGTTCATTGTAGTAAATTGTCTACGTAAAACGGAACGACCATAAATCACACAAATTTGTCGATGCATAGAAGAAAACATGAGCGCTGTTCATCCATACTAATTAACAAAACCGATAATCGTGTTCCAATGTCCAAAGCGTGTTAGATAAAAATCAGTCAAGTGACAGGGAGCGCACAGATACAACGAAGTAAGACGAGTCGACTAGTTGCAACTGGAAGTCCCTCAACCCCCGTAAACCGTTTTGAGGTATCTGAATAAGTGCAAGCGAAGGATGGTCGCTAGGCTTTGTCGGTTGTATAGTACGATATGGCACATTATTATGGTTACTAATAATATAAAACAAAGTAACAAAACAATTAAATTAATTTGTTTACTTAAATATGCCGTATAGCTCAATTGTACTTTGTAAAATTTAACATGCCTATTATAGAATTATTATCCGTTAAAGTACGTAGATCCTTTTGTTTTCAAATAATGAACGAATAAAAATACAAATAAAATGTCTTCTTTAAGCAATAATGAGATCAAAAATCTTTAGATGGTAATGATATTTTCTACTGCAAGAGAGGTTTGGCAAGAGTTGCACCGATTATTTGATGGCGTAACAGAAGATAAAGCCTATGATCTCTTCATGAAATTATTCGGACATAAGAAGGATCCAAACGACGACATGGCGACCATTTGTCAAAATTAAAGAACATGTGGCAAGAGCCGTCTATGGAAATGAAGAAGTCGGAAGGAATTACTGCTGATTTACCCGATATGTTCCTCATTTGCAAGATATTGGATTGCTCCAGGGCATCCCCAACACTCTCCTCTTCCGGGGGGAGAGGGATGTGTCCGTTTGACTTGGACGCTCACTGGTGAGGTCGCGGAAGATTCCGTAAGGGTTTCCGTGACCTCATCTAGTGCCGTTGTCTCAACCACGCTGTTTGGGACCGTGGACCGAGTGAGGTATGGGGCATAGTCAGGTTTTTAGTGGGTAGGGCCCCTCCCTCTTGGGCGTTCGCTGAGCTAGTCCCAGGACTGGCTGAGCGGACGGGCAGGACGGGTCGGGAGGAGTCCCACATAACCCCGTTGCCACTCCCAGGCGGCGGGGTATGCGTCACGCATTTTCCTGACGGAAAAAAAAGAAAGAAGATATTGGATACCTTACCGGAAGAATTCTTCGCCTTTAAATCTAGTTGGTTGTTATTATCAAGTAAAGAGAGGACTATAGAGAGATTAAACAGTCAGCTATGTTCTCACGTAAGAGCATTATCTTCAAAAGGTTCCGAGAACTGCGGAGATGCACTGACTCTTCAAGGACCATCCAAAACACAGAGGATTCCACAATATGACAAAAAGAAAAATAAATGTCATTTATGTGGTGAAATCGGCCATAAGGTAAAACAATGCCATAAATGGAAAGCTGATGGACGCCCGCCGAAAACAACATCTGACACGAAATTAAATGAAGCTGTGAACATGAACGTAATGGTATTGAATATCAAAATGGAGCTACAAATCACGTTACAAACCTAAGACACGTATTCAAGACTTTTGAGTATTTTGATCGATCACATACTGTAACGGCAGCTAATGAACAAGCCATTGAAGCGATTGGTAAAGAAACTATTAATGTACAAACAGATTTAGGAAGCCACAAGCAATTGATTACTCTCAATGATGTTTGGTACTGTAACAGGGATCACAAAAAACTTATTCTCAGTACTATCAGCCCAAGAAAAGCTCGTAAATAGCATCTTCACGTCAGAAGCTACAAAATGTAAACTTTTGATTGGTAACAAAATCCTGTTTATTGGAGATAAACAGAAACAAGGTAAACTTATCTTTGCAGACGTTTGTGGATCCTTCATGTACTCGATATCGAAACTAAGATACTTCGTAGTTTTCAAAGACGCCTATTCTCAGTTCAGATTCGTCTATTTTCTGAAAGAAAAATCAGAAGTCTTCAAAAAGTTGGAACTTATGTTAGCTGAGATAAAAGCAACAGGACATAGAGTCAAAGAACTTTTTACAGACAACGGAGGGGAATTTGTTAATGAGAAGGTTAAAACTATATAAGAATCGAATGGCATCAAGCACAGAGTAACAATGCCACATACTCCTCAGCAGAATGCGTGCGAGAGAGAAAACAGAACAGTTGCTGAAGCAGCTAGAACTATAATAAATGCGCGAGGTTTTCCTCAAGGCCTATGGGCTGAACTAGTAAACACATCACTCTATATCTTGAATCGCACTGGTCCAACGGTGTATGACAAGTCACCTTACGAATTGTGGTTTAACGAGAAACCCAGAATTGGTATTTTAAGGATAATAATAGGAAGTACCTGTTATGTGCATGTTCCTAAGGTATAAGAAAAAAGTTAGACAAAAAGGCGGTTAAATGAATTCTAGTAGGATATAATGAAAATGAAGGATACAAACTTTGGATTAAAGACAAAAATACTTTGATTAACTCAAGGGATGTAATTAAAGAAGAAAGAAGTAATCATTATTTTACAGCCGCACCGAAGTATGTATTCTTATGTATCGGCGCAAAGAAAAAATTTTAGTGGAAGAAAGCAGTAACAGTTCTTATCCTAATTTATTTTAAGTTCATAAGAAGTAAACAGTCGTACTGCTATTATTATTTCTTTTTGGTTAAGTAAGTGCATTTAAGATAATTTCCTTACCCAGTTAATATAACGAATAAAAACATAATCGTATATACAAGACTAGCGATGTAAAAAAAACAAACGCATTTAAATCATAATATTTATTACTTTTTATTTTTTATATTAAATTTTAGCGATAAACGTAATATTAAGTAATACGTCATATTTCTTAATTTATTCTTTGCGTTATATCACATAATCTTTTAATCCTTAAGAAAAAATGTGATATAATAAAAAATCTCAAAATTAATTTCTTGTATTAATTCGTCAAATTTAACAAGAAAAATATGAAAAAAATTTAGCATATGTATCGTCAAACGAACTTTTCAAATATGATAAAATCGATGATTCAACGTAAATTCACTTATGCCTTTTTTCCACTGGGGTGCGCTATTTGCAAGTGGAATTCTTTACCCGTGCACGTGTTCCCCCTTTCCTACAATCTGGGGTCCTTTAAGAGAGGCGTGAAGAAGCATTCTGCAGGCCGGCAAGGTGAGGATGGTTGGTGTGGCAGTTTATAACTGCTGAATCAGCTATCTTTGCCACTACTATCTTTATCATCACTATATGGAGAAAAATATATATTACAGATTTGAGTGTGCTGAGGCAGATAATCTTCCTGCTGGGCAAATTCGGGATATCTGTGGTGGTGACGTCACTGTACCTGTTCACTTCTGAGCTGTATCCAACCCAGTATAGACACAGCTTGCTCGGCTTCTCGTCCATGATCGGCAGGATCGGATCCATCACTGCGCCACTCACTCCAGCGCTGGTACGTCGATTTGTGTTTGATTTAGACCAGTGATTCCCAAAGTGGTCTATATCGACCCCTAGGGGTCTATGACGACCTGCATGGGGTCTACGTCAACGAAAAAAAAATTGGGGGGTCCATGAAATGAAAATGGGGGTCCACATTAATGGATATAATCTTCTATTAAAAATATATGTCATACATTATTTATAAAAGTACCTACGAAATAATAAAAAATATTATATTTAATGTTTATAAAATTTTGTAAGTTGTAAGATATTCGCTTTGTGGTCGCAGTACATTTTGAAGTTGTATAAACCTGCATGTAATGATAAAACAGTATCATCTTGTTACACTAACTTCCCTCCAGATAAAAAAAAGTATGGGAACCTCTGATTTAGTCTAATTGGTGCCCGCGGTTATTAGCTTAGAATGATCTGTTCTCAAATATTCATTTTAGCATCTTCAAATTTTACTCTCACGGCGAAATTAACTCATGTCCTTGTCCGAGGTTCTCTCTATCAATCGAGGTTATATTGGAAATCCTCAATATAAGGTAAACGATATAGGTAGGCGTAAAAGCACAATTGATTGACACATATTTTCGCATTCCTGATATAAGTATGGATTTGTTTATACCAAAAGTGTATATGACGAATGTAATATCTCTGATGACTAGAAAGGTAAAAGAGTTTGTGAGTTGTACTTAATGAAAATTGACCTTTTTTCTCGAGACCTACATGAATTACAAAGTCAAGGTTAGTTAGTTATTCCTATTTGAATAATATGAAATAGTAAATCATAAGATTAATGATAATATAACACCTTAATTACCTATGCTATATACCCCCAGCGAGGTTATTAGACGAGTAAATCTACAGTATATAGAGTTAGATAAATGTTGATAAAGTAGTAAATAACGTAATGAATCATGATATAAATTATCACCCAAAAATAGTATATATTACGTAAGTTAATCTTGAGGCTTAGAGCATTGCTCTACGCCTTGAGATTACTAATTGTATTTTCATCATTTACTATTCTTTGAAATCATTAGAATATATTCCATAAATATTAACAGTTGGATGGGCGTGGCACGCATGTCAAAAAATACTATACTCATTAAAAGTGCAAGGGATCAAGTGAACTTTTGGAATAAATTATCATATAAATATTTTATTTAAGCATTTTACTGCTATATGCTTTTAGGGTGTAGGGGATGTAGGGTGACCTACAATGCGAAGGGTGCGGGTTCGAGAACCGTCTGCTGCCTGGTTCGCGAGGATTTTTTTCTAGTAAAAAAATTCTTTATTTATTAATAATTATTAAATCTAGTTTGCCAGGTTAGATTTTAGTTTAATTGCTTTAAGCTTACCCCTAAATTTTGTAAAAGCAGTAGTAAGTTTCAGTAAAATTTGGAAATGGAGACCTAATTAACGGCAACGTCAAACAATTCAGAACGCTATAGACAGCAAAAGAAATCAGTTTTTCTTGAATTTCCATAGTTGTATCCAAACCAAAAAAAAAATTTTTTTTTTTACATTTTTTTTAATCAATTTCATTGTTAAAACATCACTTCACGTCTCATCGTTGCCAAAAGTGGCAACGCATTGCTAAGGTCTAATATGTAGTCATCATCATCAGACTTTCAACATCTCCACCGCTGAAGAGCTGTGGATGCTTCCCTATGGACGGAGTAGGGAGATTGGGTCTTGTCGCACCACGCGGACCCAGTGCGAATGTTTGGTGCTAACGACTGCAGATGTAGCCGGGCCCAGCGGCTTAGCGTGCCTTCCCAAACACGGAGGAGCCCGAGATAATAATTTTTTGGTTACCCAATCAAAGACCGACCACTGCGAAAGTAGCTTAACTTCCACGATTTAGATTTAGATTTATTTATTGCAAAAAATATGGTACAATAAGATGACATGTATACAAAACAGGTTCTACAAATTTTACCATAAATGGCATGCAATTTATACAAAAGACTAAATTAAAGTTAAATTAAATTAAAATAAGGGTTTTTCCTATACAATTATATATACCATGATATATATTACAAATAATTTCATTAAGTATTTTTTTGATTTAAATTATATCTATACAGAATCCTCAATCATATTCATTCATTTCATCAAAATAAACCATGCAATCTATACTTATAATAAATCTGTAGAGATGTCAATTCTGTACATGAAATATATTTTTAAAATAACTATCAGGGGGTGATTAGTGATCGATACTGATGCCAAAAATGCAATCAGTAAAATTTTTGTCTCTCTGTCTGTCTGTGTGTATGTTCCTTAAAGAAACAAAAACTACTCAACGGATTTTAAAGAAACTTGGTACAATTATTCTTCATACTCCTGGGCACGTTATAGTATACTTTTCATCACGCTACAATCAATAGCAGCAGAGTAGTGAAGGGAAATGTTGGGAAAACGAGAGAAGTTACTCCATTTTTCAAGCTTCCTTCGCGGGTGCAGCCTTAATGGTTAAAGTTACATAGAAATCATGTATGACGGAAATATTCTACATAAAATTGTCTAAAAAATATCCCGCAACAGCATATGTCTATCTTTTATGGTTGACTCACAATAACACGTGTAATTATATAAATAAAGTCATTCTTTATAGCACAAGCCTGAGAACAAAAACTATAGTTTACACTACAGCTCTACACTAGTACTAAATAAATAGCTAATTTACATTATCACAGCACGAACGCGTAACTTCCTGCGTCATCAAACTCTTTGATAGATGTTGTATTGTTCATGTATTTTTTTATTACGACCAATCACCTGTTTTACTCTTTATCAGAAGTCATATTATTATAGGTTTATCATTTTATTCGTTTATTTACGCTTGATTAAGAAATGCAAACAACTATTTGTCCTTGATCATTCGTTTTTGTATTATCAAAGCCGTTAATAATAAAGTTTGTGATCAACATAAAATGTATTCGATAAATTGATAACATTTGAATCTTAACAAGCTCGTTTACTGCGAAGCGGTAATAACTTTACAGTATCGTAATTATTTATAGCTAATTTATGTTTATCTTATTAACCTTTTTGTTATGTTTACTCCTGCTATTATTAACAATGGCACAAAAGTTGGTATTTGTCTCTGTTATCTTTGTGCAATAAAGTTCTTGGGAGTCCATCATAATCAATTTTAAGAAGTCTTAAGTTAAACGCTAAGCTTGACTTGGTTACAACTTACGATGATAGGCCGTTATTTATTACAAATAACTACGCCAATTTTTTGCATTAAAATAAACCCCAAAATTTTTGACCAGATTATGAATTAAGTTTAGTAGACAGCTGATATTTCCCGGAATTAATGCACGCTTTTGAGGAAGATCTCCTTATCCTACGAATAGCAGTTCACAGTGAAAGAACACCTTTATGTGGTGTTATATTTCTATCTTTGAGTACGATTTTAATTTTGTTTTATCTTTGAGGGGTGTAAGGGGTTCTAAATACACCTGCAAGAACCCAAGCCAACCTCACCTTCACGTGGTGCACCCTGTTGACCAACAGACGAGGCTCTGGCAAACCGACCGATGGCGGTATAACCATCCAATGACGTAGGGGAGGAAAATGTCACTGGTGACGGGCAGCAGCGTCATCAGTAAAAAAACCTACGCTCTGCGATGGCCAACCCGCCTGCCCAGCGTGGCCATTATGGGCAAAACCTTCATGCACAAGAAACTCAAGCCACGGCCCCCAGATCCCGGCAGCCCCGCTATTCCTGGTCACGGTGGCGACCACGGTAACGGTGGGGCGGGGGGTGCCAAGAATCTCCGGGCTACGGGAGGCCACCACAAAAGACTGACCCTGGTGACGTACAACGGACGCACGCTACGGCTTGACTCGCATCTGGTGCAACTCGAGGTGGAACTTGGAAAGATTCGGTGGCACATTTTAGGGATAAGTGAAGTCCAAAGAGAGGGGGAGGACACCATAACCCTCGAATCGGGCCACCTAATGTACTTCCGCGGGGGAGACCAACAGTCCCAAGGTGGCGTTGGGTTTTTGGTAAATAAGTCCCTTGCCGATAACGTTGTGGAAATGTCCAGCGTGTCGAACAGGGTAGTGTACCTTATTATAAAGCTCACCGAGAGGTATAGCCTCAAGGTGGTGCAAGTGTACGCACCGACCTCGACACACTCGGACGACGAAGTGGAGGATATGTTCGATGATATATCGAGGGCCCTCCACTCCACTACTAAGACCCACTACAATGTTGTAATGGGGGACTTCAACGCTAAAGTGGGAGTACAGAATTGCAGCGAATCAGTAGTAGGATCCCATGGATTTGGAAGCAGAAATCATAGGGGGCAAATGCTCGTCAACTTCCTCGAACAGCAGGGGCTCTTCTTGATGAACTCTTTTTTCAAGAAACAGCCCCAAAGGAAGTGGACATGGCAGAGCCCCGACACTATGACTAAAAATGAGATCGATTTCATCATGACGGACAAGAGGTACATATTCAGAGACGTCTCCGTGATCAACAGGTCCAATACCGGTAGTGATCACCGACTCGTCCGGGGCTCTCTGAATATCAACTTTAAGGCCGAGCGCGTCCGTTTAATGAAATCCAGGCTCCAACCTACTTTGCAGGATCTGAAACGTTCCAGTCAAATCTGGAGAACCGATTTGCTGCCGTGGAAACCACATCAGACGTAAACCAAAACCACGAAAATGTGGTTCCGATTCTCAGGGAAGAGGGACGAAATTATGTACAATGCAGCGTAAGGGCAGGAAGTCAAAGCTTTCGGAAGAGACTTTAGGGCTAATGAAGGAACGACGTGAGAACCCACCCGCCACTTCGTCGGCAAAGCGGACTCTAAACCAAGAGATCAGTAAGCACGTACAACACGACCTCCGATGCTCCAATACTCTCTCGATCGAGAGATCGATCGAGCAGAATCGAGGGTCCAAAGTGTTCGTACAATCTCTTGGAAGAAGCCATCTGATGAAGTTGACCACAGCAAGTGGGGAAGTTGTTGCTTCAAAGCCGGCAGTCCTTTCGGAAGTGGAAGACTTCTACAGCCAGTTATGCGCATCACATGCATCTCGACCTGATCCCGGAAATGAGGATTCTAGAGCCACATTAACACGCCACTTCACCGAAGACCTGCCAGAAGTCAGTATTGGCGAAATCGAGATTGCTCTTGGACAGCTTAAAAATGGAAAAGCCCCTGGAGAGGATGGTGTTACAACAGAACTCTTGAAGGCTGGAGGTAAACCCGTACTGAGGGAGCTCCAAAAGCTTTTTAACACTGTCCTGTTCGAAGGGAGAACTCCGGAGGCGTGGAGCAGGAGTGTGGTCGTCTTGTTCTTTAAAAAGGGGGACAAGACCCTACTTAAGAACTATCGACCCATATCCCTTCTAAGCCACGTCTATAAGCTGTTCTCAAGAGTGATCGCGAACCGTCTTGCGATTTGATGACTTCCAACCACCGGAACAGGCTGGGTTTCGGAGCGGATACGGCACCATAGACCACATCCACACAGTGCGGCAGATTATACAGAAGACTGAGGAGTACAATCAGCTCCTGTGCCTAGCATTTGTGGACTATGAGAAGGCCTTTGACTCGATTGAAATCTGGTCTGTCCTGGAGTCCCTGCAGCGTTGCCAAGTCGACTGGCGATACATCCAAGTGATAAGATGTCTCTACGAAGCCGCCACCATGTCTGTCCAAGTACAGAATCAGCAAACAAGTCCCATACCGTTGCATCGTGGAGTGAGACAAGGGGACGTTATTTCCCCGAAATTGTTCACTAATGCAATGGAGGATATGTTCAAGACGCTGAACTGGAAACGACATGGCATCAACATAAATGGCGAACGCATCTCTCACTTGCGATTTGCAGACGACATCGTCATGGCAGAAACCCTGCAGGACCTACAACAGATGCTGAATGATCTGGCTGACTCTTCTATACGCATCGGCCTACGGATGAACTTGGATAAAACCAAGGTCATGTTCAATGAACATGTTCTACCAGAACCGATTGCAATACACGGGGCCGTTCTCAAAGTTGTTCAAAAATATGTATACCTCGGGCAGACATTGCAGTTAGGTAGAAACAACTTTGAGGACGAGGTGAATAGAAGAGTTCAGCTAGGTTGGGCAGCGTTTGGGAAGCTACCTCAAGTCCTGACATCGTCGATCCCACAGTGCCTAAAGACGAAAGTCTTCAATCAGTGCGTCCTACCTGTGATGACATACGGAGCCGAGACGTGGACACTGACGGCACGGCTGATCCACAGGTTCAAAGTCGCTCAACGCGCTATGGAAAGGGCTATGCTCGGCGTTTCTCTGAAAGATCGCATCAGAAATGAGGTAATCCGACTGAGAACCAGAGTTATCGACATAGCCCACCGGATTAGCAAGTTGAAGTGGCAGTGGGCTGGCCATATTTGCCGAAGAACCGATAACCGTTGGGGTAGACGAGTTCTGGAGTGGAGACCGCGTCTAGGCAAACGTAGTGTAGGACGTCCTCAGGCACGATGGAGTGACGATTTGCGCAAGGTGGCTGGCAGGAGCTGGATGCGAGTAGCCCAAGATCGATCTGAGTGGCGTGCATTTGGAGAGGCCTATGTCCAGCAGTGGACTATGATAGGCTGTTGATGATGATGATCTTTGACTAGTGGCCCGCCCTCGCTTCGCTTCGGGATACAATTGATCAAAATCCTTTCTTAGCGGATACCTACGTCATAACATCTACCTGCATGCCAAATTTCAGCCCGATCCGTCCAGTGGTTTGGGATGTGCGTTGATAGATCACTATGTCAGTCAGCCACCTTTGAGTTTTATATATATATATATATATATAGATAACTTAAATAACTACTGATACGATGGTCACAAATGATAATGACTTGATTAAACTATAACTATCAACAGTTTAACATTTAACGTAATATTTGTTAAGCACCTTTCAGGGGATATTGATTGTAATAGATTCAGCCAAAACGCTCTGCCGCCTCAGTAATTTAAAAAAATAGTAGAATAAGATATCGTCATCATCATCAATAACCTATTAATGTCCCCACTGCTGGAGCACAGGCCTTCCCTATGGATCGAATAGGGAGATTGGGCCATGACTCACCACGCGAGCCCAGTGCGGATTGGCGGGTGCTAACGATTGCACATGCAGCCGGGACCTACGGCTTAACGTGCCTTCCGAAGCACGGAGGAACTCGAGATAGAAGATTTTTGGTCACCAATCCAATGATCGTCCACTGCGAAAGTTGCTTAACTTCACCGATCGCAGCAGAACGCGCTAACCACCTACCTACTTAATTTAAGACGAATATTGTAAAATAAGGTTTATGATAAAAGATCTGAAATAAAAAGCTGCCCAGACCACGGGTAGAATATAATGCATGTATTACTTATAATATACTAGCTGACTCAGCGAACTTCGTACCGCCATAAAAATAGGGGCAGGTGGTGGAAGAGAAAATTTAGGTTTTTATGTATTTTATAATACCACATTATAACATATTGTTAGTTGTATCAATATCCTGGGATAACTTTCCTCCTAACCCATATGAGAACACTGCGTTACAATACCCAATAGTCTGAATTTTGGCGCGAAGGTGCATTGTAGGTTTCAGAATACTACGTTACAGGTGGACAACCATTATCACTTAAAGATATGAAAAATAGATAGTAGCCGATTCTCAGACCCACGGAATATGCATATAAAATTTCATAAAAATCTGTAACTAACATTGTGACACGAGAATTTTATATATAAGATTTACTGAATATTAACTATCGTTTTTTGTCTTCCAGATGGAATACTGGGAAGGCATTCCCTCCATGATGTTTGGTGTGTTGGGGCTGATCTCAGGGCTGCTGGTGCTGACGCAGCCGGAGACACTCGGCACCAAGATGCCCGACACCCTCGCGGAGGCAGAGGCCCTGGGCAGACCTGGATCCCGGCAGCAGACCGGCTAATCTCAATAAAGTTTTTGATCTACACCCAAGCTTTAAGTTCTCTCTAAAAAATCTGAAACAGTTAGCTTTTGTCAACATTAATACAACCAATGTTCAAATAACCGTGTTATAATAATAACACTCCTACGCTTTTTCGATCTCTTCCGCGCAAAAGGATAACTTATTAGACAGCCATATTCTCACTGCTCGATGCGTGGTATCTGCAGTATATGCACAAAAGAATTGAAAAGTACTACTAAGTACTAGAATTGTACAGTCCTATCTGTTTAAATTCCAAAAAAGGACATTGCCATTCACGCAACGCTGAAATTTTTTATGAATTTTAAGTTCTTACAAGCTTGTAAGGGGGATTCATATCATGGGTGCAGATAAAATCTTGTATGCAACTGTTTATAATTAGTGTTGTGGATCGTTTTTCATGCGAAGTAATGTTCTCCTAAATAAAACGTAGGCACTTTTAGGCGCTATTTAGCAATCCTATGCCACAAAGAAAAAACAATTTAAGAGATATGTGTTTATTTCTTTTCGCGAAAATTTTACTAATCAATCAATCATTGTCAAAAATTAAAAATTTGTAAAATTAATGTATGTCATAAACTTGTAACTACAAAAAGGTTGGTATCGGCAACATACTGCCCGCCTTGCGCATACATACAGTAGAAATTTATAAAACGTACCTATTCGTTTTGTAACAATTTAAGTTAACACACATAACTAACACACTAAGAACACAAAAAATAAAGTAAATCACAAAAATTTTGAAGGGATTTTAACGAGACGACCAGACCTCGTAACCTTGGGTGGGGATGCACCAGGAGCTGTGGATGCGCTGGAATGGTTTAGAAGCTACTTTACGGGCAGGCGACAGTGTGTTAGGCTGAGTGAAATAATCAGTAATGAATTGCCGATCGAGTTTGGCGTTCCGCAGGGTAGTGTTTTGGGCCCAACCTTGTTCACTATTTTCATAAACGACATACTTGCTGTGTTACCTCCCGATGTCGAAGCAGTTTGTTATGCGGATGATACGGTTGCATTATTTCATGATGAAGATTGGGAGGGGGCTATCCGCAAGGCAGAGAAGGGGATGTCTGATCTTAAGAGCTGGTTAAATAGAAATTTCTTAAACGCATCCAAAACTAAATACATGTGTTTTCATAAGACCAAATCTTCTGCGCCTGCTTCTACTATTGAGCTCCGCTTGCATTCTGATTGCATATCTAAGAATTGCACGTGTCAGGCATTGACAGGGTTGCAAGTATTGGGTACTTAGGGGTGGTTTTGGATCACAATCTGTCATTTAAAAAGCATTTAGAAACCACTTCCTCTCGCATCAGAAAGTTAATCTATGTGATGAAGTTGCTCAGGAATTCTGCTGACACAACGACTCTTCGGTTAGTGTACACAAGCTTGGGAGAATCACTTCTCAGTTATTGCATTCCAGTGTGGGGCGGGACTTCTTTTACTGCGATGCTCGGGCTTGAAAGAGCCCAACGAGCTGTCCTTAAAACTATGTGTTGCAAACCTTACCGTTTCCCTACTGAAGCACTTTTTCTGAAACTCAAGTTTTGAGCGTGCACCAATTATACATTCTTAAGGTGGCTCTAAAAATGCATCGCGCTGTAATCGTCTCCCCTGATTACACTACCCTGATTCAGAAGAGAGTATTTAAGGTGCCCACAGTTGTTGTACGAACAACTTTCGCGCGTCGCCTGCCAAAATTTATGTTACCGTATATCTATAATAAGGTAACAAAACTGTGTAATATCAGAGAACTTAACACGAAACAGGCAAAGCGCACTATCACCTCATGGTTATTGTCCATGACTTACATGCAATCCGAAAACCTGCTTAAACGACTGGAATAGCATTACCCGAAGTCCTTGGCTCTCACCGTCCTACATGCATAGGTACAGACAAGCACACACACATACACACACACATACACACACTTTATTACTTTATGACGTAGTTAAAAAGTTAGTTTCTGTATTCTGTAATTTTACTTTTCAACTGTTGCAATATTTTATTTTTTACATTCATTGGGTGCCCACGATACAGGACCTCCTAGTGTGGGACCCATGGTTATAAGCTGATTGTATGATGTTTATTTTAATAAATATATTTGTATTTGTTTAGCATTCAAATGGTGAAAGAATTTTTAAAATCGGTCTAGCACTTTTTGAGCCAATTCGTTACAAACATACTTACATACAAACTTTTCCTCTTCATAATATTAGTATAGAAAAATGTTGTCATCGTTAAGAATCCATTGGACCGTTTTCATACATACTTTTACACATCCTCTCATATACATCAATTCACTCGCACATTACACACAGAGAGATCATTCACAATTTTCATTGAACCAGTTTACTCAAATAAAAATCAAATAGGTATTTCTTGTAATATCAGCATTGAACATGAACTTTACTAGCTTATAGGATACCATTAATTGTCATTGTCTTATGGGGTACATGTAATACAGAATGAAAATCCTAGTTCGGCAGCAGATGCTAAAGATTGCCTTTTATATTCTTAAGCTCATATAATGGTGGCTATCACTACATAGTTAAGCAAAGTCGCTTCCCGCTGTCTGTCCCTATGTCCTTATGTACGCTTAGATCGTTAAAACTACGTAACGGATTTTGATGCGGTTTTTTTAACAGAAAGAGTGATTCAAGAGGAAGGTTTATATGTATAATACATGCAGAACATAGTAGAGAAACACTTTTAATTTTAGAGGTTTTCAATGTAAGGTCGTAAATAAACACATTTTTTTGCGCTTACATTGCAAACGCTGGCTGAACCTTCGAGATAGATCGATCAATAATGTACTACAGTATTGTACACCTAAAAAAGGTCTACAAAAATGTCCGCGATGGTATATGTCTATCTTTTAACCCAAAAAACCATTTTTTATCCTATACTTTTTACGAGAAATAATAGATTATTTACGAAGCGATTTTCAGCAATATGACATTCACCCTTATCCAATTAAGTCTTTAAATACATTGTGCATTTAATATAGACCAATTTGACCCTTTAACGAATGTTATTTAAATAAATATTTTCGAAGATATTACAGCTTTAAAATGCAAGGATATAGCGGTTCCGACGCTACCGGGTGGGGGGCTTGGCGGCGCGTGCCTATTGTAATTAGGTAGGTATTAGAAGAATGTCATTGTGTATAATACAAGCCTGAGAACAAAAACTATAGTCTACACTACAGCTCTACACCGAAGCGAAGCGAGGGCAGGCCACTAGTAGTTTATAAGACGTAATGTTATTTATACAGGGTGTTTCTTCTAGGGTGTCAAGTAGTGCGAGCTGATAGCGGAGTATTATACGTATCAATTTAACCCCCATGTATGTATATCTACGATATTTCGTAGTTCACGCAGGTGTGGAATAAGCATCATTGTACAACTAGGTTACTAACATGCTCTTTCTTAAACAACCCAGAGTCCTTCAAAAGAGGCAAGATTTTTGTGCAGGCCGACAAGTTAAGAATGGCTGGCTTGTACAAACTATGCAGTATTTTATCTCTAATACTAGAATTAAAAATTCGCTATTCGTGAGTATTGTGAGGAAAACACAGCGTTACTTGAGCACACACTTGAGTTTATTCTTCGTTTTATAGTGGGGTTAAGTGGGAAGGCTCTTCGCACGAAGTTCCGATGAACTTTTTATAGTGAAACTTTAAATCACATCTTCCCAAATGTTGTCGTTCTTCCTTAGCATGTCGCAATACATTTTCGATTATTATAAAAAAAACAGATGTTAACAAGCATCGGTGGTTTAGTGGGTGATAGCTCACCTCGACGCGGGCGACCCGGGTACGATTCCCAAGAAGACTTTTTTTATTATTTAAAAAGTAGCACTTGCATCGTGGTTTCATAAAACCACATATTTAGAGTAATAACTGATAACTACTTATGAGAGTGGCTGAGTTAGGAGAATGGGTGGTTGAGTTAGGAGAATGAATGGCTGAGTTAGGAGAATGGATGGCTGAGTTAGGAGAATGGGTGGCTGAGTTAGGAGTGTAGTGTGTGTACTAGACATATGCACACACGCATCTCTCCCAATATATATAAAGCGTTGTATAGCTAATAAATGCTCTCTTTAATCGCAGTCAGTTGCTTTATTTAAACGCCCCGAACCGCCAACACTGCAGGAGAATGACTTAGGGCGCCGGTCTGTCTGGCTTCACTTCCTCTCACGCATACGGCAGCGGTAGGCGGGCTCCTCCTCCCCTACTGTGACCCACAGCGCCGCTTAGATAAGTTGAAGTTATCACTTCTGTCGTGCGTCCCGAGACGCACAAGCTTTTTTTTATTTATTTCCCTTTGATTGTTTATTCTCTAATAAACAAAGATGTTTCCATGCAAACTGACTTTTAATTTAGGAGAAACTTTCGGGCCTTCTCAAATACATTTTCACACGAAAGAAGAAATACTGCAGCGAGCTAAAATTTTCATAGAATAATACTTGAAGTACAATTAAGATATAATGAATCGAAAGTCGAATCTTGGTCAAAAGGTTGATCAAAATACTGAAATGGTTATGAAATTTGGCTTGTATAAGTGTGAATCTTTTGCAGCCTCTATCGTCACAAGACTGAGATATGGATCAGCTTTTTATTAATCTTTACCTACACAGGGATAATGTCAAAGTTTCTATTGAAGCAGCTCCTTCAATATAAACTTTGTCTATGTCGACACGAATATTTTCCTCGTTAGTTGAACCTAGGGGCACAGGACTCTATTAACGCATATAAACTGTTTGAGTTATTTTTTGAACCTTATAAAAAATACGGCGACTAAAAATCACGACGGGTTGTTTTCAAAAAAATGGTTGCCTGTAAAGTCGGTTTTACGGGCGAAGATTTTACGTGACAACGTCTTTTTCTCGGTAGAATATTTATTGATATGAATATAATTAAATTGCACAATAGGAACAAGGAATTGAATGAAAATAAGAATTGCACAAATTTTAACTATAGAAATATATTTTGTTTACTAAAACATTGTACATGTAAACTTAAACTTAACACGAGAGACTCATCGTAACGTTACCGAGCGTTACACTTTTTCATAAGTGACTCCCAGCCGCAACCTAATTTAAGACGTTGTCACGTCAAAAATATTCACAATTTTTGCTTTCTGAACCTTTAATATCGGCGTACAAAGTATGGAGAAAATTATCAGTAACATTATAGAATGGACGATTTTCTACTCAGCGGCCCCGCACTGGTGCCTCGATGCCAAGCCTTAACCATTAAGATCATTTATATACGCGTATACTTATACGTGTCGTCGCTATGAAGTCTGCGCCAGTAAGATAAGAAAAGAAAGACTTAAATATGAATTTAAATAAATATAACGTGCTGCATAATTATAATTCTTTATTTTTTGACGTGACAACGTCTTAAATTAGGTTGCGGCTGGGAGTCACTTATGAAAAAGTGTAACGCTCGGTAACGTTACGATGAGTCTCTCGTGTTAAGTTTAAGTTTACATGTACAATGTTTTAGTAAACAAAATATATTTCTATAGTTAAAATTTGTGCAATTCTTATTTTCATTCAATTCCTTGTTCCTATTGTGCAATTTAATTATATTCATATCAATAAATATTCTACCGAGAAAAAGACGTTGTCACGTAAAATCTTCGCCCGTAAAACCGACTTTACAGGCAACCATTTTTTTTACTTAATATATATTTTTATAATTTTTATTGTCATTTCTAATTGACATGCTTACTTAATTACGTTTTTTATATTTAATGAAAAGTTTAAAGTTAGTTAAAGTAAAACTAATAAAATCCTGATATGAGGGATCCCAAAATTAGTAGTGAGCAATATAGAAATATCCTTTAAACACAACAAAAATAATCACACAGAGAGCATCACATAGTAAGCTTTAAAATATAACTACATTCATAGGACGTTGATAAATAAAAAATGGTTGCCTGTAAAGTCGGTTTTACGGGCGAAGATTTTACGTGACAACGTCTTTTTCTCGGTAGAATATTTATTGATATGAATATAATTAAATTGCACAATAGGAACAAGGAATTGAATGAAAATAAGAATTGCACAAATTTTAACTATAGAAATATATTTTGTTTACTAAAACATTGTACATGTAAACTTAAACTCATCGTAACGTTACCGAGCGTTACACTTTTTCATAAGTGACTCCCAGCCGCAACCTAATTTAAGACGTTGTCACGTCAAAAATACGTGTGGCACTCGGGGACTGCCGCGGTAAAGCTATTGCATAGCATTATTTATCAACTTATGCAATTATAATTATTTCTGTATTTTATTTATGCAGTTTTTTTTTCTTTGATATCAATTTAAGTTTTTTCGTTGATATTAATAGATGGCGAGGCAGGCCTTACGATATTTTTTGGGCAAGCACAGCAAACAACAGCATTGCCCGGCGCCAAAAAACTTCCACAAGCTCCACAGTTTACCATCTTTAGTCCAAAAATTTTAATTATAATTTTAAAGTCTAAATAAAAGGGAGACAAATAAAAATAAGAATAGGTAGTGCAGTCATTGAAGCGAAAAATGAAATTTTGGAATTAGGCTCATCTTACCCTTAACTTCAAAAGTGAAAATGATCTGAATTCTTTTAAGGGGTGTATTACCCCTTAATGGAAAAATTGACATTGAGCCATTTTATCGCTAGAAAAGGTGCTGGGGTCTAAAACAAATATAAAAAAAGGAAAAAAATAATAATAAAAAATACGAGTGCGGGATTTGAACCGACGACCGCGGTGATGCGTCGAACGTTGGTCCCGCGGCAAAAATTTAACACACTGCGCCGTTTCGATCGATACTGGAAAGGCGAAAATTATGTTCATACGCACTGTTGTCAGGTTATTCTCCTTATGGAATTTTTTGATTCGGTCGCCGCGCTCAATGCCCGCGATAAAATCTATGCAATAGCTTAAAAAAATATTGTAGATAATTCAGGAATCTGTTGTCCATAGTTAACCTAAAAAATTTTATTACTACACTTTAAATAAAAGACCGAAAGAATAGAACCGCCGTACTCCCGTTTCAACCTGCAACCGCTTTGTACCATACCGTCGGCTTAAGAGGGGAGGCGGGTAATGTGTTTTCCATACAAACTTTCTCGACTGATCCCTCCTTGATTTTTATCACCAAAGAATTGATTTTCATACATAACAAATAATTTGACTCATTCTATTCTCCTATTTCTTGCTTTTTTCGATAAATTGGGTTAAAATGAAACTAGAAGCTCCCAAAACAGGCCAAAATAAACAAATTTTTGTTTGTGTTTGTATAAGTGTGGAGATTTAACAAGCATTAACAAAAGAGCAAAACATAGAGGCATAGTATAACTACTTATTATTCTTATGTTTTTATTTATTTTTAAGCATTGAGCTACTAGATGCTTAAATCTAAAGGAAAGTTTACTATAAAAAAAAAACTACGCCGACCAGGCAGCGGACGGGACTCGAACCCGCACCCTTCGCAATCCGGGCGAATGCACTGATTTTTCCTAGCCTTAAGCTGCAAGACAGCGCCATCTCTTCGCATTACAGGCAACCCACAATGTCAAATGAATACTTTTTCAAATATTAAACTTTTGAAAGAAGAAATAGCAATATAGTGATGTTTTTATTTATTTTTAAGCATTTAACTGCTAGATGTTTAAATCTAATGAAAAGTTTAAAAGAAAACAATGCGAAGAGATGGCGCTGCCTTGCAGCTTAATGCTAGGAAAAATTTCGACGCGGCCAATAGGGCCGTGGTAGCATAATGGTCAGTGCATTCGCCCGGATTGCGAAGGGTGCGGGTTCGAGGCCCGTCCGCTGCCTGGTCCGCGTGGATTTTTTTTCTAGTAAACTTTACATATTATTCTTTTTGAAAAAATTATTTTACATTTATCTAATTTTCGAGGAGCTAATCGTCGAGAGCCAAACCTCGAATTTTACAATTTTTATACGCATATTTCAGCGTCAACTACTGTTGTGCCAACACACGGTATTTGTCAACGCGTGACAGCAACAGTTATTTAAAATACTATTACTATAATATTTCTTAAATGTCTATCAGCTCGCGTCCGCTCTTAAAGAGCTTTGGCATTTGGCACTGTGGCACATTGTCAGACGGATGAAAACGATGTTGGGTTGAGATCAGCTAGCTGGCCTGCCGCCTTGACTCCGGCGAGCCCAGGGCCTCTGCCTCCGCTAGGGTGTCGGGCATCTTGGTGCCCAGCGTCTCCGGTTGCGTCAGCACCAGCACCCCGGAGATCAGACCCATCACGCCGAACATTAGCGAGGGAATACCCGGCCAGTAGTCCATCTGAAATCATGAGAAACAAGCAATAAGACACTCTAGTACACCACTATCGAATATTGAGTACTGTTTGTAATTGAGGATTGCTATTGTTTTCTTCGACAGTACTCATCAGATCTTTAATTCTTCACCAAAATTTGACCACCAAATTGGACCATTTCACCAAAAGAGCTCGAAAGCGACAGTGGTTAGTCCGGGGTGTACCTATTTTGGACTTCTCTTCCACAATTTTTATAGCCTTAAGTTTGTACTTTTGTTAAGTTTTGGGAGAAAATAAATAAATTACTATAACTTTCGCAGTGGGCAGTAATTGCATGGGTGACTAAAAATTTACTATCTTGAGATCCTTCGTGCTTCGGAAGGCACGTTGAGCTATTGGTGCCGGCTGCACCTGTAGTCGTTAGCACCCACCAATCCGCACTGGGCCCCCGTGGTGGTTCATGGCCCAATCTCCATATTCCATCCGCAGGGAAGGCGTGTACCCTATCAGTGGGGACATTAATTGGCTGATGATGATACCATTTGGCTCAAAAGATGTACCGTTATTTTTTTAATCATGGTGTTATTCCTCTTCTATTAAGCTCATTAATAAATAAGTTAGTTCATATGCTATGGAGCTGACATCGCTATCTTCGTCACTGTCTCTCTTCATCAACATCAACAGCCTATCATAGTCCACTGCTGGACATAGGCCTCTCCAAATGCACGCCACTCAGATCGATCTTGGGCTACTGGCATCCAGCTCCTGCCAGCCACCTTGCGCAAATCGTCACTCCATCGTGCCTGAGGACGTCCTACACTACGTTTGCCTAGACGCGGTCTCCACTCCAGAACTCGTCTACCCCAACGGTTATCGGTTCTTCGGCAAATATGGCCAGCCCACTGCCACTTCAACTGTCTCTCTTACTGGTTTTTTTTTCATAATATTTTTATTCAATTATTTACAATATGTCTCTTTAGCTAGGTTATTCTTATTCAAATTTCAACGTGTTTAACAATATACTGTCCGTGCTCGAGCACGTGGCTGGCTGTATCGGCTGCTATTTGATACAGCCAGGGGCACGGGCAGAAGTCTGAAAGAGGAAGCATAGAAGGATAGTAAAGATAAAAGTAGGTATACAAGAAAATAGGGAGGTAAAAAACAAAGTAAAGAAAAGTTGATTCACATTAGTCCCGTTAAATACTACTCGTTTGCTTCGAGTTGGCCGTCGTTAGCCAATCACAGGCAGAACAACTGGTACCATCGTCCAATAAGGTCGACTAATAGGGACTGTCTAAAGCGCGGTGTTCTGAAGCTGGGAGGGTGGAAGCAGCCAATGAGGGCTATCGTGTATGAATCAGCCGCTAGAAGCGCTAGTGTAGCGTGAGGTCTCCGAAATGTCAAATGTTATTGCTTGTTGGTTGACTACGCGGGTTTATTTCTAATTAAAATAATGTTGTGAATAATTGGTAACAATTCGGCTTAATTATGGCAAATATGAGTTATGTGGCAATGAATGTCAGTTATTAAAAATTTGAGCTTAGAAAAATGATTATGTTCCCATTTTTTCCGAATAAAACGGAACTGCGCGTCACTGTGGCATGGCCTATTATGTTTAGGATATGGTTCTTTTGTGTTAATGTAATCTTTGATTTCATGTGCGTATTAATAAACTTTAAAAGTTACAATTTAGGACCTCACTCAACAGTGGCGCCATCTGGTGAGGCAGAAAACGGTAACCCTCATTCGAAGCGAATACGTAGTGCTTTGGTTATTAATTCTCTTACTGCTTAATGTGAGAGAGCGTTAGCTGTGTCCACATTTCCGTCGGCTCACTAAAGTATCGTAATCGTCAAATGTTGTATGAAAAAAGCTGGTTTGTTCTTACGTCCGCTAGGGGCGCTGTTTAGTTTTCATAGAAACTTTGACGATGGGATACGTTACGGGGCTCTTCAAACTCGCGCTTGGACCTCAGATAAATTTTGCCATGGTCGATGGTTCGTATAGAAAAATAGTATTTATTTGGTACAGCGGGACAAAAGATGAGGCCATCATAGTACTAGTACTTTGGCGTTGGTAGATATTTCGATAGATCCACGTGGATCCTATTAATGCGTAAAAAAGGCGATTCGAACTGGAAATTGTTTCCTTCAGCGTGACCTTTACGTAATATCACTTAATTAAAGCGAAATAATCGAAGCTTTAATAAATAATCTACGCATTGTCACTAAATTGTTCAATCATATATACTTAAATTAAGTAGGTATAAATAAATAATTTAAGTATTTAAAATTTTTGACAGTTATTGACAATATTAAATTGTTTAATCAAAATTTATATACTTAAGTTACGTAGGTATAAATAAATAATTCAAGTATATAAATTTTTGGACAATTAGTGACAATATTAAATTGTTTAATCAAAATTTATATACTAAATCATGTAGGTAATGCGTTTTCTTTTATTTGATAAAATTTATGATAGACTTTTCCTGTATCAGAAGCTTTCACTGAAAAAAAACAATATCAGAAGGAACCTAAATTCTCAAATTTTTAATATTGCGCAGGCACCGAATGAAATGATATTGCAAAATTAATTGCCTTATCTTTTGATGACGTAAAAATATTGCACGCGATTTTATGGCCTATTTCTAAAACATGTATAAATTATTATTTTATGACGAGAAGGTGCTGATCTCAGCATAGGAGACACTTCCACAATTCAACATACTTAATGAAATATTTCAGGTAAATAGCGATGGTGACCAATTATTTCTTCGTCTCTCAGGTAAGTAATCAAAAAGTATTGGACACGTCTTTTTTTCTTTTTCACAATCAAAAGATGACATATAACGATACCTATATTAATTTCAAATGTCGCACGACGTCACGCCTTGGTACAATATTCACTTAGAAGTGACGCTACGAACCCCACTCCTAAATCTTTGTAATTTTTTGGTTGATTGACAAAAGAAAAAGTAAGTGTCCATTATATTTTAATAATCAAACTAACGGACTAAATGGAATTTCGTTTACTTTAGCCCGTCGTCACCCCTTTTCTTGGTAGCCGAGTTGAGAGAGCGTAAGCTTATGGGTCTGATAGTTGAAAATAAATGAAATTTTTCTCATATTTTTGATATATGAAAATACGTGGCAGATAAGGGATAATTACAGGAAAACAATACAATAAGGTGTCCTTACCAAGACAGGCGTGAGTGGCGCAGTGATGGACCCTATCCTGCCGATCATGGACGAGAAGGCGAGCAGACTGTGTCTGTACTGCGTGGGGTACAGCTCAGAGGTGAACAGGTAGAGTGACGTGAACACCACCGATATGCCAAACTTGCCCAGCAGGAAGACTATCAGCCTCAGCACCGTCAGCTCTGGAAAGAAAACATCGAAAACCCTTTATTTACATAGTCAAAACAAAACACAACTAGGATCAAAGAACAATGTCAGATTCTGGCTTACAAAACTTTTAATTATAAAATGGCATGGACACATGTCTTTTACATACAACAAGAAAAATAAAAAAATCGAATGTTTAAAATTACATTTATCTTTCTTCGAGAACTTCTCCAATAGAATTTATTTATTAATAAAACTAAATAGCTGACCGGAAATCTAACAAAAATAAATTGAGTTGCCATTTTGTTTCTCTCTGATTTATTGCAATAAAAAGAAAGAGACAAGGAGTTCCGAGAAACGCACTGGTATTGATAACTGATGTGGTAACTAAAAAGAACAGCAATAGTGAATTTGAATCAGTAGTTTTTTGCATTCATTAAAATGATTTGAATAATCATCGAAATGTATTATTAATTGTAATTACCAACCCAGACGACCGTACTTTGGGTCTACCACAATGCTCATATAAAATAGCATTAGTCTACCAACTAGTAAAGGTACCTCAAACACAGACCCGAGACAATGTAAAACAGTTATTTTTCTGGATAAATGAGACAGAGTAGCGAACCTGAGAACCCAGATATGGCGACACCATGAGAATCGGTGTGGAAGTCATACCGCCACGGTGATAGTCAAATTGAAGTAACCTCAAAATTCCATATTTGTGTTATCGAAGTATTTTTGGAGTTTACTCCTTAAGAATTGATTTGCATATATAAGAGGCCCGGTATGAGAAAAATGTGAGGAGTAAAAAGTCTCGATCAATGACATTAATGACCTCGTTACGTTTTTGTGCGCAACCTCATCTGCGCACCTTTCACTTTTAGCCATGGCAACGGATAAAAAACATTAAGTAGTCACAAATGTCAATAAAATAAATAAACTAAATATAGATAAAATCGGAGCAAAATTAATGAAAACAATTAAATAACAGAATATAGAGAAATGCCGGTAAGTGTACAGCACTCTGGAATAGTGATTTTGAGTACAGATGGAATTATAATACATATTTACAAAATGATGACTAGTGTATGATATTTTTGAAATTGTGTGTTTCCAGAAATACATAATAAAATAATTGATGAATATCGCTGATGTTAGATGATAAAATGTGTGATATGGAACCTATGATAGTCGAAACCATGGGACGATTCCTGGGGTATCTCTACTTGTAACCGACTTCTTCGGACTTGATTTTGTTTTGTATCTGTTCAAAGACAATCGTTTTTAGATTGTAAACTCCGGTCGTGCGTCGGAGCTGACACACACATTTTTTTTTCTGCATAGTTATTTAGAATTTTTAATGTTATGGAAATGTTTTAGTTATTAACAACACACAATAAAACTATTTTCATTGCTGTCCGTGAATATTTCATAAAAAGTTACTATGGACACTTGGCATTGTTCTTTAGTGTCGCTATCTAATGTTGTCGATGTTCTGGAACTGTGGTTTGAGAAATCTAAAGCTGACTAGTTTCAAGAGAGGCTTAAAAAAGTGTTCCACGAGAGGCAGCGGCATGGCTGTAGCACTGGCATTGCTTATGTCCATGGGCCACGGTGATCACTTAACATCAGTTAGCCCCTCCGGCTCGCCTGCCTTTGCAGGTAATAAAAAAAATTGATATACCGAATGAGTAGATACCCTCCATCTCAGAAATCACTAAAGCGCTACCTTACATACACGGTAAACTAATGCCGAGATAAAAAAAAAAGCTTGCTGTTATAAATAAATATCAGGTATGAGAGTTACTATGGCGTAGATCCTCGTGATGAGAGATGAAAATCATTGTGTATAATGAATTTGATGGGCTTTTTCTATTACCTACAAACAACATGAAATATTTTCGAATGATTCAAAAAATAATAAGTGCGTCTTGTTACAAATACAATAAAGCAAAAATTTTTTGATAACACGCAGACTTAAATAAATGTTGTCGATATTAAATTCTTGTTAGGGATTTGCGATAACAATGTCGATTGGTAATCTTCTAGTAAATAATTAGGTGCTGTGAATGATAAAAAAGAAAATATTAATGAAAAAGTTATTGAAATCGTTATAAGACTGATTAGCCCTGCACCTATCTCAATAGGTGCAGGGCTGAACTAGGATTTGTTTTGTTCGTATGGCAAGGCAACCTCCACGTTTCAAATACCGCAGACCCATACATTAAATAGCATACTCTCTTATAAAAGAGCTTTGCAGATCACACTAGAATAAATTCGGCTGTAATGGTTCCACAAGCGTTCGTAATGAAGAGTCTGATCAAGTCTGATTGAGCAGAGCACCTAATCAAAAAAAACATTTTAATTCCTAAAGAGTCCTTGAAGGTATAACTAAGTACAAAGGACGTATTGAAATGTTTCAATGTATCAATATGTTAATGAACGAATCTATAAATTCATCTTGACACTAACAATAATAAACACTATACGCCTGTAATTTAATGACTTTTTTATCTTCTTATCCTTTTGATCTGTCCGTACCATAAATTAAATATCAAAGATAAGGAGATAACGAACATGTATTCGTTTTTTTACTATTTATTAGTTATGCTTACATTATTATTATTAGGAAGAATTTAGGGCACTTAGTGCAATTAAATATATATGTTGGTACCTATTACTTAATCGCGCAAAAACGGGAGAAACAAAATAACCCACAGATATTACCTGAATTGATGAGAATATATAAAAAACTCACTACAGGATTTACCAATCTAACTAATCCATTGGTAAATAGGCTCGAGTTTTATCAACATTTTGAATTCCCTAGGGAAATTCTGAGACAAGAAAATTGTAAACTCACTGACGATATTACTTAAAGCCGAAATATATTAAAAAGACAATCTCATCTACTTCTCCCAACTTACCACTAGGAATGAAAGCAAACGCGATGTTGCAGGCAGCACTTAAGAAGAATCCACCGGACAAAGTGGGTTTTCTTCCGATCCTGTCGAGGATGAGGACGGCGGTGTAGAAGCCGGGGATCTCGATGACACACGTCAGGATATAGTTCAGGTACATGGTGTCTGACAGGCTGGTGGAGTTGATGGAGAGTCCGTAGTAGACAAAGGTGGTTGTGATCCACCAGATTGGTGTGGTGGCGACTCGTCGTAAGAGGACGCGTGATTTCACTATGGTGGCCAACATACCTCGCTCATCCTGAATGTGACATTCATTTAGTTAATATTAAGACCTGCCCCTCTAGCATGACCACCGAAACGGGATATGATAAAGCGATATATCGACATTAACTGTCATACTACTGTCAAACTCCATAGCAGTCTGACAGTTAATGCCGATAGGTATATCGCTTTATCATATCCCGTTTCGGTGGTCATGCCCCCTCTAAGCTGAGTTATTTTTAGGCTTACAGGATTAGCTTTTCAATTTAAATTAAGAATTTTGGCGAAAGTGGGCTTTAAATTAAGCCTACTTCCAAGCAAATTTGCTAAATCGTAATTCAACTAAAACTGGATCGAAAAATGTCAAAACGTCAATGTTAACTTGATATTATTGTATGGGCTATATCTAGTTTTAGTTGAATCGAGGTTTAGCGAATTTGCTACAAGTGGGTCTTAGCTTACATAAAATGTTATTAGAATCAAATTTCTGATTCAAAGAAACTCATGTCACCATGGTCGAGTACTATGAAGCTTCTTTTGTGATATGGTTCAATTTAGAACGTAATTAATTCAGTGCAGATTACGAAACATGCTTCTCACATACATTTTTAATTATTGTCTATTCAATAAAAATACACATTTATATCATTATACGTACCGTTTTCTCGTCCACGACTGGTGGGGGCGGTGGGTCCATCAAGGCGTTCATCGATTTTTCACTTATTTGTCTCCTGTTTACTCTGGCAACCTTCTCGAGGACAGCTCTCGCGTCGTCGTATCGTCCCTTGGACAGCAGCCACCTTACGCTCTCCGAGAGCAGCCAGTAGTAGGTAATGATGAGGAAGCAGGGTATGTGGATTCCCATGATCATGTACCTCCAAGGCTGAACAAGCCATGCCACACTACCGAGCACCACTTGCCCGATCGCAAACATGGATGAACAAGTCGCGCTTGTTAGTACGCGGAATTTGGGACCCACCAACTCAGTTGCTAGAATGGAAAATGAATCCAATAACTAAGATGGAAAATTGGAAAAAATGTAGAAACCTGAATTTCAAATTTCAATTTGCAAATACTTTTTATTCACAAGATAGTCTATTATAATAATATATCATAAGAATTATCATTTAGATGCAAGAATTTCTAATTTAAATATTATACTTTTTCATAAATGCTTTGGGTTTTGTGAATTAGTAGAATTCTTGAACGAGTGTACTCCACATGAAATATTTTATTAACAAGAACAATATATTGATATGAATTTCTGTTGCAATATCAAGGTTATTAGTATGAAGTTTCACTGAGTAAAATTTTAAAGTTTGCAGTAGCATAATTATATTGGTCAGGGCATCGACCCGGATAGTAGACGGTACGGGATCAAGTCCTGTCTGCTGCCTGGACCGCTTGGAGTTTTTTCTAGTAAAATTTTCTTTATATTTAATAACTGTTTCAAAACTGCTTACCGAAGATGTAGGCAGAACTGAAGGTTCCAGCGCCGAGCGTGGTCTGCAATAATTGCAACGCGAGGTACATGGGGTAGTTGACGGAAAAGGCACGGATGAGACCGAAGAGAGCAAGGTTGAAGACGCTGATGACGAGGGCGACACGCCGCCCGAACCGATCGGACACGTAGCCTGTAATCGGCAACACCAGTAGAGTACCCACGCTGCTCAATGTGCCAGCCAATGCACGCATCCACTCTTGACATCCCAGATCAAACTGGAAACAAACAGATCGCTTTGTTGAAAAGATATAGGAGGTGAGTCAGGCACATGAATATTTAAATGCATCTAAATGTCAAAGTGAAGAAGTGATATCTAGACGAATTATATCTTTCTCATAGAGTAAGTATCGTACATTGAAAAGTCTACAAACCCGAAGCAATATATGGAGAATATAACATGAAATAGTTACAAGAAATCACACAAAAACAGTGTTTTGACTAATTTTTCACACAGTAAGTGTTATGAACAACTTTGGGCTATACTGACTAACCTCGTAGACTACAGAATTTTCTCGTGCGTACACAAAGCCTTCGCATCGTACTACTTCGTTTTGGTTGAAGAGCTGAAGGGGGCAAGTGTCCAGGGAACCCGTTCCTCCGGTTGGGGCGAATCGCTCGCAGCTCGAGAAACCGTTGGTGGCGGGTGGGATCGCGTAACTGATCCAATCCTGATTGAATGTCACACCACGTGGCTCCTCCCCGCATTCCGCTATCGCACATCTGGACTCAAAATGAAGTATCATTGAGGTTTTGTATAATAATAATAAAAACTTTTATTTGGCACAAATTACAAGAGATTTTGTACCAAACAGGCCACTGCTCAGTATATGTCGTGACAACATGTACCAATGTGTATCAAATTCTTAAACTTAAACGCTAATATCATGTTAAACCTCATTCTATCTCTATTTGACTTTAATTAGATGACAATGATGAAATGGTATGTTAAAGAGGATGAGGCCATAATTAGAAAACAAAACTGAATGTCGATGCAAGTGACTCTAAATGCAAACAATCTAGTTAAAGTTATTCTTGATGTGGCACTTTAGAGATCTACTGTTGTTTCCTGGGAAGTAATTAAATAGGACGATCTCAATACAATCGCTTCTAAACCATAGGAATGAAAATGTAATGTTCTCAACAAGGTCTTTGACTAAGAACATTAAATTAGTTATTTGCTTTTAGAAAACATCTGCTTTTGATTTTTTCAAGTTAAAGAGCGATGGCGTTAGAAGTGAGCGGAATCTTCGCAACTGGATTCCATTATAAATATACATAAATGAGCCATCGACTTTCTCTTACTGGGTCTTTGACTAACTTGAAGATTCGATCCAAAAGCAAAAAGTGCCTATAGGGCCTCATTTACATAGCCTATTCGACACTAACAAATTCTATTCAATACGCCTACAGACCTCTTTTTTGAATTCGTCTGGTACCGTACTAAACCTCCACGATTTGACCCTACTGCAACTGTACCCACTGGACCTTATTTGTGCCCCATTCGACCTCCGTAAAAGATAATATTGAAAGTGCAATTTGGACCTTTTTTATGAGAACCATTGGACCTCAATAACAGTTTTAAAGAAAAGCTAAAAATTTCAGACTAAAATGTAATTACTTCGTGGAACTCTGGAACCCCACTCACCCTAAGGTTCCAGGGTTACTGGTGAGTAAGGTTCCAGGGTTCCACGAACTAGAAGATTGGGTCAGAGTAGGCAACGGCGCGAGTAATATCTTTGGTATCGCAATCGCATATATGCATGTTTACAAACTTTTAAGATAAAAACAATAATTATGCTAGCAAGACTAATGGATTTTTTTATTGTATCGATCACATTTTATATTGTGTTTAATTACCTGTGTGGAACAGCAGCAGCAGAGAAGATGTACTCGCTCATGAAAGCAGACATAATGATAGGCACCGATACTAAAAGCAAATTAGTCATCTGAAACTTCCCGAACTGGCCGAGCTCGTTCACCAACACATCGTCCAAGTCCAGGGGCTTCTCCCGAGGCCTACTGGCAGCCACACTACTTTTCCTGCTTTCAGACATCTTGATGTCTTTGGGCACAACTCTCTCTGAGTTTTTTAGCGATCACGAAATTATACGGCGTCTGTTTTCGCCTTTTGGATTGTTTCCTGTAGTTTTCTTTTCTTCTCCTTCGCTAATACCCAAAGACACCAGAGCAACGGGTTGCCGCCTAAGCAAGTTTCACCCAAATAATGTTTCACGCTTGAATTAAACGCAAAAGTTTTTATAATCGACCGACTACTTTATCTATAAAGTTCATGGTGAAGATTATAGTAATAATGATAAGTTATAATTTTATTAGTTTCCAAGATAAAATAGATCAGATTCTTTGTGTATGTATATAAAATGGTGCTACCTTGCAGCTTAAGAAATACTGGGAGAAATTCGACACGGCCATTAAGGTCGCGGTAGCAGGTTCGAGTCCCACCTGCTGCCAAATTTTCTGGATTTTTTCTTGTAAATTTCCTTAAGTATGAGTATGTATTGTATTTTAATAAAAGTACAATCACTATTTGTAAGAAATTATAATAAAATCATTCAAATCAAAACACTTTTGCAAATAAACTAGAACCTTTGTATAATTACAAGTTAAATAAAACTAGTTTTTACGGGTTAATGCACGAAACTTTATTTATTTATTGACGTTTTGTAGCCTTTACAGGTTACGTCGTCAGAATCAAACTTTTATTTAATTTGTCGAGCTACCTTCGAAAGAATTTTATTGAGCGTTCAGTTATTTCATTGTTCGATTTTTTTATCTTTATAGTGGAGCGCCTGGGGGTTTATACCTCGGATTTATGCAATAATGAATGAAATTAAACAATTCTAAATGGAATGCTCATTAAAAAAAAGTTTACCTATTAAAACATGTGATCTTGTTTTTTGAAGTTATACTTCTTAAGGCGCGTTATGAAAAAATGATGAGAGTGAAATTTTAAGATGCGCTCGCATCACTGTAACCCAAAATTTTATTTATACGTTACTTTTGTGTTTACCGCACATTAAGAAAATCTACCAACAAAATAGAAATAGAATCTGTATTTAGTGGGTGCTAACGACTGCATTGTGAAGGCCTATCAAAAGTATTTATTAATCTGGAACAACGGAACCAAAACGCGATTCAGGAGACTACAGCGCCATCTCTTGACCATTGGTGTAGTAGAACCAAAAACCACATCTTTATTTTTTGTAATAAAGTAACAGTTATAGGTATTCATATTTATAATATTTATCCACATGTTTCTAGTTTGTATATTCGGAATACGTGTTTGAGTTTCATACAAGTGCAAATCACATATTATTATGTTCTAATAAATTATATTCAGTAGCGATTTTAATTGAATATTTTGATTCTTTATTTATTTTTTCAAATTAAAACTGAACTTTATTGACTGTGTCCTTTTCCAGACTTTTTATTAATTTATTGTAATTAATTATTTGCATGCAATTAAAAACTAATTTTAAACGATGCCAAAGAAGGATAACTTCTCACGCGCCTACATAAGTACACGCACCCATTTTTTTTAATGAGTGTGCCTTGCGGAAGTGTCATATGATTTGTACCTACTTAGTGTATAATTTTCGTTACTTTAATTTCACTAGCCACTTTAATTATATATAACTCCTCTTCTTTTTAGAGTTCCGAAGAAGTCTGTCTGTCTGTCACCAGGCTGTTCATTTAAAGCTGTAAATAAATTGCGTAATATCCTACAATAAAGTCAACCAATGCCGTTTAATTTACATTCCCAACTAGCAACATTGCAATCAAATAATGTTGGAGGGCAGAACTTACTACCTACTATTTAAGAGTAAAAATTGTACGAAAATATTTTGTATATTTCTGTCAGACGTTTCATTATCGACGGTTTATTGTAAAAGTATATTCCTATTTCTCCGCTTGGTAAGTAATTTGGTTAAAAACCTTCACTTAATTATTACATGATCAATTCAATCATAGATAAATTAATAAGTAAAGGTCAATTCAAGTAAAAAAATGGATAAATCGCAACCAATTTATTATTTGATTGCGATAATGCTAGTTGGGAATGTAAATTAAACAGCCTTGGTTGACTTTATTGTAGGATATTTCGTAATTTATTTACAGCTTTAAATAAATAGCCTGGTGACAGACAGACGGACATTAGTGGAGTCTTCTTCTTCGGAACCCTAAAAAGAAGAGGAGTTTCATATTAAAAGCGGCTAGTGGAATTTAAGTAACGAAAATTACTTTTTTTATATGTATTATTAGCTGAAGATTCCATTTGTTTTTTTTTTAATTTCAGTCATCATCATCATCATCAGCCTATTAATGTCCCCACTGCTGGGGCACAGGCCTTCCCTATGGATGGAATAGGGAGATTGGGCCATGACCCACCACGCGGGCCCAGTGCGGATTGGTGGGTGCTAACGACTGCAGATGCAGCCGGGACCAACGGCTTAACGTGCCTTCCGAAGCACGGAGGAGCTCGCGATAGTAAATTTTTTTTGGTCACCCATCCAATGACCGACCACTGCGAAAGTTGCTTAACTTCAACGATCGCAGCCGAACGCGCTAACCACTTGCGCCATCGAGCTCCTCAGTCACTGTAACTAAAATCTGAGGTTTTCATGTATTTAACGCCCCGGGCGCTGCACTATTATGAATATTGTATTATCCATACTATATATACTTTATACTTATATACTTATTACTTATAATATTATAAATGGGAAAGTGTGTTTGTTTGTTTGTCTTCTTTTCACGCCTAAACCGCTGAACCGATTGTGATGAAATTTGGTATATGTACAGCTTGAACTTATGAGATTGCTATAGGCTACTTTTTTTTAATTTATGTATTCGAATTTACATAATTTTCAACTAAATTAATCATTTTCATGGTTGGTCCCGATAGAGATGGCGCTACTGTCACGAAGACAGAATAAATTTGAAATGTGGAAGTTGCTATTTTAATACGAGATGGCACCACTCGTGTTCAATACCGAGTATTTTGTGTTAGTGTTTCATTTATTAAATCGAGGTAATTTTACGCAATTTCGTTCTAATCTCCATTTTAAAATTAATCATGTAATCAGCTTTTTTGAGGTCATTCGAAACACCTGAACAAGCACAGGCGCGCAGAGATTTAAATGTACGGCTTCAAGCAGAAAGAAATAAGCTACTTTTTTACTCACTATGTCAAAAGAGGATGATAGCCTCAAATAGGAAAACCAGGCGAGCGTAGCCGCGGGTAACAGCTAGTGTTATAATAATACATTAAGTTGTTATTTCCATTAAAAAATATTTTCCAAAAAACAAGTAGACAATAAGCGGCTAACAAACTAATGGACAACGACCATTCTTGTATTGTAATGTGAACGATTGTGTTATTGGAAATTCCTTAGAAAAAAGATTATTTAGTGACATAGGTGAACTGATTGTAATGTAAAACCTTGCACTGAAAAACAAATTTAAAAAAAAAAACAAAAAATTTTATTTTTTTTAATTTCCGATACAGAAAATAAAGACTCCTGCTCAATTATATTGTGGTAAAGACAGGCAAATACAGAACTCTACACTGCGTGTGGCACGACTCGCACTTGGCCGGTTTTTACAAAATTTTAAAGTCCACGCGAGCATACTCGCGGGCAAAGCCTAGTATTTTCATAAAGAGAAACAAATATTTTATCAGTTTATTCAACTTACCTAAGCGTAAGCTATTATCTTTTCAATGTTTTCAATATAGAATAGTTTAGGCATTGATAATATAATACTATTTACCTTGCAAATGCTACTGACGCTTTATATCCTATGAAATGTTCTATTATACTATAATTATTAAGATACTAGCAAACCAGTGAACCAAATGTTCACCAAAACCTGATTCAAAAAAATTAATAAAATGTATTTAATTAATTGAGAACTTCGGAGATTTTGTGTGGTTTCATTTGAAATTCGTGATTTCTCGAAAATCGGAAGTGCTACGTTACTCAAATCCGGTTTGTAGCCTTATGAGACTATTCTTAACTTATAACTTAAATATTCTCTTTATCTATCTCTTACGGTTTGGCCGCTGAAACAGCACCACAGACGGACGGACGGACTTGTCTAATAGATAAGATATATTATAATAGCAACTACTTGACCTCACGGAATCGTCAGCGTTCTAAACGTAAAACAGCGTAGCGCGCGTAGTGCAGATTATAACTCTACATATACAGAACGTCCCACGGGTTTGTCACACGGAAGAAAAAGTATATTAAATATTCAAGATAGAATATTTTACTGAAAGAAGACATTTTTTTTTTTGAATATGTAAAAATATCGCCTGCCAAAACCGGGAATCAAACCTGTGAAATGTGAAACAAAAAAACACATGTAGGTATTTTATGATAACCGTCAAAGGGGTAATGATGAATCATAAGGATTATTTTTTTCTAAATAACATAGCATTTTAAATGAAAGAAAAGTTAATCAATCAATCAATCAAAATCGTTTATTCAGCACAGTACACGGATACAGATAAATTGTTATACTTATAACTTAGAAAATGACTGAAACCACTCCGTGGCTGCTGCGCTGAAAAGTGCCCAGTTCAGCATAATGTCAGTGCAATATGCACTGGCGCTGGTTTTCAACTGGATCCTTTATCTGACAAGTGGATGTCAAACACTAACGATTTTAAAGTCACGAAATTTGACTTTTTTTAATAATGAGGGCTACCGTTTTCTGCCTCACCAGATGGCGCCACTGTTGAGTGAGGTCCTAAATTGTAACTTTTAAAGTTTATTAATACGCACATGAAATCAAAGGTTACATTTAGATCGTATTTTAACACAAAAGAACCATATCCTAAACATAATAGGCCATGCCACAGTGACGCGCAGTTCCGTTTTATTCGGAAAAAATGGGAACATAATCATTTTTCTAAGCTCAAATTTTTAATAACTGATATTCATTGCCACGTAACTCATATTTGCCATAATTAAGCCGAATTGTTACCAATTATTCACAATATTATTTTAATTAGAAATAAACCCGCGTAGTCAACCAACAAGCAATAACATTTGACATTTCGGAGACATCACGCTACACTAGCGCCTCTAGCGGCGGATTCATACGCGATAGCCCTCATTGAACACAAACTACAGTGAAACGACTTAACTTTAACCCTATGAAAACTACAAGAAATATGCCGGTGGCGGCGTTTTGTGGTTGTGGTCGGTGGCCCGTGTGCGGCGACACTTATAGGTCGCAGAGTGACTACAGTCCCTTTAGGACTGCATAGCCCCGAAAATCTAAAATAATAATAATAATCGTGACTAATCATAAACATATCGCACTAATATTACAACAGTGTTGTAACTCAAAATTGATTGTTTTTCAGAATCAAGGAAAAACTGATTATTCACTTTTTATTATAGATTATAAAAAAAATCATTCTTTATGTGTTTTATTACAGAATTTAAAGAAATTATATATATACCAATAATTTAAAAAATTACGGGGACTAAAGTTATTCAAATTTTTTGAGTTGATACGATATAATATCGAACAAACTGTTCAAAATGAAATATTATTTTTAGTTGTGTAGTTATTTTAGAAATATTTTGGGTTACTATTATTTGAATATAGCTTTTTGGTATAGTTTAAATATACATTTTAGAGTTACAACAATTCTAATAATTGTTTTTGGTATTATATTTACGTATACCTTGAACATTTTCTCCGAGTTAGGGTGTTAGTAAATAAAAACAAATTAAGTTTTATAAGAAACAATTATAATTTCGCAATAAACTGAATTAGAACAAAACATACAATGTTTGAAATAATACAAAATAGTGAAATATTTTGTATAAGTGACTACAAAATAAAGTTTCTTAAACAAAACAGTTCCTATATACATACAAGTATAAAAATAAATATCTATTTATTTTTAAACTTAGTAAGTCCTTACGAAACATAAAAAAACAGTCTTTTCCGACACATAATGATTATCACTAATTATTCTTATAAAGTAGTTGAAGCATTAAATGTAAACTTAATCAAATAATCAACAGAATAAAAATCCCAAAACAAAACTAAACAAAAATAAAACAGTTATTAGTTATTGACAACAATGAAGGTAATAAATTTGAGGGATGTGCACATTCTTCAACAGGTTCGTCATTTTCTTTTTCCTGGTTTTCGCCGCTCGTTTTTATTGCCATACCAACAAGTAATCGCCCACGATGCATAGAGATTCTGCAAATTAATCAAGTTCTTGTTAGCAAAATACATACAAAGCACACGTGTCACATAGAGTGTAGTAACTTTAAATTAACGAGATAAAATATTTAGTAAACATTTTCCTAATTTAACAATAACGTATTCCAATGCACCGTGATAAATACTATGATAAACAATTGGGCTTTTCTTTAAATACTAACAAATTAAACAATAAAAGGTGTTCAATCGTCATGCATCAACAATACTGTATCATGTCTAAATTGAATAACTAAACCAATAATAATGTCGTAAATAAAAATATTATTTGAAATATCGCTTGTATTAATCAGTAAGAGTGTATTAACTCTAAAAACACCCATTCCATATTAAAGTTTAAATCAGCAAAAACGTAATAATTCAAAATAATACTTTAAATTTTCCATACCTGAATCAGCAATACTGCTACAACTCGAAATATTGTGCAAAGCGGCACGTCCTTCCTCGGTCACTGTTGGTCGCAACTAAAGAAGAAGCAATATTAAGCGGGAGGGTATGACAGTTGGTCAGTCATCTATACTGACTTATAACGCCATCTTTTATTTGTTTTTTGCATTATTTCAACGACGGTTTTATTGCCTTGTGCGGAATCGCATCCAGCGTTTGAATATGGTGTTATCTCAAATTCGACATTTTTTGAGTTACGACACTGTTGTAATATTAGTGCGATATTATAGTATAATATCTGTTTTTTTAATAACTTAATAATCGTGTTATCAGTAAAAGTATATAATTGTGTTTGGAATTCGATAAAATGCGTGAATACCTTCTGTACTTTTTCGATTTTATCTACGTAAGTTGTTTCATGGAAGATTGTTATCGGATAATGATGTCAGTTTTTTCGTACTTAAACTGTTAAGAACAGGTATATCGTTACGTTGTCATTATTTTCCTTTCCCACAGTTAAATTTACTATTTTGAACAAACCCCTAATCCCAGAACAAAGAAAAAGCTTTTTTGTTAATTTCCTTAATAAAAAAAGTTATCAACAAACGTAATAATATTTGTTTGAGAATTTTCCGATATTCGTCTCTGTGTTTGTTTCTGACTAGTGGGAGCCTAACTTCATCTGCGTGGAAAAAACTATTATCCCTTACAAACTTCCACCCTCATTTCACCCACTTAAAGATTTATTTCCAGGACTATACCAAATTTCATCTAAATCGGTTCAGCTGTTCAAGTGTTCAGAGTAGTGTTGCCGAACTATCGATAGTAAAACTATCGACAGTTTACATCGAAAATCATGTACACTATCGATAGGCCTATCGATAAAATCGATACAACCGATAGTATCGATACTATCGATAGCTCAGAACAAGGCAATACTATCGAATGAGTGCAATACTATAGATACTATCGATACTATTGTAGTTCGTTAATAACAAACTATTGATAGCATCGATACTATCGATAGTGTTGATTTTATCTGCAACAATACTATCGATAGTATCGATACTAGCTAAGTTTTAGACTAAAGTTTGTAATTTACTATAATACCTGACAATTGTAAACAATACTTTTGTAAATTGTTAAACTATCGATAGTATGGTTGCAAATAAAATCGACAGTATCGATACTATCGATAGTTTGTTATTAACGAACTACAATGCTATTGATAGTATCGATAGTATTTAACTCATCCGATAGTATTGGCTTTTTCTGTGCTATCGATAGTATCGATACTATCAATAGTATCGCCGATCGATTGTCATACGATTGGTTGGCTATCGATAGACTATCGATTAATCATCGATAGTCGACTATCGATCGGCAACACTAGTTCAGAGGGGACAGACAACACACTTCGCATTTAAAATATAAGTAGGATAGCTTATCTAAACATAAGTGTTTAACCCATAAATGTAGCCTCAATATTTTTTTTGTAATCAATGAAAACTTAATAGGCAAACGTACTAATAATATCTATCGATTGCGATCTTGAAGGGACAATAAAAATAATCCGTCTTATCCTACCGACGCAATTCACAAACTTCAGTGACATTGAAATCGATATTATAATTTCCTTACTTATAATACCTACCTACACCGCACAACCTTCAATTATATGATTTATACAACTGCGATGGCTCCGCCAAGTACTTGCTCGATGCTTTGGATAGGTTAGAGCGGCGCGCGTTCCGCATCATAGGCTTAGATTAAAACAAAAAGGGTAGATACGGTACGCTCATACTTGCATCAAACAAAAACTGATCGCGCGTCACTGCATTACCGACCCGAACGAAACAGCACGTTAAGTTTCAACGGCAGCGCGAACGAGACGGCGAGATCCGCGTCACTGCACTACCGACCAATCACGCGACCAGTACTCGACGTCACTACAGAATAAGATTCAAAACTAACAGCAATTTTTATGAAAAAATATATTTTATAGTACTTCGAATGAAAGGTGATGCCGTGGGTTCTATTTTTAGTTCTTGAGCAATTTGAGCACTTTTTAAATACACACTTAGGCATTGTTTTATCATATAAACACAAAATATTAGCAATATTTCTTTTCGGCGTTCACATGTACGTCGTTTGCATTTCAAGTTGTGACTAAAGCGATTAGGGTCGTGGACCACAATTCATGCGGATCACTTTTGTGAGGCTAGTGCCGTATCTACCCTTTTTGTTTTAATCTAAGATCATAGGCGATGAGGAGGTGACTAAACATCTCGAGCCTCTTCAATTACGTCATGACGTGGCGTCACTAAGCGCGTTCTATCGTCTGTACCACGGCGAGTGTTCTGAGGAGTTATTCTCTCTTATTCCACCTCCCCTTGAATGAATGCTTTTCCTTTAGAGGACCGCGCGCGCTGGGCTTGGTTGTCACCGTCTTACTGTGGCCACAATTCCAACGCGTACAAAGAAATTTGGTGACTAATTTCTTTGTCGCACTATCCGTAAATGGAATGCTTTGCCTGCTCACGTGTTCCCTCCTTCTTACAACCTGGGATCCTTTAAAAGAGGTGTGAAGCAGCAACAAGCAGGCCGGCAGGGTGAGGATGGCTGATGTGGCAGGTAGAACCGCTGTACCAGCTATCTTCACGTCTTCACCGTTGCTTAACATCAGATGGGGTGGAGTCATTTGTCGGACCTATGTATATAAAAAAAACTGTGACTTTGTCGGCGTTAGTTTTATAGAACCCCATGTCATGTATTTCTGAAACCAAGTTTATTACTGAAATTTGGCACATATATACATATATTGTGCCAAATTTCATCCAAATAAGTGAAGCTGATTACGAAATTTCACGTTTATATAAGTATGTATATCATCATCATCAGCCTATTAATGTCCCCACTGCTGGGACACAGGCCTTCCCTATGGATGGAATAGGGAGATTGGGCCATGACCCACCACGTGGTCCCAATGCGGATTGGTGGGTTCTAACGACTGCAGATGCAACCGGGACCAACGGCTTAACGTGCCTTTCGAAACACGAAGGAGCTCGAGATAGTAAATTTTTGGTCACCCATCCAATGACCGACCACTGCGAAAGTTGCTGAACTTAAACGATCGCAGCCGAACGCGCTAACCAGTTGCACCATCGAGCTCCTATATAAAAAGTATTTATATAAAAATGATTTATTTTTCTTTAGGTATTATTATGTTTTATTTATTTAATTATATATAAATTTTATCAAACATAATACTACCTTTTGGTGGTGTTGTATTTCTTACGGTGAGTAAGGTTCCAGGGCTCCACGGGGTAGGGGATTGGATCAGGTAGTGTTGCCGAACTATCAATATTAAAACTATCGACAGTTTACATCGAAAATCATGTACCCTATCGATAGAATCGATACAACCGATAGTATCGATAGGATCGATACTATCGATAGTATTGTTGCAGATAAAATCAACACTATCGATAGTATCGATACTATCAATAGTTTGTTATTGACGAACTACAATAGTATCGACAGTATCTGTAGTATTGCATTCATTCGATAGTACTGCCTTGTATCGATAGTATCGATACTAGCGATTGTTTTAGACTAAAGTTTGTGATTAACTATAATACCTGAAAATTGTAAACAATACTATTGCAGATTGTTAAACTATCGATAGTATGGTTGCAAATAAAATCGACAGTGTCGATACTATCGATAGTTTGTTATTAACGAACTACAATACTATCGATAGTATTTAACTCATCCGATAGTATTGTCTTTTTCTGTGCTATCGATAGTATTGTTGCAGATAAAATCAACACTATCGATAGTATCGATACAATCAATAGTTTGTTATTGACGAACTACAATAGTATCGACAGTATCTGTAGTATTGCATTCATTCGATAGTACTGCCTTGTATCGATAGTATCGATGCTAGCGATTGTTTTAGACAAAAGTTTGTGATTAACTATAATACCTGAAAATTGTAAACAATACTATTGCAAATTGTTAAACTATCGATAGTATGGTTGCAAATAAAATCGACAGTATCGATACTATCGATAGAGTGTTATTAACGAACTACAATACTATCGATAGTATTTAACTCATCCGATAGTATTGGCTTTTTCTGTGCTATCGATAGTATCGATACTATTGATAGTATCGATACTATTGATAAGCCGATCGATTATCATACGATTGGTTGGCTATCGATAGACTATCGATTAATCATCGATAGTCGACTATCGATCGGCAACACTAGATCAGGGTAGGCTGCGGCGCGGGTGATATTTTTGGTATCGCAAGCGGCTTTAGGCTGTGGTGCCCGTTTACCATCAGGCGGGCGTAACAACAATCATTTAAATCCAAAGAAAATTTAACTAGAAAAAATTCCACGTGGTCCATGTGGCAGACGGGACTTCAACCAGCACCCTCCGCTGTCCGAACGGACACTGACCTATTGGTATTTGACAAGTTTTAGAAAACGATCTCACGTGATTGACTAATGTTTACGGAGTCCGTAATAAGTAGATATTCATCATTCTGTTGTGTATTTCAGTAAAAATAACCAAATCTAAAACTCCATTTTCAAGTTACAGCAAAAACGATTCCCTGGACAATATGGCGTCTCACAGGTGTGTGACGTCACACGTCTGTTATTAAAACGTCAAACGATGTAATATAATGTCACTTTAACCGGAAGTTTACTTGCGTGTGACGTCATTTTAGACTTTTTGGCGGGATCGGGAAGCGTCACTTTAGCAGTTTTGTTTTTCTTGTTGTAAAAATTGAGTTGTAGCGGATGTTAGTGTCTAATAATGGTGGATTATTAACCACTAAGTGTTCGGAAACATGCACAAGTGCTGGCAAGTGAAACAAAATAGCGGAAGGTGTCTTTCGACGTTCCCTCAAGAAGTCCACGGGGAGGTTCCAGTAAATCCCCACACATTTACCAAAACATAGGGAATGGGGGATTGACTTGACTGCCTCTTACTTAGACTTGACTAATATTTTGACCACGAGTGCTATAGAATATGTAAACATTTTACACTTGACATTGGCTAAATGCACAAACCGTGCGAAGCCATATAGAAAAAAAAAGACGTCATTTTAGGCTCCGCCAATCCCAAGCGTTTTGAGTCACTTGACAATAAATAAGAAAACTATTATCTTTTTCGTAGATTTTTAGTAAAATTATGAATATATTTTTTTGTAAAAATAGTAAAAACCCCTTCCAATATTCAATGTAAACCCAGATGCTAACAATTGGCACTTTATTTTTAATACTGTCAAATACCCTATTATTATGCTACCGCGGCCAAGGTCGAGGTATCGGGTTTCGGTCGCATCAAGTCCCGTCTGCCGACTGATCCACGTGGAATGTTCTTTACATTTAAAAATTAAAAAAAAAACATTTCTATAATCACTTATACAAACAATTGTTTTAATGAGTACGTCAATTATTAGAAATAAGGATGGCGGCAGCTTACTATCAGGTGACCTCATTTTATTGACATCCTTTTTACTTAAAAAATATGAAGCATAAAAAAAGATTGGAATAAAATTATATAAGATGCTTCTGGAGATTAAAAACATGGAATAAATAAATAAATCATGATTATTTTATTATAACATTAAAAAAACATTACATATAAATATGACAAAACAATCACAATAATTTCTTAAAGAAGAGCTGCTTAATACTAATGAAAAAATATTTTTAGGTATTAAGCTAAAAATGTAGTCATTGATTCTTAACATCAATGTATAAAAACAATGATAATAATTTTAAAAAATCACAACACAAAAACATCTCGGAAACATTTGTAACAACTTAAAATTACAGATCCATGATAAAAACCTAATAACGTTTGATTTATTGTAAATATTGAAATATATGTCATTTTGTAAAATATGTAAGGTAATGTTTATTTAATTCTTTTTTTATTTATTTGCTTATATGGTCTAACACGGCCCATTTTGAATAAAAATATTTCAAAATTATAATTTACAATTAAGCTTGTTTTGTACCATAATTAAATCTATAATGACAAAGTCAGGTGTAGAAGTCAATTACATGTTAAAAATAATAAAACAGGAAAATCATAAAATTAGGAAAGAACGTAGTAATGTTATAGCGCTTATAAATTTTATTGAATCTGATAAAATTATAAAGTTATCAATGCAACATGCTCGTAAAGTTTATATGTATTACCTACCAATTCTGCACATAAAGCACGTGGTATTAAGATAATACTTGCAATTTTATTACGTAATAAATTAAATAAGTATAAAATTTTAACCGGCCTTGGAATTACTGGCCTACAACCTGATTAAGATAACCGAACAGATTAGGTAATAATTATAAAAAAAAACCTACTTTTTTTTAGTCTCGATACCAGGACAAAATGACAAGATACGAAATTTGACAAAAATAAATTCTAAAATATAATCTTCTAAGATTCAAGGACGGTAACATGTTAGTTTCTAAGACATTTGTGATTGTGAATAAAATAACAGTGAATTAAATTGAATGGAATAACGAAATACCAACTGCCTTTTCCCTCAAAATTAACTAAGCAACTTGGACTCAACACAGTCTCGAGGGAATCATTGAAAATCGAAAATTCACTTATTCTAACACTAGTTTACACACTACATTAATAACTAATATTAAAATCTAATGGTTATATTCTAAAACATTTTCAATTAAATAGTATCCTATAATTACTTCATATTTAAAGCTTTTTAATTTAATCAAACAATAAAACACTGTTTTACAGCACTATAAATAAAAATAAACAAATAAAAACTAAATAAAATACTGATTTGATGTAATACGGCTACAAACCATCGCTTCAATGACCCACAAGAAATTTGCTAATTATTGGGTTATTTAATCGTTTATTAATTGAAGATAATATGCTGCAATTTGAACAATTCATATTTGTTTAAAGTTTATGTAATTCATTTCCAATCCTTGTTTTTTAACAATCTCAACTTTTGAAAACATATTTTTTCCTATTTTTCTGGTTATAAGATAACTTATTTTCAGTGCACGAGACCTAGCTCCTTTGTATATGTCGTAGGATAATATGATAATTCGATGTTTTGCGAAAAAATGGATAAATTAGGCATTGGCTATGACATTGCTCAATCTTAAATCTTAACTAGTTCACGACTTTTTTTCTGGTTTCATAGTCGTAACATTAGTGTTACCAAAGTAAACTACTTAGAGTGAACCCAAGAATCCAAAAACCCAACCAAGTTTTTAATAAGCCAACGATACTTTCGTTTTCGCGAAAAATCCTATCTTTTGCTAATAAGATTGAGAAATATCATCGCCATTTTTTAATTATCCGCGTTATCCCTGCCCCAATTAATCAAAACATCCTCCGGCATATACACTGAAGTATTGATACTTTTATTCATATATTACAAACACAAAGACAAAGACATACACATATTATAAATGAATCAACTAATAAAATCCACAATATCACATAAATTGCTCGCCTTAAGTTTAAATGCTAAAACATTCCTGATATTGATATAATAAAAAAACAATATCAACATAACAAGGCTGGGACTTTAGACATTATAGACAGAGGGGTATTGCTACCGGAATTTTCGAGATGACAAAGTTGCCAAGTTCAGCCTGGTAATATCGATTGCTGAAGTCGTAGAATTTGGAATTAAACATTTCACTCCTGCCCTCATTCAAAATCTACTATGACCTTAGTTAAAAATAACTCTGCAGATCCAATAGATTTTGAATAGATAATAGATATCCATCATTCTAAATTTTTTACACGAGTCTGCAATGAAGTTGACGCAACTGACGTAACTATGATTAGAGGCAAAACCACCACCTAGCCTTCTATACCCTGTAGACCTACGATGAAGAATCTCACTATAGTCCAGTCAACGAAGGCAAAAATCAGCTACAACCTCCGATTTCGTTGAACCTCCATCGATTTTCAAGAAAATCGGTGAGAAGGTTGGGGATACCTTAAGAAACAAAAGTGACATAGTGCCAACTCGCGCTTTTGCCCTGAGGGTAGATGCCACCTCTTCCCGGGGGGTGAAAATTATTTTAATAAAATAGCAATAGCGCAAGTTGGCAATATGTCACTTTTGTTTCTTAAGGTATCCTCCACCTACTCACCAATTTTCATGAAAATCGATGGAGGAACAACGAAATCGGAGGTGAAAACCTTCATTGACTGGACTACTATGCTTTGACCCAATTTTGACTTTATGTTAAGACAGGTGATCCTTGATAAATAGACAATGATTCCCCAATCGGGTTTTCTATGTTAAGTGCGCGGCAAACAAGCAAATGCCCGTCTAATGGCAAGCATCTACCATAGCCTATAGGAGCTTGATATATCAGGGTATTATTTGCTCCATGATTACCCGGACCCCATCTTCCTACCCCAAGGAGCTCTAGAACTTTACTTAATAACACACCTCTAAAAGAAAGTGTAATTTCACCGTGATCTTTCGTAAGTTGGCCGACAATAACAAAAACGCAAAAAGGTAGTATTTTCACAGTCATTTTCTGTAAGGTGGAAGTTATTTCCCCAGTCACAATTCGAGTAATTAGATCTTTGCTGAAACTTTTTTTTTCCAGTCGCTCAGCGCGCTATGGAAAGGGCTATGCTCGACATTTCTCTGAAGGATGATCGCATCAGAAATGACGTAATCCGACAGAGAACCAGAGTCATCGACATAGCCCACCGGATTAGCAAGTTGAAGTGGCAGTGGGCTGGCCATATTTGCCGAAGAACCGATAACCGTTGGGGTAGACGAGTTCTGGAGTGGAGACCGCGTCTAGGCAAACGTAGTGTAGGACGTCCTCAGGCGTGAGAACGTCCGACGCTGGATGGGCTGGAGGAGGTAGCCCAAGATCGATCTGAGTGGCGTGCAATTGGAGAGGCCTTTGTCCAGCAGTGGACTAGGAGTAAGGTTCCAGGGTTCCACGGGGTAGGAGATTGGGTTAGGAAAGGCAACGGTGCAACTTTTAACATAGCAAAAGCTTGATGCACGGTCAAGGAGGCATGCCCGGAGAGTCTCCTGTGTGGCAGTGTTGCAGCAATAGATTAGAGTTTCGATATAATGAATATTTTGATTGTCAACTATTTGCCAGTCTAGCAACACAGTAGTGGCTATCCAGAAGTCTGGGTTGGGCAGTTGAAATGGTGGATAGGCTATGGTTATTCGATCTGACGAGAGATAGCCATTCCGGTGTGGCAGTGTTGCAGCAATCGGTTAGAGTATTGCGAATATTTTGTAGGTCAATTATTTGATGATCTGCAACACAGTAGTGGCTTGCCAGAAGTTGCAGGTAGGCAGGTGAAATGGTGGATAGGCTAAGGTTGTTCGGGCTGTCGGGAGATGGTCTCAGCCTGGTGCACGGTGTCTGGGAGGCGCGCGCGGAGAGTCTCCGGTGTGAGCAGCATCAGAAGACCCGACGTGCCAGCCATCGTGCCGAAAAGCAGGTACGGCAGCGACGGCATATACGAACCCTGCGAATTACAAAATACCATAGTTAGACTATTAATTATAAATGCGAAAATGAAATTGTTAGTTTGTATGTTACGTTTTGACGCCTTAACCGCTGAATCTTTTATGATGATTTCTATCTTAGGTATTATTTTTAATCTGAAATTTATCAAAACCAAAAAGATAGAAATGAGACTGTAGACGGCGATAACACTTTTTTTCGTAAGTCTTAGCATCACGTGGAACTTAACAAAAGTGGACGGTGTACTTTAGATATAACTAAATCATCATTATCAACCTATTAATGTCCCTACTGCTGGGGCACAGGCCTTCCCTATGGATGGAAAGGGGAGATTGGGCCATGACCCACCACGCGGCCCTAGTTCGGATTGGCGGGTGCTGACGACTGCAGATGCAGCCGGGACCAACGGCTTAACGTGCCGTCTGATAGAAGATTTTTGGTCACCCATCCAATGACCGACCACTGGGAAAATTGCTTAACTTCAACGATCGCAGCCGAACGCGCTAACCACCCACGCTATCGAGCTCCTCTATATAAGTAAATAATACGTATTATTTCTTTTTAGTGGTTTTGCTTTTAAGTTAGCCTGTTCATTTTTTTTAAATGATTTTATTTTCTGCTTATGGGAAGTCAAAGTACACAATTGACTGAATTTGAATTGAAATACTCCTGGTAGGTACCTGGCCTACAACATCTGAATTATATTTCTTAACATAGCGAAACACGAGTTGAATACTGTTTTTAATTGAGGAGTTCCATTGTTTGTCTCCGAAAGTACTCATCAGATCTTCACCAAAAAAATATAAGACTATTTCTTTATATAACTGATTAAAACAAAAAAAATATCATTAAAATCGGCTCACGCATGTCGGAAATATGCTTGCACAACAATTAAACAAAAACAAACGTGCTGTCGAATTGAGAACCTCCTCTTTTCGATCAAGACGATGCCAAGCGTGCGCAGATGTGTAGTGGGCACATCTGGTGTTGGGTTTCAAAAATAGATCCGTCGAATTACCAAATAGTCTTAATAATCGTGGGAGAGCCACGCAGTAGCCTAGGCTACTGCATGAATGGGCCGGCTCGACCGAAGGAATACCACGACCTCACAGAATACCGGCGTGAAGCAGTACTTCGTACTGTGGTTCGCCGAGTGAGTGAGGCTACCGGAGGCCCAACCCCCCCCCCCCCCCCCCTCTTTCCTCATGATGGCGCAGTTAAATAGGATAACACCCCAGGGGGGACCAGCTGTTTTCACGCTGGAGAATCCCCCTCTGGACGTCCATGCCCAGAACATTCCCAGAAAGTTTCCTTCTGGACGTGGACGTCGAGGCTGCCCTTCGTATTCTGGGGCTGTTCCCTACCACCTTCAGACAGTGCAGCCGGCCTTGCTTTTTTTGACTGAGACGCAGATATCCTCTCCAGCCGACACCTCCTACCTCCAGTACCCTGGGTATACTTTGGAACATTCCTTTGTGCCACGGGCTGGGGTATGTGTGTACGTTAAAAAGGGTATCAATTTCCGTCGCCTCAGCAACTTTAAAGGTAGGGACCTCTCCATCTCATGGTTGCGTGTAGACGTCGATGACCATCCCCGCGTCTACGCCTGCCTCTACAGGTCCCATAGCGGAAATGCCGAAATTGACCGACTCTATGATCACGTCCAGGTGGCTACAGACTCCGTGCTTCAGCAGATCCCATCATCTGAAATTGTGATCCTTGGTGATTTCAATGCCCACCACTCCGAATGGCTTGGTTCGCCCACTACCGATCATGCAGGCAGATCTGCTCACGACTTTGCCTTGGCCTATGGTCTGACACAACTCGTCACCTCGCCTACGCGAATCCCAGATGTCGAAGACCATACACCTTCACTGTTGGACCTTCTGCTGACTTCACATTCGGATAATTACAAAGTGTCCATAGATGCCCCTCTTGGCTCCTCGGACCATTGTCTTATCCGGAGTATGGTGCCACTCACTTACTCACCGCGGCCGCAATTTGCTGGCTCTCGTCGTGTGTGGCACTTTCTTTTCATCCTACCCTTGGGGCCGGGTTTGCGTCTCGCAGAATGATCCCAACGTCGCTGCCGATTCTGTCGCCCATGTTGTCCTTCAGGGTATGGAACTTTTTGTTCCTTCCTCTGTGGTTCCCATTGGTGGCAAATCCCAGCCTTGGTTTGGTCATTACTGTAAACTGGCATTTCGCCAAAAACAGATGTGTTATCAGGCCTGGGCAAACGCAGCGGCGGTAGGGGATAACAACACTAGCGATCTCAAAAAGAAGTATAACTTGGCCTCCAGGTCCTGCAAAAGAGTAATTGCCAGAGCGAAGTCGGAGCACATTAGCAGCATTGGCGAGAGATTAATAAAACTTCCCTCTGGCAGGTTTTCTATGTTAAGTGGGTGGCAAACGAGCATTTGCTCGCCTGATGGTAAGCAACCACTATAGCATATAGAAACTTGCGATATCTGGGTATGCTACTCGTAACTCTGCCCCCATGTTCCCATCCGGTGTAGCCCTAGAACTTTATAAATCGACGGAATAATAGCACACTACTAAATGTAAAGGTACCAGGAGCGGGGTCTGCGGCGCCACGATGGAGCCCACGCGGCCGCACATGGAGCACGCGCCCAGCAGCCGGTGCCGCGCCGCCGTCGGGAACAGCTCCGACGTGTAGATGTAGATGCTGCTGAACGACATGCTGATGCATAGCTTGCCCAGCATCGTGAGGGACGTCTGCAGCCACGTTAGGTCTGCAAATATAAACGAAACTCTTTTATAGAAAATATAACTAGAACAAATTCCACGCGGACCAGGCAGCAGATGGGACTCGAACCCGCACCCTTCGCAATCCGGGCGAATGCACTGACCAATTATGCTACTGCGGCCCTCATGGACTGCGTCGAAATTCTTCTAGCCATTCTTAAGCTGCAAGGCAGCGCCATCTCTTCGCATTATAGGTAACCCACAAACGTGAAGAGATGGCGAATTTTTTTTTTCTAGTTATATTTTCTTTAGATTTAAACATCAAGCAGTTACATGCTTTAAAAAATAATAAATTTTATAACGATAATTGCTATTTCTTCTTTCAAATGTTTAATACTTGTAAAAGTATTCATTTGACATTGTGGGTTACCTATAATGCGAAGAGATGGCGCTGCCTTGCAGCTTAAGACCATTCTTAATTCTAGCCATCTAGAAGAATTTCGACGCGGTCCGTGAGGGCCGCAGTAGCATAATTGGTCAGTGCATTCGCCCGGATTGCGAAGGGTGCGGGTTCGAGTCCCGTCTGCTGCCTGGTCCGCGTGGAATTTTTTCTAGTTATATTTTCTTTAGATTTAAACATCAAGCAGTTACATGCTTTAAAAATAATACAATTTATGAAACTTGTTTAATTTGTCTCCGCTTTCTGTCAATACTCAAATTACTTTTCCATAATGGTGATACTCAAATGTCTATACCGATGTAGCATTTTAGCACTGAAACGGGTATTGTGCAATACATTTTTTGACTAATAGGCACAGTTGTACAATGCTGCTTTTTTTTTGTATATACCTAGTCCAGCCATAAGTTCTGTTACAAATGAAAATGTATTTTTTTAAAGTCATAAGTCCTCCTTTTAAAGTCCACCTACATATTTTTAAAGTGTCAGCAAAAAATAAAAAATATGCTATTCGAAATGGTCATTTTGGCTTTTCTACAGGCCTTTAATCTGTTTGGCCACGAATCTATGGATTCAAAAATCCCTTGGAAACAGTGTTACACACTATATAGTAAGTTAATATTTCGCCACTGCTTGCTCCAAATACAGTGAAAACTGGTTAATTGGGATCTCAAGGGACCAAGATATATGTACCAATTATTGAGGGTATCCAATAATCCAGTTTTCCAATTAATCAGGTTTAAAATTATAGTTGTCTCATTTACAGAGGCCCCCGCTTACAGAGGTCGAAATATGCCGTTATTCCATTTTTAGAGTACTGACAAACAAAGCATGCGCGAAAGACGACGCGAAATGTATGTAAACAAACATGTCAAAACGTGTTACATCGAAAGAGTCTTAGAATTCAAATCTCATTTAACTAGGTTTAAAAAGTCCCATTAACCGAGGTAATTTAATGAAAAAGTACCGGAACCTCATTGCAACTCTCAATAATAGAGGTTTAGATCACTTATCCAGGTCCCACTTAACCAGGTTTCACTGTATTTTTAAAGAGACTCAATGTCGCCGTGTCGTTGAAAGCAGGACATGTCCTCTAAAACTGACCATAATTTTATTTAACTACCAAACCTTTAAACAAAAAATACGCAAAGTGTGCGATGTCTGAGTAAAATTGAAATCGAACGACATATCGATATCATTTGCTCATTATACAAACAATTAAACAAACAGATACTCGTAGTGCTGCAAGCAAATAGAAACAAAAATCGCGAATGTAAAAAAAACTTTGTAGTATTGATTAAGTACCCTACTTAAGAATGCATTTTAATGAAAATTATCGTTAAATCTCCGTACGATAATAATATCATATCGAACATCGTACGTAGGCATAAAATTATCGTATGTGTACGCTAATTATCGTACGCTCGCTATCTAGGGTCTCGCGAAATATACCTTGCCCACATTAAGTTACATGGAAATGTCTCTCTAATTCCATTAGGTTATATTTATCGTAGGGAAGGCCTGTGCCCCAGCAGTGGGGACATTAATAGGCTGATGATGATGATGATATTTATCGTATAACAATGAAATGAAAAGTCATTCAGTCTAGGCTGTTACAAGCACTTGTGAAGGTCAAGAAGCTACGCCATCGGTTCGCAAAACTACGGCGGGAGACCTTGTACTGAGAAGAACCGGCAAGAAACCAGGCAATCGTCTTGAAAGCAATTCGAGACGATTGCCTGTTTGAAGATTCACCCACCATAATAGTAAAATACTTACGGGAAGGAACAAACGGAAGAGATAAAAGCGATGCCCCACAGACGAAGAACGCTGACATGATAGAGCTTTTCCTCCCGAACCTGTCGAGGGTTAGCACACTGAGGCAGTACCCGGGAATCTCCACCAACGAGGTCAGAATATAGTTCAGGTAACTGTTACCAGCCAGCGACACCGAGTTGATCGACAATCCGTAGTAAATGAACGTCACTGTAATCCACCAAAATGAGCAAATGCACAATCGAGACATAATGATCCTCGATTTCAAAATTTGCTTCATAAGTGACGGCAGTTTCTCGTTCTGATCAACTGTAACTGCTTTGTGGGTTTCCTTATTTTTGTTTTCTTGAGGCTCTTCTGTCAACTGCCTAACCGCTTCTGGGCTCAATTTCTTTTTGTTTATATCTGCAGCCTTGAATATGATTCTGGCGGCTTCCTTCTTTTTGTCTTTACTTAGCAGCCAACGCACACTTTCTTCGAGAATGAAGAAATAGAATATGAATAGCAATGATGGTGCGTACAAGACTCTGGTGAGAGTGCGCCAGTTAGGGATGCCCCACGCTACTAGAGCGAGTATCACTTGACCTATGGCGAAGGAGCATGAGATAATGTTGCCGCCGAGCACTCGTCGGTTCAACCCCACCATTTCTAGAGCTGAAAATAAAAATAGATAATGTAACTAGAAAAAAATCCACGCGGACCAGGCAGCAGACGGGACTCGAACCCGCACCCTTCGCAATCTGGGCGAATGCACTGACCAATTATGCTACCGCGGCCCTCGCGGATGACCTCTAGCAGGCAGCAATGGCGAAACATAGTGAAGCGCATCACATCTGCCCCCTCCAATAATACTACAAGTGCATAGCGATCACGACCGCTCTGTCAAGAGCGTACCGGCTAAGAAGAAGAAGAAGAAGGCCCTCGCGGACCGCGTCGAAATTCTTCTAGCCATTCTTAAGCTGCAATCCATCGCAAAGCTGCCATCTTCTTTCAAATGTTTAATACTTGTAAAAGTATTCATTTGACATTGTGGGTTACCTATAATGCGAAGAGATGGCGCTACCTTGCAGCTTAAGAATGGCTAGAAGAATTTCGACGCGGTCCGAGAGGGCCGCGCTGGAATAATTGGTCAGTGCATTCGCCCGGATTGCGAAGGGTGCGGGTTCGAGTCCCGTCTGCTGCCTGGTCCACGTGGAATTTTTTCTAGTTATATTTTCTTTAGATTTAAACATCAAGCAGTTACATGCTTTAATATAATAAAAATTATAACTATAAAAATAGATTTCATTAAAACAAAAGAATTATGTTGGTGTGTGCATTTTCTACTCTATTGCAGAATCACAGTGAGAACAGACCCAAATTTAGTGGAACAGTGTCTAAGAAATTAATTATTTTATAGTATACTAGCTGACGCAGCGAACTTCGTACCGCCATAAAAAATTTAATTAAAAAAACATTGTCCAGCGGACAAAATTATGAATCTAAACCATTCTCAGATCCCCTTGAACACACACAAAAAATTTCATCAAAATGGGTCCAGTCGTTTAAGAGAAGTTCAGTGACATACACACTCACAGAAGAATTATATATATAAAGACTAGCTGACCCAGCAAACTTCGTCTACTAATAAATAAAAAATTAATTAAAAAAACATTGTCCAGCGGACAAAATTGTGAATCTAAACCATTCTCAGATCCCCTTGAACACACACAAAAAATTTCATCAAAATCGGTCCAGTCGTTTAAGAGAAGTTCAGTGACATACACACTCACAGAAGAATTATATATATAAAGATAGTAGGTTCTATGAGGATGGCGCAGGTGGTTAGCATCGGTCTCGGCTGCATCTACAGTCGTTCATCATCATCATCATCGTCAGCCTATTAATGTCCACACTGCTGGGGTACAGGCCTTCCCTAAGAATGGAATAGGGAGATTGGGCCCTGACCCACCACGCGGGCCCAGTGCGGTTTGGTGGGTGCTAACGACTGCAGATGCAGCCGGGATGGCTTAACGTGCCTTCCGAAGCACGGAGGAGCTCGAGATAGTAAATTTTCGGTCACCCATCCAATGACCGACCACTGCGAAAGTTGCTTTAATTCAACGATCTCAGCGAAACGCGCTAACCACTTGCGCCATCGAGTTCCTCAGCTACAGTCGTTAGCACCCACCAATACGCACTGGGTGGGTGTGGTGACGGCCCATTCTGTTTGTGCCATAGGACTAACGCCTCAGCCCCCATATGGGCGTAGGAGGGTACCGGTGGTTTTTAGTGGGTAGGACCGGCGTTGTTCCGCGCCGGGGAGTCCCACACACGCCGCGCGCCCAGCCAGCGCGCGGTACGGTGCGTAAATGCATTTTCCATCGTCAACAAAAAAAAAAAAAAAAAAGGACTAATGCCTCAGCAGTGGAGTTATTAATAGGCTGATAATGATGTAACAATGAGGAGCTCCATGGCGCAGGTGGCTAGCGCGTTCGGCTGCGATCGTTGAAGTTAAGCAACTTTCGCAGTGGTCGGTCATTGGATGGGTGACCAAAAATTTACTATTTCGAGCACCTCCGTGCTTCGGAAAGCACGTTAAGCCGTTGGCCCCGGCTGCATTTGCAGTCGTTAGCACCCACCAATCCGCACTGGGCCCGCGTGGTGGGTCATGGCCCAATCTCCCTATTCCATCCATAGGGAAGGCCTGTGCCCCAGCAGTGAGGACATTAATAGGCTGATGATGATGACGATGATGTAATGTAACAATAACCTTATCGTCATCATCCTCAGCCTATTAGTATTCCCACTGCATGAGCACCGGCCTTCCCTATGGATGGAATAGGGAGACTGAGCCGTGACCCACAATGCGGGTCCAGTGCGTATTACTTGCCGAAGCACCATGGTCATCCATCCCATGACTGACCATTGCAAAAGTTGCTTAACTTCCATGGCAATCATGGTCGAAGGAACTAACCACTTGCGCCATTGAGCTTGTCTTAGTAACACACTACAGAATTAAAAATATTTCTTAGATCTCACTTTCGCAAAATATATATATATATATATATATATATATTATTGGGAGCTTCTCCATGACGACCTCCATGGCGCCGGGTTTCATGGCGTCGCCGACTCGAGAGGTCCCGGGTTCGAATCCCGGTGGGGGCAGATGTTTGTGTGATGAACACGAGCATTTGTACTCCAGTCATGGATGTTTAAATATGTATTTCTATATAAATATACTTATATATGTAAAGTATATGTATCCTATCCGTTACCCTAGTATCCCATAACACAAGCCTTATAGTGCTTTCTTTGGGGCTAGGCTAATTGGTGTGAGTGTTGGAAATATTTATTTATTTTTAATTATTTATTCTCCATGATCAGATAACATGACGCGCCACTGTTCCTAATCTACTTTAACAGTTACTTACCCAGAATAAACGCTGCGCTATAGACGCCTGAACCGAGGGTAGCGTCCAGAAACTCGAACACTAGATACATGATATAGTTTGGCGAGAAGGAGCGGATGAGGCCCATCAGGCCCGCGGACGCCGCCGTCAGCACCACTGCGGTACGCCGCCCGTATCTGGAATATTACACAAAAAGTATGAAAGAGGCAGAATAAAACAGCTTAATAGTTGAAGATTCGTTTTCATTATAACAAAACTTGACGAAGTTAATTTTTTGCTGAAGCATTTGACTGCTACGTGGTTAAATCTAAAGAAAATTTTACTTGAAAAAATTCCACGCGAACCAGCAGACGGGACTCGAACATGAACTTTCCGTTATCCGGGCATTGCAGGTAACCCGCAATGTGCAATGAACACCTTTACATATAACAGCATAATGGTCCACGTGGATTTATTTCTAGAAAAATTTACTTTAGATTTATTTTATTTTATTAAGAAAACCAACAGCGTATACATCAACAGATAGTATTTTACAGCTAAGTATGGCCAATTACAGGTTTCCCTTAATTCAACAATAGTAAGTATACATCATAGATGGATCATTATATGCCAACGAATAAATTAAGTAACAGCCATGAGAAAAAAATTAAAAATACAATATACGAACAAGTAACTCCAAGGAGTTTTAATATAATAGAAAGACATTAATACATATACACACTCACATACCTATACATACTCACATAATTATACATAGACACAGATACACACACACTTACACTCAAAAAAACAATACCTACAGATTTCTACACTAACGTATTCACTGATCAGCCTCCTTTTAGTGTTTTAACAACTTCAATTTTAATTTTTTCCTTGCTATTTGAAAAGACGTCGACGTTATTAAAACATTGGTTATAAGTTTGAGCGAATCGTAGTAGAAATGAGTTCTGTAGATAGTTTGTGCGGCATGGTGGAACCTGAAAAAACGGTTGTATTGCGGGTTCGATATTTAGGAACACGACAATTTGTTTTAGCTATCAGATGTGGACAATCAATTTTACTATTAACTATATCAGGCAGACTATAGACCCATATCCAAAACAATACGCTCTGTTCTAATGAAAGGAGACCATGCTCAGAACAACCATTCTTTTATTTGTTAAAGGCTTTACTACAGCAAAAGTTTATATGTTTGTTAAACATTTTCTGTATTCTCTCTAAGCGGTTAATATAGGTAGTATATTGAGGAGTCCATATAGGACTTACATACTCTAAAATGCTTCTTACATATGCGAAATATACCATTTTGATTACCGATATTTCTGAGAATGGATTACATACACGAAGTACAAAGCCAAGATTTCTATACGCCTTCTTAACTGTGCTTTCAATGTATCATTTTTTGATCTAAATGTACTCCTTATACCCTAGTAATCGGCTTTCTAGTAATATTTTGTCCATTAAAATGATAATTAATGATAATAGGCTTTCTTTTCCTTGTAAAAGAGATACATTCACATTTAGCTGTATTAACGGTTATATTATAATTGCTGTAATATTCAGTTAAGCGATTCAGATCACTTTGCAACAACCGTGAATCCTGAACAGTCTTAATTTGACAAAAAATCTTGTTGTCATCCGCTTACATAAGATAATTACAATAACATACATGAACCTATATCATAAAAGTAAGCATTGTAGAAGAGCGGGCCTAAGTGTGAGCCTTGTGGAACACCTGTAGGTATACTGACATAGTCAGAGCGATGAACAGGGAAAGCCTGTGCCCCAGCATTGGAGAAATTAATAGGCTGATGATGATAATGATGAGTAAGCTGGAAACTTACGTGTCGGAGATGTATGAGGCGAATGGCAGGGCGGCGAAGAGTCCCACGCTGTGTATGGTGCCCACCAGAGTCCGCTTCCACTCCTGGCAGGCCAAGTCGAACTGAAACATGATTTAAGTCCAGTCAATATCGAACGAAAGTGAATTAGAATGCCCAATATCTTACTACTTTTCAGAATTAATTACATATTTTCATAGAATCACCATCAGATTACATAACAATCCCCATATAGGTATATGTATACTTTTGTATATATTTTTTTCTATTTTTGTATCCATGTGTGGTTATGAGTAGTCCTGCTCTCTTAAAAATCTCTTCGGTGGTGTCGTGTGAGGCGGGTCGTTGCGTTCCCTAAAAAATGGTTGAGCGAAGCGATGGCTGGTTCATGCGTCATGCTCGTGAACGGGTGCTGCCAGCGGAGATGAGTCTGCTCTTAATTCGCTGGGTACTATTAATCGTTGTACTAAAGTTTAATCGTTTTTTATTATTATTTTTTTGCCTAAACGGTAGGACGCGTCATTCCTAAACTTTGTTAAACCAGTTTTTTATATTTTTTTTTTATAGTCATAATTTTTATATTATTTGCATTTTTTTTTTGTTTGTAATGGAAAGTGACTTTATGAGTTACCTCATATTGAAGTCATTTTTTAATTTGACGACTCTGTATATAATACAGGGAGAAAAAAACAGCCCTTGCTGAGTTTTCTTGCCGGTTCTTCTCAGTACAAGGTCTCCCGCCGTAGATTTGCGAACCGATGTCATAGCTTTTCGACATTCACTGAATAAACGATTTTGAAGAAATCTGTTTGTTTGAAAATCATCGTAAGACGATAACGCATCGTATACGATCGTTGCCAATTTGGACGACGCGAGTGATAAATAAATGCTTGAAAGCATTTGTAGCAACTGTAGATCCAATATCTTGATTGAATAAGGCTGAAAACGTACGATTTATTTAACTGGTCGTATAGCCACACTCCCAAGTTAGGTACTTGGGAGTGTGGCTATACGACCAGGGGGCCAATCGCCTAACGGAAATGCTTTGGAAAACGCTAACGCTTACGATTTTATTTTGTTATTTCTAGCCGCCTGAGGTATTCAAATGCCTCGCGCTCTTTCTTTTTCTTTTGCATTGGTAATAACAATATTAAAAAAAATGAGCGTGAGGTATTCGAAAACCTCAGGCGGCTAGAAATAACAATATAAAATCGTAAGCGTTAGCGTTTTCCAAAGCATTTCCGTTAGGCGATTGGCCCCCAGGCTGCAGGTCACCGTAATACCGACCTCTCCGACGATAGTGTCATTGCTCTCATACACCCAGGAGTTGCACGCGATCGTCTCGTTCTGTTTGAAGGAGTCGACGGCGCAGGAGTCTGCGACTGGTCGCAGCCGGTCGCAGCGGCCACCTCTCTCGGGCAGCGCCCACACCCCCCAGTAGCCAGGCTGCAGGCTGCCACCGTAAGAGCCTTCGCACTCGGGGACTCTGCATCTGGAGATGATCGAAGAGCAATTAAGTTTAAGAGCGGTAATCCAGCAAATGGCCCGCCTCATGGTAAACAGCCGCCATAGTCAAGAGACGCTTACCACACCATAAATATTACTCCCGCCCCAAAATCGGTCAACAAACCTGGGAGATATGCGCGAACAACAATAATTAAAATATCATGACGAATTAGGACCCTCTACCTTCTTGATGTCGGTTGAAAATATCGACATATTGTTGAGTTGTAAAATAATCTGTGACATTTGGTATCTATGTTTTGGTAGTCTGTGGTTTGATGACAAGCTAAAAATAAAAAATGGAAGAAAATAAAGCCAGTGTATTAAATAAAACAGTATAATAAATTAACCAGTTAGAATATAATAAAAAGGCGTTTGAGTTACCCTGGTGTGCCCCGTAGCAACCTGAAATTCTACACATATGACTGCCCAAACATAATTTTATTCATTTATTGCATGTCACATAACATTCATGGTGGTACATTAATTTATGTAAAGTAAATATGTGACGCCCTGCAAGGGTATAGCAAATATCAAGCCAGAGGGCTTGTTAAATAATTATATTATAATACTTAGTTCACATTTCATTTTTACACAACAATTATATTTTATAAAATAGATTTAACAATTTCAATAAACAAAAATAATACTTAATAATTTAATTTTTACACAACAAACAATTCAATTTTATAAACTAGATTTAACAATGTCAATAAGCAATAATAATAATAATAATGAAAATGTCAACTTTAAAAATTAATTACATTTGTCGTCAAAAAATTCTTTTAAATTATAAAAACATTTTTGGATTAAATATGATTTTAATTGATTGTTGAATTTGGCTGATATTTCTACGTTCTTTATATTATTAGGTACATTATTATAGATTTTTATTGTCATAGCATGAGGACTATCCGAAACCAATCTTAATTTGCTGTATGGCACTTCTAATATATTTAAATACCTATTATTTCTTTTAACACTTACTATTGGTGAATAAAATTCTGGGTGTTTTCTTACAAATTTACATGATTCAAGGATGAGTATGGATGCAAGGGTCAAAATTATATGTTTAATAAAATAAGGTCTACATGATTCCATCTGATCGATGTTTGTCAAAATTCGTATGCATTTCTTTTGCATTATAAATAATTTGTCTACGTCAGATGAGCTTCCCCACAAAATTATACCATATGATAGTATTGAATGAGCATTATGCGTATGCATATGTAAGCAGTAAGAGCGGATCTAAAATCAGTCAATTTTCAAGCTCTAACCGAACATGTCAAAGAGGTATACTCACAGCAATGCGCTGTAGTGTTCAATGAACTGTGTTAATCTTGAATCATTCCCATTATCAACACGAAGGCACAGAGCAGCGACAACAAAACAACGGAAAAAACTTATTACCGACACAAAGACAGCTACTGCCGACGACTTTGATAGCTGTTGCACTTGCGAAACATGTTGTCTGCACCAGAATGCAGGGCCATTATAATAATAATTTATTTTCCTTTACAATAGCCTTCTTAACAGAATGATCGATTGGAGTCTCCATTTAAGCAAATATTGCCTGTGTTTGGAGGCTCCGCTCTTCCTTAACTAATAATGTGATTTACAAACTCCAGTATGGTGACAGTGAATGAACAAATGAACATGCAAAAAACAAAAAGAAAGAATGAACTAAAATAAAGTAAAACAAAACAATAAACAGACGCTCTACGCTGAAAATAATCTTAGGATCATTAAATCCCATTAATAGGACTTAAAGCTAAGCAAAAGTATTTGCAATTAAGAAAGGTAATGCAGATGTTGTGTGCCATGTGTGCGTGTGTGTGTGTGATTATTCTCTATCTCTTCTATTCTCTTATCGTCACACACTTAGCAGTTTATAGATATCCTTTAGCGAATGGACTGAGAGAAGAGAGAAGTGCATGAAATTGACAATTCAACTGAATCTAAAGAAAATTTTGGATGAAAAAAATCTACTTGTTGCAGGTATCAGAAAGAAAAGAAAAGATTCGACTCTGCGCGTTCCGCGATACCTATCTTAGACCGGGTGGATTTATTCTTAGTAAAACTTTTGGTAGATTTATATAGTTAGTTTTATGGTTAGGTCTTAAATTTCCAAGCATGTTTTGACAAGTTTCCTTGAGATAAATCGAAATCGCGTTACTGGTCAAATACATGTGAGCAGCGGCTGGCAAAAGTTGTATAAAATCCTTGTCGTCGCAGTTTAACGGCCAAGTAAATCACATAGTAAAGTCATTATCTGTCTTAATTTTTTGTTTAATGATCAATAGAATATACAGACATAAATAATAATAATCTTTATTTACAACAGCATAAGTAACATTATGTCTTATATATATATAGACACCTTAAATAAGCTTACGAATAGAAAAGACAATCTTTAGCATCTGCTGCCGAACGAGGATTTTCATCTCTATTTCAGCATACAGAGCAGGCGCGTAAGCACGCGCCTAAAAAATAGGTACCTACCTGAAATAAAATGAACATTATTGCACTCCACACAATTTAGTATATATATTACTTACTAGTGGCCCGCCCTCGCTTCGCTTCGGTGTAGAGCTGTAGTGTAAACTATAGTTTTTGTTCTCAGGCTTGTGCTATAAAGAATGACTTTATTTATATAATTACACGTGTTATTGTGAGTCAACCATAAAAGATAGACATATGCTGTTGCAGGATATTTTTTAGACAATTTTATGTAGAATATTTCCGTCATACATGATTTCTATGTAACTTTAACCATTAAGGCTGCACACGCGACGGAAGCTTAAAAAATGGAGTAACTTCTCCCGTTTTCCCAACATTTCCCTTCACTACTCTGCTGCTATTGATTGTAGCGTGATGAAAAGTAAACTATAACCTGCCCAGGAGTATGAAGAATAATTGTACCAAGTTTCGTTAAAATCCATCGAGTAGTTTTTGTTTCTATAAGGAACATACACACAGACAGACAGACAGACAGACAAAAAATTTACTGATTGCATTTTTAGCATCAGTATCGATCACTAATCAACCCCTGATAGTTATTTTAAAAATATATTTCATGTACAGAATTGACATCTCTACAGATTTATTATAAGTATAGATAAAATATTGTTATACAATCTATATCATAACGACGCATATCGATTTGCTAGGATTACCAAAACTACGTGGTTCGGTTCCTTGTTTCTAAGCTAGTACTAGATGTCATTTGCAAATTATTTTGGCCATCGTACGTAGTTCATAAAAACACCACTAAATGTCATCAAACTATTAGGGGATAGCTAGAAACTTCCTTTTTTTTTTTTTTTTTTTTTTTTTTATGCAAAATAGGCAATGCGTTTGACTACAATCTCACCTGATGGAAAGCGATGATGAGGCCTAGGATGGTACACGCCTGCCTAGAAGATGCCTGTTCACACTTCCTTTTATTATTTGGCAATTTTTTTAGATTTTCATGGGTCATGTCCCCTGTGACCTCCCCCCATTTCGGACCGCACCTGACACAGAGTGCCTCAATCCTCAAGTTTAGATAATTACTTGTATCCTATAAGCCAGTGAAGATCATGTTCAATGCTGATAGTACAATATATACCTAATTTGGAATGGAATTCTTTACCCGCGCAAGTGTTCCCTCCTTCCTATAATCTGGGGTCCTTTAAGAGAGGCGTGAAAAAGCATTTTGCTGACTGGCAAAGTGAGGATGATTGGTGTAGCATTTTATAACTGCTGTACCAACTATCTTCGCGTTTGGACTTTATAACCACTTAACATCAGGTGGGGTAGAGTCATTTGCATACCTCTATATATAAAAAAAATAGTAAAAAATTTAGTATACTGGTAAACAAAAATTAGTTTGAAAAAATTACAAAACACAACAAAATTACAGTTTTTATTGCTCCGTGGACAAAAAGCCCGCCCCGCCCCGTCGTTCTGCAAAGCGCCTGAGTGTCAACCCGTCACGACTCCGACCATTGAGCCAAAATCTTTACTATTACATTTTTTTTAAATGTATGAAAGCTGTTGCCAAAAATGTCCAGATTATTGCCATAAACATTGATAATTTCGTTATATTTTATACATATGCGATTAGCTGGTTTTTTATTCTTTATGATGACAACAATTTTATCCTTATAAATAAAATACACTATAAGCTTAATAACACTGCACAATCATGACATCAGAAAAGTATTATCATCATCATCTGCCTGTTAATCACTGCAGGTTCACGCTAGTGTTGTACGCTACAGCATACCAATGATTTTTTTTTGTAAAATCAAAGTAGAAGATTTATTTTTAAAGCTAAACAGAATACACCAGACTGTATTGTACAGGACATGCTTTATTAATGTTGCATTACAAGGAAAACTTATCGCGTATGTCAGCTATCTAAATGAGTAACGCGCCCAAGAAATATAGGTATAAAAAAAACTTTTGATAATACATATATCTAGCTGTTTAATCCTTAAAATAAAAATATAATTGAGAATATCTGAAATCATCAATCATCGGCGCGGCGTTCTGATGTATGTCATGACATTTATTTATTTATTTTTAGGGAAATTACAGCATTAATTTTTACATAAAAAATATAACATTAAATTTAAACAGTTGCCTAGGTAAACATGAGAGAAAAAATAAACAATTTTTGGTATCATAATGAACATAAACAAAACAAAACACGCATTTAATATTCATCATCATCATCAGCCTATTAATAATTCCCCCCCCCCCCCCCCCCACCTCCACGCGGCAGCTGTCCTGGAAACCTGGCAGAACATGTATGAACTCGTCTCATTACTGATCAAAGTGTAAAGGGCGCCTTAAGGCCTACGCAGACCGGGACGGCATGGCAAGGGATTTCAATTTTTACTAATGGACATTCAACCGTACTGTTACAGAAATACGACATAAATTGCTATGCTTTAAAATGATGCCGTGGCATTGAAAGGGATTTCATCGCACGGCATTAAAAGACGTGCCACAGGCTCCCGGGCGGGATGCGATGGCATACTGCGGTAGGCAACGGCATGCCACGGACTCCGGCGCTCGTAGTGATAACTGCGGGGTGCGGCGGCGGGGGTAGAGAAGCGGGGAATTCGCCCTTTGATTCCCTTTCTTTCCATAGATTACCAACCCAAAATCTTCTTCTATCCCTATTATCAGCCTATGCACCTACTTCTTCATCTGCAATAATCGATATCAACACCAAATCGTTGAAGCGTGCTTTGTCGTGCCGCGGCACGCCGTAGCATAGTGCTGGAATGCCGCGGTATCTAAGCGGCCAGTGTGCGCTGACTCACGGCAAAATCCCTTGCCATGCCGTCCCGGTCTGCGTTAGCCTTTATGATCTAACTTTTAAATAAGCCGCGCGGTACGTAGACACTGGCAAAATGGACGGTGCAATAGCTATCTAGCCGAGCGTGCAGGACCAACGGCTTAACATGCCTTCCGAAGCACAGAGGAGCTCGAGATAGTAAATTTTTGATCACCCATCTATTGACCGACCACTGCGAAAGTAGCTTAACTTCAACGATCGCAGCCGAACGCGGTAATCACTTGCGTCATCGAGCTCCTCTTTTTTATTGTTCTTCAACTGGCTTTAATTCAT